CCTTCTTTAATGTCTGCTCGGGTAAGTCACAATAAGAAATGTCAAATATCATATTCACTTTCTCTTGGGTAGATGATTTTGAGATGACTTAATTGTTAACCTGAAGTCGCTACAGGATGTGATTCTCATTGGTTGATTTCCCAACCAGCACCGACCCTTCACATCCGGGTACACAGTAAGCAAATCGTCAAAATTAAAATTTCAACAAGCACTTATTGTGAGCAAACACCTCTGTATCATGTTTATGTGCTGCGGGATGACGTTAATGGCTCCCCGGGGAAGCGCTTGGGAGCTCCAGTACATTAGAGTATGGGCGACCTCACTCACCCAGGGTCCTGATGATACCATCAATCTGCAGCGCTGTCCAATCGCTTGTGCGTCCTGTTTAGGGGGAAGCTATTGTGTCTGGGTGGAACTTGATAATTTGTTTTAGGTATGGATTACAGTGTACCATGTGGTCGTTATCCACTGGCCCTACTCATCCAGGAAGTATGGCATCCTCTCACATTAACACATATGCCTCCCCCGTGCCTGCAGGGTACCGAGTGTCTAACTAAAAGAGTGTTATGAATGGTTTGCCAGCAGCGTACCATGTAGGTTTCGCCGAACTAAACTTACGGGCAAAAGAAAGTATACACCCATGTTTGATGGTGGCTAAAAATGAAACCAACAGGAAATTGTTATCGATGGGGATGTATTTGATTAGTGTGCAAGCATCATATCACAACAGGTCAGCATGTACCATTTAATAACGTTTGTAATTGTTTCGGTCAAATTCAGTTTTCAACAACTGTGCCTCCAGTTGATGTGCATCAAACCCTACACCACTCATCATCAATTAATAAACAACCAATTAAACCACACCTCGAGTATTCACGAGTGTTTTTGTGGCTAATGATAACACGCCATCCGCAAGTCCAAGAGCTTGACCACCTGATTCAATTTAGTCGATTTACTCCAAACGTGGAAGCAGGAGAAGTGCGACCGTGGTGCCCGAAGCAATGTGCCCCGGTACTATAATGTGTATGGTTAGTTCAACAAATGCTTGTTTGTATTTTGATCAATACATAACACTTTCACACAAATATCAAGCATTCTCTATGGCTTACTCACACTCAGTGAGACATATATGCTGCGCTGTCAGAACAGGCTGTGTACGAAGTGGAGCCTCACGTTAATATACAATGTATGTTGATACACAAATTGTGAAAACAGTACAGCATGATTTTTTTGGGACCACAGCATACTGCTGCTGTGCTTCATATTAATCAGTGAGACAATACTTTACGAGAACGCAAAAACGATACAAAAGAATGTTTTTTATATAAAGCAGGAAAAAGACAGTAGATGACGCCACGGTTTGTACATGTTGTCGGTTGTTGGAAGTTAGCTGTGTACCTGGCTGTAGTAGATAAGCCTTATGTTGTCGGTTGTACAAAATAAGCCATACGCAGTCGTCTGTACGACATAAGCCGTCTGTATTCGGCTGTCGACTCAAGCATGAACACACCGACTTTCGAAGCCGTATTGGTAATTAATCGATTTACGGCTATCGATAAAGTAATATGGATAGACGTTATTTCCAGTAAGCTATTTAGGGAAAGAATTCCAATTGCTCCAAATCAAACAATCTGAAATGGAATGAAAGATTCAATTATGTATGAAAGCGAGCGGGCTATAATGCATTGTGACAACAATACTACCCTTTTGTCACACGCTTTCCTACTACCGTCACAACTTATAGGCCGCGCGTAAGAAAGTTATATTGAGACCGAGTTCTGTCTGTGGGCAATATATGTCGCCGATCATTCACTCCGAGACAGAGTGGCCATAAAGGGATATATTGTTTTCGAATTAATCTTTTGTTAAAGACCTTTGGCATTTATTTGAATGCATGAGCACGTTTGTTTATAACCTCCTCCCACGTGCAAACATTTCCCCGAACAAACAATACTTTTGACGGAAAGTTGGTTACTGGCGTTATTCCCACAACATTCCATTCCTTCAATATAACGTGCCCGTGAATATTGTCAATGGTTATTTGACATTTTCCGTCCTGGACGCCGTGAGACCACAGTGGGACTCATTGACGATCATATCTAGGTGATGTAAATATAGAGCGTCTATAATGAGTATGGATCTAACGCAGACTGCCTTCAGAAATGAATTCATATCAAATTACTATTCAGTTTCGGCCTAGAAGGCTGAAAGTCCCCATCAGCTACCAGGGCAGCAGGGACAGCCCCAGCGTCACACACTCATTGCAGACATCAGTTATAGCACTGACCAATGCACAGGAGGGTTATTTTGTATTTCAATTTAACGGTTGTCATATGAAACACTCAGAATAATCCTCTTTAGTGTCCGACCGCCTCCGTGGTCTTGTGGTAGAGCGTCCGCCCGGAGAGCGGAAGGTCCAGGGTTCGATCCCCGGCCGCGTCATACAAAAAGACGTTAAAAGATTGTACTTGTTGTTACCCTGTCTGGCGCTAGGCATTAAGGGGCTAAAACAAGGACTGGTCGGCTCGGAGTCAGTATACAGTGTCTGAGTGGGGTATTCATGTTAAACTGCGGCATGGTATCTCAGTGAGCTAGGACTATAAATCGGCATCAGTCCGGACTAGTACAAGCAGCCACACACACACATACACTCCCCCCCCCCCCCCCCCCCCCTTATCATACACTCACCCTTGTAAATCCTCTCAATTACTCTCGCTATGGCGGTGGATTCACTGTTAATATTATTTGCATGAACATGTTGTGATTGTGTTGGTTTAAATTCACAAGATATTGACTGAAGGCGCCCGCCGAACAATGGTTTTGGTCCTTGGTATGTTGGAACACCTGTGCATGTTGTTTTGTTTTACGCTGCACTCAGCAATATTCCAGCTGTATGACGGCGGTCTGTATATAATCAATCTGGAACAGACAATCCAGTGATTGATATCATGAGCATCGATCCACGCAATTTGGATTCGATGACATGCATCAACCAAGTCAGCAAGCCTAACCACACGATGCCGTTAGTCGCCTCTTAACTTATGACAAGCATAGGCGCCTTTTACGGCAAGCATGATTTGCTGAAGATCTATTCTATCCCGGAGTCACCGGTGCATATACAGTGAGTAGACCATTGCCCGAAACATTGAACGTTTTCTACCCCACAAATTAGTCTATTCAGATGAACACCTCAGTTTGATAGTTGAACTAAGTCTTATATAGACATACATCCAAACCATTTTACAAAATGCAAACCTATTTGCAGATTTAAGATTTCAGTTGAATGAGCTTAAATTCCCAGGAAACAATTGTCGATAAGGTGAAGACTTTAAACACACGGTGTAGTTTTTATGACAGAATTTGAACACGAACAGTGGGAGAAAGTGACTAGGAATGTTCAATCAGAATATTGAGCTGCAAACCTAAGACTGAAGAAAGTTATTAGAAATGTGCCAAATCAGCATCTGTAGCAATCCACCTGCACTTGGGAAACAGAAGAAAGTTATCAGAAAAATGCCAAATCAGCATCTTTAGCTGCAAACAGACATCAAAGTAATAGAAGATGATAAAAACTTCACTTCAGCATCTTCATCTAATCGTAGAGTTTTCTTTCGTAAGTGATCTATTAAATACCAATAAATAATTATCGGAAAATATTTTTATCCAGACGAAATTATACCCTTAGCAATATGAATAGTTACCATCGTTCAAATTTATACACGCTTACTAATATAAAAGAAACTTTTATATGCCATAATCAAATATAACAAAGTGAAAAATACGGCTCATATAAACGTCACATAACTCTTAATATTTCTTGTGTAGCGAGTGTAATCAGATATCATGATCCAGGTAATCGGAACTGTAGGAATGTATGTGAAAGAATGTAGGTTGTCCTTGGGAGAAAGTATTGGGTTCGGCATAGAGGTCTTTATGATCTTTTTATTCAGGAAAGCAACTCAAAGAATCAAAGTTCATTGTATTCCTAGTCGAATGTATGCCATAAAGTCAAACGAACCATTTACCTCAACACAAAGCAACTGCCACTTAGCGCGATCATTATCATACTTTACAATGTGTTTAGGATAGTGTCACCTACGTAGCTGCTGAACATAATGAATACAAACTTTGAAAAACGATGGACAATGACGATGCCAGATGCGCACTGGGTCTACTTTGTCGCACTCAGCCATGCAACTCAACCACTGACAAATCTCAAATATCGCCAAAACCATGTGCCGTGACAGATTTTCAGTGATCCATTCGTACAATTTTCAGCACTAATTTGCGTTTTTCGCCCACTTGAATCTGTTTCGTCGGATTATCGAGACAGGTTATTCTCTGGCGTTGAGATTAATGTTTATTGAGCCTAAGGATAGTTGACTTAGATTTCAATGCGCCTGCTTTGATAAGAGTGTAATGACTATATGATTCTGATACAATAACTGGATTAACCATCGAAAACAGCTTGAAGCATATCCCCATTACATCTACCTCGTCTACAATATATTCAAAAGTAAAGTGTTAGGAATTATCTTCCAGAGACTCCGTGAAGACCCAGGTTAGAATTGGTCTTCCGAAACCAATGCTTGGCTTGTCGACTAACGGGATCGGGTGGTCAGGCTCGCTGACATGGTTGCCGTATTTCATCGTATTCCAGTTTCATAGATTGCTGCTTTCGACGTCAATCACTTGATTGTCTGGTCTGGACTGCATTGTTTTAGACCGCCGTCATATAGCTGGAATATCTCTGAAAACGGCGTTAAGCAACAATTAAACACATCTTCCATATCAATGTCACGAGTGCATATTATCACTATCCAGCCTCTCCAATTTCGTCCATACATTAATCCATGTAAAGACATAACCATAAGCTATCTAATGAGACATTTAAAGACATTGTACTTACTGATGTGAACTCTACCGATATAAACTAGTTGGTACGGAAACTATCAAATGAAAATGAGTCTGATTCTAATATCATTTTTCATATTTTCCAGGACCATTGAAACGCAATTACCAAGAAGCCTTTTCACAACACCAAACACCTATACCAAGACACTCTTCTTGTAAGTACTTTTCTTAATCCTATACACCTGTAACAAGACTCTCTAAAAGTACTTCTCTTAATCCTATACACCTGTAAGAGATCGGTTTGAGGATTGTGTAAGTAGTTCACCAGGTATGTCACCAGGGTCGTCATCATTTCAATCGTGGAAAGTTTCACAATGTGCACTTCAACCGTAAGAGCTCGAGAAAGGTGAAATGCTAAGGGGAAGAAAGCGGCAAATAACACATGGTTATGTCTCACGCATGTATGTTTCAAAGGCTTTTATCAGAGCCACCTCGTATTCCATTTGCATGGAATTTCCTTAGGTGAAATGCGGAGGTTGAGATCGTGCATCTTTATTGTATTCAATTACTTTGGTGTATATTAAGAAATATTTAGCTGATCCATATTGAACCGAGTTTCTATCTCACGTGTACTGAATTGCCTCATCGCATTACAACGTGAGTTTGGTTTAAAGCCGTTTTGAAAAGTATTTAATTGATATCATGGCCTCTCAGCTTGATGTCGAAGAGAAACCCCAGGTCATGCAGACTGAAGGCCGTTTTGAACAACAATTCATTGATATCATGGCCTCTCAGCTTGATGTTTAAGAGAAACCCCAGGTCATGCAGACTGAAGGCCGTTTTGAACAATAATTCATTGATATCATGGCCTCTCAGCTTAATGTTGCAGAGAAACCCAAGGTCATGCAAATTAAACACCGTTACCATTTTGGTGAGTTCACGAGTCTTGGAATGGTGCTCCAAAACAAAGAATCATAATCGGGTAAACCTGACATTCGAACCCACGATCAGCGGGGTCTGAGCTGGCACGACTAAGGGACGCAACTCTGGACAGACAACAGGGGGTCCTAACCAATGTTGATCAGTCTCTAATGTTAATTGTGCATTAATTAAGTGACATTCCGAATACTTCCAATTTTAGCTTCTGTTTAAATAAACAACGTGTTTGGTGTTGCGATGACCCGAATTCGACTCCAAACATGATTATAACGAATGAAACACATTTCTGGCTGGTGTGATATTTTTGAAATAGAAGTAGCGTTAGACCTGAACCCCTCACTTAATTATTATAAAAAGCCGATTCTAAACTGGAAATCAAATTAATAGAAACATACACTTGTGAAACTGGGCGAAAATAATTTGTTTGTCTAACCCATCGGATAACACCTGTCATGAGGTTAGCCCTTCGGTAGTCTACTGCTATAGTTCCACATGGTTATATTCACCATACAGACAAGGGGTAGAATAGGTCTTCAACAACCCTTACTTGCCGTAACAGGTGACTGTGCTTGTCGTAAGAGGCGACAAACGGGATCGGGGGTGTTCAGGCTCGCTGACTTGGTTGATACATGTCATCGTATCCCAATTGCATTGATCGATGCTCATGATGTCAACCACTTTATTGTCTGGACCAGACTCGATTATTTACAGACCGCTGTCATATAGCTGGAAAATTGCTGAGTGCAGCGTTAAACAACAAACAAACAAAACAAACAAAAACACAGAGGATGACGTCATACTGATGATGGATTTGATAACACGATATAATCGATATCACAATGTCTACTGTGTCTTACTTGTTGTTTTGAAGACATCTTTGAGAAATCGTCAAGCTGCTCGCTAAAAAATACATCCAGCTATTTACGTAAAGGAGATTAAAAAAGATTCAATGATTTTGAAGTAACACAGTGAAGTATTGTTCAAAATCACACTGTACAAACAGTCTACTTTAACTTCAGTGCCATAACCGTTGCGGCGCTTCTGATGCGTTCCGCTGCTGTTTTTAATTGTTAGTGTCATTGTAACCGATTGCATGTGTTTGTGACGGATGACACCGGTGGGGCAGGATACGCTCACCTTTTCGCAAACACCTTGTATCATCACTATTCGATAGTGATTTATAAACCTATATTTATGATATAGTCGCAATCCCAGTGGGTATTTCTTATGATTATGGAAACTTTAAGGGTTTTGTCTCTTTTATTTGAATATAATGTTTTGAAAGAGGTGAGGTGAGGTGAAATGGGGTTTAACGTCGCGTCCAAGATTATTGCACTTATTAAGGACGTGCATGTACGTGTGTGTGTTTGTGTGGCTGCTTGTACTAGTCCGGACTGATGCCGATTTATAGTGCTAGCTCACTGAGATACCATGCCGCAGTTTAACATGAATACCCCACTAAGACACAGTATACTCACTCCGAGCCGACCAGTCCTTGTTTTAGCCCCTTAATGCCGAGCGCCAGACAGGGTAACAACAAGTACCATCTTTTAACGTCTTTTGGTATGACGCGGCCGGGGATCGAACCCCGGACCTTCCGCTCTCCGAGCGGACGCTCTACCACAAGACCACGGAGGCGGTCTGTTTTGAAAGAAAATACAATACTCTAACATTTGTTTCCAATAGAACTATCCGGATTCTTATTATCCAAATGTTACCCAACCATAACACATAAGTATCAATATTTTCATCATCAAGTTAAACAACACTTTTTTGTAACAGGGAGTAACAATATATATGAACGCTCTAATAAAAACCCAATACGCTAGTAATGATCAAACCGTGGCAAAAATAAATTGTTTTGGGAGTAACACAGTTAAGTATTGTACAAACACACAATGTGTAGACAAACAGTCATGTACTTTTACTTCAGTTACAGACCGGATGCATCCACTTAAGTCGTTATGCGGACTGCGTGTTCGCACATTCAGATGTAGTTTTGGGCTGCTTTGTCATTGAAATACGACTCGCACGTCTTTGGCATGAACATTTGAATAAACATTCCTCCATTGTCCTATTGATTTTATTATTTTCTCTTTGACAGAATGTTAGCATTGAGAAATGCATGCTGTTGACAGACATTATTCCCCACCCCCGCATCGTGAAGGATTTGGTGAATGGAAATTGCCTTTTCTTTTCAGGACAATTATCACATTGTAGATTACCGCTCCTATGAATGGGAATGGTTTGTTCACCTAAATGGCAATACACTGCCTCGTATTGACATGACAAACACGACGTTGGGCCCTCTCCATACCACGTTCTAATGTGTCGTATTTTAGCATATCGGCGAATGTGCTCATCCACAGAATGAAAGTATTTTCTGAAAATATATAGCTGAGAGTAAGTCTGTGTTATTCACAGAGGCTGCAATGTCGGCACCATGGTTTAATGCAGTGAATCGGGTCTATATAGACACACTCTTTGTCTTTGAGTGTTTTTTTGCTATGGAGCCATGTAACTTGGGATTCAACGCCATTTTGAACAGTTTTTAACTTTTATAAAGGCGTGTCAACTTAATAGTGGGGTCTGTCGTTGAAGTTATGAGAAACAGAGGATTATTCCCCGGGCGAATTTGGATTTGAACCCATGGCTAGCAGATCCTGGCAGCAAAGGGGAGCAACTCTACATAGCGATACCAACCAGCATGCCATAGGTCATTTCTTTGGCTGAACATGATAACTGTATTAGTTTGAAATAAAAAAGAGAATATATTTCCATAATTATAAGAATAGTAATCATACCAAGTGTTTGCGAAACGACGAGCGTATCCTGCCCCACCGTTGGCACCCGTCAGAAACACATGCACAGGAAAGTCAAGTTTCACCTAAAGAAAACCCCACGAGAACATATAATCAATAACATATTAGTCAAAGTAGGAAATTTCTTCTTTGGGAGGCATTTAGAAGTTGGAGTACTAAGAAAGGATAAGATATATGGATGAAGGAGTTCCTTATTACAATAAGAAATTACAAGAAATGTCGTCCAAACGCAAGGAAACATTGGTGTGGGCGCCCACAGTAGTGGCAGTCATCTGATCCTCCACGTGCCTAGAATTTTATCGCAGTATCACTTACAATACGATATAATCCTAGTCCTAGTTCTCATAGATGATAGGGTATCAGGAAGTAGCATCAGGTCACTACAAATGGTTTCTTTCTGAATAGTATTTCTAAATGGATTTACCTTGTATTTTTACTCTAAAACATCCACAATTTGATTCTCTGTTGCTGTTTTTTTCCATTATTGTGTGTGTATGGTTATGACCGCATACACAAGAGTGTAATTTTGTAACATAGGTGCATGAGTATAGAGTTCCTTTGCCATGAATATGTTTACCATGTAATTAATTGTGGTATCGATCGGATACAACTAGTGAGAACATACATGTTATGCGATACCAACTAGCTGAAGCATATTGCATAACGCTATCCTTAAAAGGCTTCCTGGTGTGGGAAGGTTTATGTGAACAAACATGGCAATTTATTTGGCTCTATTCTGATCCGTTACGTTCTAACGTGTTGATTAGTTGGTTTGTTGTTTTACGCCGCACTATTCCAGCTATATGACGGCGGTTTGTAAATAATCGAGTCTGGATCAGACAAGCTAGTGATTGATATCATGGACATCGATCCGCGCAATAGGGATCGATAACATGCATCAACCAAGTCAGCGAGCCTGACCACCCTATCCCGTTTGTCGCCTTTTACGGCAAGCATAGGTTGCTGAAGACCTATTCTACCCCGGATCTTCACGGGTCGTCCACTGACCAGACAATCATAATAATGCAGAATGATGTTCTTTTCCCCCCTTGCCGTTGCTGTTACTTTATTGTATAACCACAGAAAATTCACAAAAAAATGGAAATCCCCTACCTATATAATGGTTTAGTGTTATTTTTTTTTGGCACTTACGTGTTTTTATAATGACCTTTTTTATTTTAGTGTTGACAATCTACATTAATAGATGTGATCTGTAATTTCCTTTGCATGTACATCGTGAAACACGATAACAAAATATTATTCCCCTCCCCAAAATGAATGTGCAGTTCACTCAGGCACTGTTTTCATACGTGATTTCTTTTGTTGCTTGAATAAGTGACAATGTGCCCGAAGCTTCGATTATTTTAAGAATGACATGTTATCTATGTGATAAAAAGATTATTATATCAAAGGTTGGCATAATGCTATTATGTTCCCAATATATATACGAAAAGGAACTCTCTATAAAGACCCGTGTAGATCCGGGGTAGAATAGGTCTTCAGCAACCCATGCTTGCCGTAAAAGGCGACTATGCTTGTCGTAAGAGGCGACTAACGGGATCGGGTGGTCAGGCTCGCTGACTTGGTTGATGCATGTCATCGATCCCAATTGCGTGGATCGATGCTCATGATGTCAATCACTGGATTGTCTTGTCCAGATTCGATTATTTACAGACCGCCGTCATATAGCTGGAATATTGCTGAGTGCGGCGTGAAACAACAAACCAACCAACCAACTCTATAAAACACTGAACTCTATGAACCAGTGTACGATGATTTACAGTTGTACATCAAATGTTTCCACGCAAAGTAACTTAATACGACGATCTGAGTGTATATGATGAAAACGCTTTCATATTTTTGTTAGACATGGTGTAGATTTCAAATCATGAAAAATGTGATACTACATTATTTCAAAGAACAATTGCGACAGTGCAAAAGTTTAAAATTTCAAAGCATCATCACCATGCTTAATAAAAATGAGATGTTTTAAATAGCAGAATGGAGCACATTGAATAGATACATTATACCCGCGACGATGTTATAGGATGTATAGCCAATGAATTAATTTTTTTCATCTTTTGTTTGTTACATTCAATAGATGAAAACAATTATGCTGTGTCGTCAAGTTCAATGATGATAAGGCTGTGACTGACTCTAATTCAATACTTTATAAACGAAGTATTTGATGCAATATTATTCCGACAGGACAAAATAATTTGGATGTTTTTTCACTGTTTCAGGTCACCACACTTCGTCTTACATGTCCGCGTTCGCCAACACAGACGCTATCCCAGTGTATCGCGGGCATCCACAGAGAAAGGATACCTACAAGCGTGATGGTAAATGCATTATTTGACACTCCATTTAATTATTTAACATTTCGTTTTCACATGGCATGAGACATAAAATTCAAATGATGAAAGCTGCAACATCTTTAGAGCTCTTACTACAACACGTACACTAACGACCAACTAGGACGCCGTCATCCTACATCTACTAGTCCCTCGCTGTTACACGTAGTCTCGTTACCAACTATGACCCCGTCATCCTACATCTACTAGTCCCTCGCTGTTACACGTAGTCTCACGACTAACTAGGACCCCGTCATCCTACATCTACTAGTCCCTCGCTATCACACGTAGTCTCGTTACAACTAGGACCCCGTCATCCTACATCTACTGGTCCCTCGCTATTACACGTAGTCTAACGACCAACTAGGACCCCGTCATCCTACATCTACTAGTCCCTCGCTGTTACACGTAGTCTCGTTACCAACTATGACCCCGTCATCCTACATCTACTAGTCCCTCGCTGTTACACGTAGTCTCACGACCAACTAGGACCCCGTCATCCTACATCTACTGGTCCCTCGCTATCACACGGAGTCTAACGACCAACTAGGACCCTATCATCCTACATCTACTAGTCCCTCGCTATTACACGTAGTCTCGTTACAACTAGGACCCCGTCATCCTACATCTACTAGTCCCTCGCTGTTACACGTAGTCTCACGACCAACTAGGACCACGGCATCCTACATCTACTAGTCCCTCGCTATTACACGTAGTCTCGTTACAACTAGGACCCCGTCATCCTACATTTACTAGTCCCTCGCTATCACACGTAGTCTCACGACCAACTAGGACCCCGTCATCCTACATCTACTAGTCCCTAACCATCACAAGTAGTCTAACGACCAACTAGGACCCCGTCATCCTACATCTACTGGTCCCTCGCTATTACACGTAGTCTAACGACCAGCTAGGACCCCGTCATCCTACATCTACTAGTCCCTCGCTATCACACGTAGTCTCGTTACCAACTAGGACCCCGTCATCCTTCATCTACTAGTCCCTCACTATTACACGTAGTCTCGTTACCAACTAGGACCCCGTCATGCTATATCTACTAGTCCCTCGCTATTACGCGTAGTCTCGTTACCAACTAGGACCCCGTCATCCTACATCTACTAGTCCATCGCTATTACACGTAGTCTGGTTACCAACTAGGACCCCGTCATCCTACATCTACTAGTCCATCGCTGTTACATGTAGTCTCACGACCAACTAGGACCCCGTCATCCTACATCTTCTAGTCCATCGCTATCCTACGTAGTCTGGTTACCAACTGGGACACCGCCATCCTGAAACAACCGCTGGTCCGTCCCTATGACAAGTAGGCACATGACCAAGTATGACCCCGTCAACCCATACCACCCCTTAACTTTATTAATTTCAGTTGAAAAGAGTCAAAGCCACTATATTTGTTCAATTAACTGTTGCCTTTTAGGTAACATTTGTAGCTTCTCTAGAAACTGCTATTTGTGTTACAGCATGCGAGCTCGAGGATGGCACGAAGTTAATACAGTGCAAATCGAACAAGTCCCAGTGTATTTATGACCACATGATCTGTGACGACCACAAGGACTGTGACGGGGGAGAGGATGAAGACGCGGGGTCGTGCTTGCTCAGGATCTGGGTAGGCTATTTGTTTACCTTTGTTCTGTACAATATCCAGTCTCGCTCGCTCGGAATATTGGTAGGCCAGATAACTCATCCACTTTGCTTGCAAGGTATCAGGGTAGATTAGATATTTTAATGGATTGCTGTACCATCTACCTTTTTGTTTACTTTGAATATGGACAGGCTAGAGCTTTATCAGTTTACCGCCAACCCCACCTCCTTTCGCCCTCCTGGGGTTCTGGGTTACCTCGCTATTTGATACGGAAAAATGTGAACACAAACGTTTGGTGTTTCTGGTATAATCAAGGCGTTGAACTCGACGAATGTCCATATGTAGGACAACATTATCACGTTTAGTGCTATACGAGTGTCCATACGAAGGACATTATCACGTTCACTGCTATAAGGAAAAATAGTAAGGTAAAGAGTGGATAATAACTTGTCCTCAATGATGATGTCTGCCTTTTCCCTTCAGGTTCTCAAATGGATGAAGAGGGTTGAGAAGGCTATAAAACAGTAATGGCATTTCCCTTTGCTACACAACGCTCTCCTCACTGACCCATACCCTCCAAGGCTTCGACATGGGTTGATTAAATATGCATATTTTCTTTGCTGAAGTTTTAACTATATGCAACCTTATGCTCAGTGAACTCCAGGACGAGTGAGCCAAGTCTTCTGTGTGAGGCTCAGTCAAAGCATATCGCCATAGCTTTCCAGTGTGGAACATCAGAGAGTGCAGCGCCCAGCCAATGTATTGCCAAGGACGTTGCATGGCATGAACAATAACAAGGTATGGTTTGACGACGCAACAATGATGGGGACGACGTTGCAACAACTGAAACAGTGAAGAAGCGGCGGCAGCAGCAACAGCATCAGTGATCAAGACGTCTGTCTTAGGAACGCGAAGACATTGTCTAATGTGCATTTTGTTTCGGAAAATGCGTTCATTCCCTTGTCGTATTGTGTCATGCATCATTTCAGTGACTGCTGATATTTTACATAATCAGTAAGAAAGATGTCTGATGATGTAAAGACGTATTCCATTGCCATTTACGAAGGGTTAGGAACATAACGGCAAGCGTTGTTCACCCTTGCATGGGGATGCACATCATTGGGTGGTATAGTTGTTACGACACACACTGTGACCTGAAGCTATGTAATAGTGTACCTAGTAGCCAGCCACGACGGCCAATGGAATCCCAAGGGGTACACATCCGTCACATGGTGTAGAATGGACCGAATGGACCGAAGTCTACCAAAAGTATTCTTTTTACCTTTATATTATTATTGCCTCGTAATGCATAATGCGCCGTAATAAATTGTGGTACTGAAAATACACAACTGACAAGTCGTGAATTTACTGTAAAGATTTGTTAACATGTAACATATTTGCTGTACAAAATAGTTGACTATGGATAATACACAATATACACCTGAAAAATAGCTTATAATAAAAGTGACAAAACACTTTCCATAGCCACAAGAAATATCTGTTAAAAGCAAAGTCGATTGAAAGAATCTGAATGTAAATCGTATCTTTTATTAATAATTTTATTTTCGGACGAAATACTTTTGTTTTTATGTCTTTTTTAACTCTTTGTTTTTAAGGCATTTAGAGTGAGTGAGTGAGTGAGTATGGTTTTACGCCGCTTTTAGCAATATTCCAGCAATATCACGGCGGGGGACACCAGAAATGGGCTTCACACATTGTACCCATGTCGGGAATCGAACCCGGGTCTTCGACGTGACGAGCAAACGCTTTAACCACTAGGCTACCCGACCGCCCCTAAGGCATTTAGAAGTGATACACATAAGGAAGAGGATTTATGGATGTCAACTTCTTTTTTATGGGGAACACAACGTTTTGGAGTATATATTTACTCCTTCGTCGGGGAGTTTTTGTTTACGAAGTAGCATACTCACTGAAACACAGATACTGAAATCAATCAATTGTATAATGAAATGTTTCGTTATTTGACTATAGTTATGTGGATACCCTTTACATAGCTTCCTCTGCGTCTTCGCATTACGTGATATGCGAAAATCAGGAGGAACATACAGTGTCCTGTGTTTTCGTCAAGTTTTGGTGGTATCAGGTATTTCAGATACACGTGTTGCATTGAATGTACTCGTATGTCCAAACGGTCGACTTTTTAATGACGAATGTACAGCTTGTACCACCACCAACCAGTCGCCCTTGTGGCCTCGTGTACTACTTAGTGTTGTAAACGCTTTGTGTGGTATTTGCCGGACTACATTCTAATAATAATAATGCAATCTTTGCTTGTTTTTCAGTTCCTGTTTGTACAAACGGTGAAATATATTGTTATCGTTTCTTTTTAGCCTATCGTGTTTGAAATATATTTAACATGTTTCATCAAGTTATCATTATGAGATTATTTAAGATTATTTTGTTTAGACTTTGTTCTGAATAAAGTTATTTTGATTACTAAACAATGTTGTTTTGGGGTCACGACATGATTTCTAAGGTGAGTGAGTTGGATTTAACGCCGATTAAACAGTATATAATTTCAGTTTCACGGCGTGTTAGCTTAATATGGAAGGAAAGCCTAAAGTGATGCAGGTCTCAGATGCTGATGCTAGATGCTGATTTAAGGAAGTGACTGCCCATCTCGATTGTCCGACGAACAGATTCTATTGGGTGCAATTATATAAATGGATCACTGGAAATGAGTGATGACATCTGGTGTTCGCAAAAATGGTACGCACGTCCTCCTGTCCTACCCAAGTTTCGTATTCAAAGAGCATATCAAGCATGGCATTTCGAACTTATACAAAGGTTCACATGTAGACACGTGTGGACACTTAACTGATAAACTGACATTAAACTGATAAAATGACACTAAACTGCTTCCAGTTTGGGCACAGGAACCACTGGATCTTTCAAACAAATATCTTTACTTTTTCCAAAAAAATGGTCCAATGGTTTTAGCGCAGACGCCCTTTGAATGAAAGCGATATGTTTCCAACCACTTTGAACACCGATAAACATTCAAGGATTATTTTCGTTGCAGAAATAGTTGCTTGGTCCGTGTCTTGACGTCTTTAAACAGGTGACATGATGTGTTTTATAACCTGTTGATTATGAGTGAGTGAGTGAGTGAGTTGGGTTTTGCACCACTTTTAGTAATATTCCAGCAAGACCACGCCGCCAGAAATGGGCTTCACGCATTGTACCCATGTGAGGAATCGAACCCGGGCCTTCAACATGGCGAGCGAGCGCTTTAACCACTAAGCTATCCCACCTCCCCTTTTAATTACGAAATTAATATCAATGCTAAACTTGTGTAAATATCAATGTTACAAAAGAAAGATTTACTTTGATGTAGTTGGGTAAACATAGAACATGGACATATGATATGATCTGTTAAGTAATTCAGCAGGAGAAGATCGTTTAAGTAGGCACCAATGAATGGACTCATTTGGATTCAACGCTGTACGAAGACCCATGACATGAGCTAATTTAGGCGATATCAAAGTGATCTAATAAAAGCATTATGAAGAAACATGTTGACCATATAAAGACTATTTGATATAAAGAACAAGCGACGGTCAAGTTACGATGACTTAAATACGTATAGAATATTTCTCTATCCTTACTGATTGAATAACAGTCTGTGAAAGTTGAAACTATTTCTATTTAAATCATAGTGTAAACATGTACAAGTACAAAATTGGCGAAGTTAAAGGTTGGTCGCGGGGAGAAGTTCGATGAGTGACCCAGTGCAAACTTGACTCATTGGAAATTCGAGGGCTTTGGTCCTTCCCGTACTGAAACACGTTGCAATATTTATCTGAAGCTATTCACGAGAGTTGTAAACATTTAACTTTGTATGTAAGAAAAAAGCATCTTAACATTTAAGATCTCAAGTGAATTGCGTAAAAGGAGTTCAGCCGTCACCTATAAATATCTTTTGACCTGGAAACCTTTTGGTGGCCTTCGATGTCGACCTTTAAGCTTATAAAAATGAAAAATTAATACCTCCTACACATAATATCCGCCGAGTCCGCATCTACGGTATCAATTGATTAAATCGTGTATTCATGTATTAATAAGTTCCAAACGGGAGTGTAATTTGTTTGATCACCTGAAACTCAGTTCAGCCTGAAAAAATTCTGGAAGCAATGTCTTCGTAGCGAGTGTTCGCCTACATATGCCATTCACGTAGTTCTACTTTATTACACCGAAATCATTGTAATGTAAGACTCTTAATTCAAATATCATCCCATGCCAGGTTTAAGTGTCATTAAGCTCGTGAGAATATACATGTTACATATTTCTGGGCGTTTTAGTTCCGATTTTTAATAATCACACGACGTACAATTAAAGTATCTTAGAGTATTAGAGTATATATCTCGGAAAACGAAATAGGATACGCGGTATCATGGATCATGTCCAACGTAAAAGCCTACATGAACGAACATAAAACATTCACTCATAATCAGTCAGTTAAGTGAGTGAGTGAGTGAGTTGGGTTTAACGCCGATTTTAACAGTATTCCAGTCATATCACGGCGTGTCAGCTTAATGTGGGAGGAAAGCCCGATGTGATGCAGGTCTCTGACGTTTACCACGGGTATGGTGCTGACAAACCTAGAAACATAATCGGGGCGAACCGGGATTCGAACCCACAATCATAGGTTTCTGGCGTGGCCAAGGGACGCAACTCTGCACAGCGAATCGCTGCGTCTTAGACCGGGATTCGAACCCACAATCATCACGGCGGGGGACACCAGAAATGGGCTTCACATATTCTACCCATTTGGGGAATCGAACCCGGGTCTTCGGAGTGACGAGCGAACACTTCAACCACAAGGCTACCCCTCCTCTTCCACTCGAAATGACTAAATGTACTTTTAGTACATTGTACTATCGAAATAAAGATATATGACAAGTACATTAATGGTAATGTTAGCTGATAACTACTAAATACAATTGACTCGTTTGTTTGATGGTTAACGCGGCTATATGGCGGAGGACTGTAAATATTCATGAAGTCATAGATAAATAATCAACCATGAATTTGGAAGATGCTCGATTCTGTTTGGTCAATCCCAAATTTCAAATCACAATAGAGAACCTCTGAGTGAAACGACTGGTTTGATGGTTACATCACAGAGACACAAGCATGGCGTACTTGGGAGAAATATGTCCGGAACATCACTTCCCTGGAGAGATAAGAATGAGAGAAGCTTCACAGAGAGACAAGCATGATGTACTTGCGAGAAATCTGCCAGGAACCTCGCAACATAGAGAAACAAGAATGAGGGATGCTTCACAGACAGAGATACGCATGAGGGAAGCTACACAGACAGAGATACGCATAAGGGGAGATACACAGAGAGAAAAGCATGAGAGAAACTACACAGCGAGACAAGCATGAGAGATACTACACAGAGAGACAAGCATGAGCGGAGCTACACAGAGAGACAAGCACGAGGGAAGCTACACAGAGATACGCATGCGGGTAGTTACAACACAGTAAGACATGCACGAGAGAAGCTACACAGAGAGACAAGAAGGAGAGAAGCTACACAGAGAGACAAGAATGAGAGAAGCTACACAGACAGACACAAGAATGGGAGAAGCTTCACAGAAAGACACAAGAATGAGAGAAGCTTCACAGAGAGACAAGAATGAGAGAAGCTTCACAGAAAGACAAGGATGAGAGAAGCTACACAGAGAGACAAGCATGAGAGAAGCTTCACAGAGAGACAAGAATGAGGGAAGCTACACAGAGAGACAAGCATGAGAGAAGCTTCACAGAGAGACAAGCATGAGAGAAGCTACACAGAGAGACAAGAATGAGGGAAGCTACACAGGGAGACAAGAATGAGAGAAGCTACACAGAGAGACAAGCATGAGAGAAGCTACACAGAGAGACAAGGATGAGGGAAGCTACACAGAGAGACAAGGATGGGGGAAGCTACACAGAGAGACAAGGATGAGGGAAGCTACACAGAGAGACAAGAATGAGGGAAGCTACACAGAGAGACAAGAATGAGGGAAGCTACACAAAGAGACAAGAATGAGAGAAGCTTCACAGAGCGACAAGCATGAGAAAGGGTACACAGAGAGACAAGAATGAGGGAAGCTTCACAGAGCGACAAGCATGAGAAAGGGTACACAGAGAGACAAGAATGAGGGAAGCTACACAGGGAGACAAGAATGAGAGAAGCTACACAGAGAGACAAGCATGAGAGAAGCTACACAGAGAGACAAGGATGAGGGAAGCTACACAGAGAGACAAGAATGAGAGAAGCTACACAGAAAGACAAGAATGAGGGAAGCTACACAGAGAGACAAGAATGAGAGAAGCTACACAGAGAGACAAGGATGAGGGAAGCTACACAGAGAGACAAGGATGAGGGAAGCTACACAGAGAGACAAGGATGAGGGAAGCTACACAAAGAGACAAGAATGAGAGAAGCTTCACAGAGCGACAAGCATGAGAAAGGGTACACAGAGAGACAAGAATGAGGGAAGCTTCACAGAGCGACAAGCATGAGACAGGGTACACAGAGAGACAAGAATGAGGGAAGCTACACAGGGAGACAAGAATGAGAGAAGCTACACAGAGAGACAAGCATGAGAGAAGCTACACAGAGAGACAAGGATGAGGGAAGCTACACAGAGAGACAAGAATGAGAGAAGCTACACAGAAAGACAAGAATGAGGGAAGCTACACAGAAAGACAAGAATGAGGGAAGCTACACAGAGAGACAAGAATGAGAGAAGCTACACAGAGAGTCAAGCATGAGATAAGCTTCACAGAGAGACAAGAATGAGGGAAGCTACACAGAGAGACAAGGATGAGAGGAGCTACACAGAGAGACAAGCATGAGAGAAGCTTCACAGATAGACATGAATGAGAGAAGCTTCACAGAGAGACAAGGATGAGGGAATCTACACAGAGAGACAAGAATGAGAGAAGCTTCACAGAGCGACAAGAATGAGAGAAGCTTCACAGAGCGACAAGCATGAGAAAGGGTACACAGAGAGACAAGCATGAGAGAAGCTTCACAGATAGACAAGGATGAGAGGAGCTACACAGAGAGACAAGCATGAGAGAAGCTTCACAGAGAGACAAGAATGAGAGAAGCTTCACAGAGCGACAAGAATGAGAGAAGCTACACAGAGAGACAAGCATGAGAGAAGCTACACAGAGAGACAAGCATGAGAGAAGCTTCACAGAGAGACAAGGATGAGAGGAGCTACACAGAGAGACAAGCATGAGAGAAGCTTCACAGATAGACAAGAATGAGAGAAGCTTCACAGAGCGACAAGAATGAGAGAAGCTACACAGAGAGACAAGCATGAGAGAAGCTACACAGAGAGACAAGGATGAGGGAAGCTACACAGAGAGACAAGAATGTGAGGGAAGCTACACAGAGACACAAGAATGAGAGAAGCTTCACAGAGCGACAAGCATGAGAAAGGGTACACAGAGAGACAAGAATGAGGGAAGCTACACAGAGACACAAGCATGCGGGAAGCCACACAGAGGGACACGAGTGAGGGAAGCTACACAGAGACACAAGAATGAGAGAAGCTTCACAGAGAGACAAGCATGAGAGAAGCTTCACAGAGAGACAAGAATGAGGGAAGCTACACAGAGAGTCAGGCATGAGAGAAGCTACACAGAGAGACATGAATGAGAGAAGCTTCACAGAGCGACAAGCATGAGAAAGGGTACACAGAGAGACAAGAATGAGGGAAGCTACACAGAGACACAAGCATGCGGGAAGCCACACAGAGGGACACGAGTGAGGGAAGCTACACAGAGACACAAGAATGAGAGAAGCTTCACAGAGAGACAAGCATGAGAGAAGCTTCACAGAGAGACAAGAATGAGGGAAGCTACACAGAGAGTCAGGCATGAGAGAAGCTACACAGAGAGACATGAATGAGAGAAGCTTCACAGAGAGACAAGCATGAGAGAAGCTACACAGAGAGACAAGCATGAGGGAAGCTTCACAGAGAGACAAGCATGAGAGAAGCTTCACAGAGAGACAAGCATGAGAGAAGCTACACAGAGAGACAAGCATGAGGGAAGCTACACAGAGAGACAAGCATGAGGGAAGCTTCACAGAGAGACAAGCATGAGAGAAGCTACACAGAGAGACAAGCATGAGGGAAGCTACACAGAGAGACAAGCATGAGGGAAGCTTCACAGAGAGACAAGCATGAGAGAAGCTACACAGAGAGACAAGCATGAGAGAAGCTACACAGACAGACATGAATGGGAGAAGCTTCACAGAGACACAAGAATGAGAGAAGCTTCACAGAGAGACAAGAATGAGGGAAGCTACACAGAGAGACAAGCATGAGAGAAGCTTCACAGAAAGACAAGAATGGGAGAAGCTTCACAGACAGACACAAGAATGAGAGAAGTTTCACAGAGAGACAAGAATGAGAGAAGCTTCACAGAAAGACAAGGATGAGAGAAGCTACACAGAGAGACATGAATGAGAGAAGCTACACAGAGAGACAAGGATGAGGGAAGCTACACAGAGAGACAAGCATGAGAGAAGCTTCACAGAGACACAAGAATGAGAGAAGCTTCACAGAGAGACAAGCATGAGAGAAGCAACACAGGAAGACAAGAATGAGGGAAGCTACACAGAGAGACAAGAATGAGGGAAGCTACACAGAAAGACAAGAATGAGGGAAGCTTCACAGAGAGACATGAATGGGAGAAGCTTCACAGAGAGACAAGGATGAGAGAAGCTACACAGAGAGACGAGCATGAGGGAAGCTACACAGGAAGACAAGAATGAGGGAAGCTTCACAGAGAGACATGAATGGGAGAAGCTTCACAGAGAGACAAGGATGAGAGAAGCTTCACAGAGAGACAAGCATGAGGGAAGCTACACAGAGAGACAAGAATGAGAGAAGCTACACAGAGAGACGAGCATGAGAGAAGCAACACAGGAAGACAAGAATGAGGGAAGCTACACAGAAAGACAAGAATGAGGGAAGCTATACAGAGAAACATGAATGGGAGAAGCTTCACAGAGAGACGAGCATGAGGGAAGCTACACAGAGAGACAAAAACCCGCAACACAGAGAGAAAACATGATTGACTTCACTTCCCAGAGAAACAGGCCTGGTGTACTTTACAGAGCAACCCGATGCACCCTGAGTCCAATGATGATCAGAAACGCCGCTTCCGTTGAAACAAAGTAACGGTTACTGTACAAGTAAGTAACGGTTACTGTACAAGTCATTAAGAGAAGCATATGAATATACTATCAAGCATTGTCATACACCTGGAACACGTTCCTTGATGTTCATCTACGTGTGGACAGATCAATATATGCAAATTGATACCATTAATGTCTCTGACAGTTTGCGTAGGTACTAAATTAGTTAAAACGGAACGCCTGTAGCGTTTCTTGGTTCATGTTAATTTCACATATGGTGACATATATTTGTGTACTTATACAGATTCGAGAGTGGGATGGGGGCTGCGGGGTAGTCCAGTGTTCGCTCGCTAGGCCAAAGGATCCTGGTTCGTGGGAACAATGTGTGAATCTCATAGCTGGTTGTCCACCTTCGTGATATATATGCTAGACTAAAAGATAAATGACACCGACGGTGTTTCATCCTGCGATGAAGTACACTTATTGAATTACGTCATAATGGGCTGACGTCATGACGCCGTTCAAATTAGCCCCCGGTTTCTGATGTATCCTTGGTCATTTCTGTAAATATAGATATCACATCTACATCAATGTTGCACTTGTAAACAAACAGAGGTGCAACGTGTGGCAATGACTCCATATATGGTGTGCGTGTTGCCACGCCAGTGTTGTACTTGTAGACAAACACAGGTGTCACGTGTAGGAATTATGACTCCATATACGGTGTGCCTGTTGTGTCTCGTCAATATTAAACATAAATGGTACATGCGTACTGTTGGTTGTAGTAAAAAGTAAAGAAATCAGCTTTTATCAAGAGATTTCTTTTGATTATGGAAAAGGTTTCGACGCTTACATATTATTATAACAAAGATGTCTACATACATGTATATGGTACATGCGTTGTATCTCGCCAAGGTTGTACTTGTAAACAAACACATCTGTTACAAGTATTTATTATTGTACAGACTGGGCACGTATTATACAGGGGTGGTCAGGTGTTGTGTCTGGGAGTGGCGATTATTTTGAATGGCCGTGGCATCCGGGTTATACCCAGAATTCCTCCAAGATCTGGTGGCGGTTCCCCTTCCGGCACCCGGAATTTGAACGTTTTCAGCAATGACGTAAGAAAAAGAAACAGTTCCATCCGGGCTAGTGACTCACCAAGGCATATTCTTCTTCCTGAAAGAATTCAAACCAGTGTTCATATTATTCAAATAACAGCACGACGCATGGGTATTACCTTGAGTACCTTATCACCAATATATCAACTTGTTTTTCGCAACATTACTGAAAATAGCTGAAACACAAGTTCACAACAATTATTGAAAAACGCAAATGACACTTCAATATTAACGTAACACTAAACATAAATAAAGAGTTGCGTCCCTTAGGCATGGCAGAAACATATAGTTCGAATCCGAGTATATTCCCAGGTTTGTCATCACCATACCAGTGCTAGTGGGGTTCACCAAAATATAGTGACGTCTCAGGCCTGCATCAGACCATCATACGGGGCTTTCTTTCCACGTGAAGGTGACCCGACGTGATATAACTGGAATATAGTAGTGCATATATATATATACACACTAGTATATACTAGTCTATATTCTATATGGTCCTTATACCATGGCGTATAGATAAGATGTTACATGACACAGAGTCAACCAACAACCAACGACATATGTGTGTATGTGTGAATTAGTCCTTATATCATGGCGTATAGATAAGATGTTTCATGTAACAGAGTCAACCAACGACCAGCAGCATATGTGTGTATGAATGATTTGGTCGTCATAACATGGCGTATAGATCAGATGTTACATAAAACAGAGTCAACCAACGACCAACGACATATGTGTGTATGTGTGAATTGGTCCTTATACCATGGCGTATAGATCAGATGTTACATGTAACAGAGTCAACCAACAACCAACGACATATGTGTGTATGTGTGAATTGGTCCTTATACCATGGCGTATAGATAAGATGTTTCATGTAACAGAGTCAACCAACGACCAGCAGCATATGTGTGTATGAATGATTTGGTCGTCATAACATGGCGTATAGATAAGATGTTACATAAAACAGAGTCAACCAACGACCAACGACATATGTGTGTATGTGTGAATTGGCCCTTATACCATGGCGTATAGATCAGATGTTACATGTAACAGAGTCAACCAACAACCAACGACATATGTGTGTATGTGTGAATTGGTCCTTATACCATGGCGTATAGATAAGATGTTTCATGTAACAGAGTCAACCAACGAGCAGCAGCATATGTGTGTATGAATGATTTGGTCGTCATAACATGGCGTATAGATAAGATGTTACATAAAACAGAGTCAACCAACGACCAACGACATATGTGTGTATGTGTGAATTGGTCCTTATACCATGGCGTATAGATCAGATGTTACATGTAACAGAGTCAACCAACAACCAACGACATATGTGTGTATGTGTGAATTGGTTCTTATACCATGGCGTATAGATCAGATGTTACATGTAACAGAGTCAACCAACAACCAACGACATATGTGTGTATGTGTGAATTGGTCCTTATACCATGGCGTAAAGATAAGATGTTACATGTAACAGAGTCAACCAACGACCAACGACATATGTGTGTATGTGTGAATTGGTTCTTATACCATGGCGTATAGATCAGATGTTACATGTAACAGAGTCAACCAACAACCAACGACATATGTGTGTATGTGTGAATTAGTCCTTATATCATGGCGTATAGATAAGATGTTTCATGTAACAGAGTCAACCAACGACCAGCAGCATTTGTGTGTATGAATGATTTGGTCGTCATAACATGGCGTATAGATAAGATGTTACATAAAACAGAGTCAACCAACGACCAACGACATATGTGTGTATGTGTGAATTGGTCCTTATACCATGGCGTATAGATCAGATGGTACATGAAACAGAGTCAACCAACGACCAACGACATATGTGTGTATGTGTGAATTGGTCCTTATACCATGGCGTAAAGATAAGATGTTACATGAAACAGAGTCAACCAACGACCAGCGACATATGTGTGTATGTGTGATTTGGTCGTCATAACATGGCGTATAGATCAGATGTTACATGAAACAGAGTCAACCAACGACCAGCAGCATATGTATGTATGTGTGAGTGTATGTTTGTTGTTTAAAGCTGCATTAAGCATTATCCCAGCTACTTACATCTGCTGCTTAGCATTTACATCCTACAGATATTGAGACAGTCCCTGTTCTCGTCACTCACCCATGAAGAAGGGGATGACTGCCTCATCTCGACGGACACTTCCGCTCTCGTCTAGGAACCTCTCCGGTCTGAATGTTTCGGGATCCCCCCAAACATCGGGGTCGGATAGGACGGAGCTGATGTTCGGAAGCAGTATGGTGTTCTCGGGAATGGTGAATCCCCTGAATTGTGTGGTCTGGGGAGGCGCGTGGGGCACAGAGAAGGGGACAACATCAGCGAGTCTCTGCACCTCCATGATGAGAGCTTCCATGAAGGGGAGGCAACGCCTGTCACTCATTGAGGGCTGGTGCTCCTTCTCAAAGACCTGGTCCAACTCTAGCTGTGCCTTCTCCTGGATGTCTGGGTGCAGGATCAGGTACAGGAGAGCCCACCGCAATGTCGTTGTAGTCGTCTCCGTTCCAGCCACGAAAAACTCGAGAATAATATGAGTTAACATCTCATCTGAAATGAATGACCATTAATTAATAAAACCGCATTTGAGCAGATACTAGTACCTGGATACCTGCGGTATATAAATGTATAATATAAATCTATGATGTGTGTGAACGCTTATAACGTTACTCTTTCAAAAGGTATCGTTTAACGGCAAGTTTTGTGCTTAAAGAAGTCATGGATCGTGAGTGAGTGAGTATGGTTTTACGCCGCTTTTAGCAATATTTTAGCAATATCACGGCGGAGGCCACCAGAAATGGGCTTCACACATTTTACCAATGTCGGGAATCGAACCAGGGTCTTCGGCGTGACGAGCGAACGCTTAACCACTAGGCTACCCGACCGCCCCATGGACTGTGATGATAGGAAACAAAACCTTACTATTACATAAGACCGCTTGTGCGATCACGCTGATGTCTACGTTAACGAGTGAAAATGGATTTGAACTCGTGTAGTCATGCTTGCACGAGAATGAACGTAGCAATATCCAATTTGAACTGCTGGGCAAAAGATAGAACACCCCCAAGTTTGATGGTGGCTAAACTGAAGTAAACAAGAAATGGTTATTCGACGGTGGTGCATTTGATACGGGTATCAGAGCTGTGTTTTGGACCTAAAGATTGCAGTGTTTGGTCGACTGTTTTCAGCCAGGTAAGGGGTGGTCGGGTAGCCTAGTGGTTAAAGCGTTCGCTCGTCACGCCGAAGACCCGGGTTCGATTCCCGACATGGGTACAATGTGTGAAGCCCATTTCTGGTGTCCCCCGCCGTGATATTGCTGGAATATTGCCAAAAGCGACGTAAAACCATACTCACTCACTCAGCCAGGTAAAGTTTTGATAACGTTTGCATATTTGGATCAAAACCAATTGTCAAGTATATACTTTCTTCCTGACAGTTTCTATCACGGCTGCCTGTAACCGATCAATCTGGATATGGTAAATTGGTGTGAGTAGCCACGAAACCACCAGGGAACGATGACAAGCCAAGTCAGCAAGTCTGACGATCAGATCTACTTTAGTCGACTCTTGCGACAAGGATTTACGTAACTTGGGACGAATACTACTACGAACCTTCGGAATTACCCTAGAGTGCGAAATGATTTCAAGCCATGTATGTGTATAGACACACTCCCACACCGGGAAACACTTATCCAAACGTATCTTGTGGACCTAACTTGCACATTTTCCGAATCGGGATACCAAGTTGAACGGATTAGTTTATCTCATCGAAAACACCACTAAACTAACTTACCGCTAAACGAAGTGCTGTCCGGATTAGTGGTGTGCTGATGTTTAACCTCCCTCAGATAGGCATTAACAAAGTCGACCTGTTGTTGAAGGTTTGGGTCCGCCTTATGCAGCTGTATGTGTTTCTGTACAAAGCCCCTGAGTATGACATCCCGCGGAGCCATAGTCCCGAGTTTGAGTGGATCTCCAGGACAGTATTTCAAAACTGGAAAAAAGTGACCCAGTGATGTCCCGCCGACTATCTTCATATTCTCGTTGATCTCATACATAAAAGATTTGAATTCTTCATTGTCATATCCAAACCTCTTCCCGAAGATTAGAGACGAAATAACGTCACAGATGCTTGCGTTGATGATGTTGTTGATGTCGAAAGTCGCGCCGTTCTGCGCCAGGATGGCGTCGAGACACGACGTCACTTCAACAAGGATACTTGTTTCCATAACATTCTTGCCAAGGCCAAGGTCACGCAAAACGGAGAGAGAGAATTTTCTTTGCTCTTTCCACATCTGGCCGCTTGAATTCACGATGCCTGGATAAAAAAATGAATAATAGTTTCATTTCAGACACTCCGAACAGTGAAATCCCGGCAATCCAGAATCCTGTGAAACCCGTCAGGATTAACAAATGCCCGGATCATAAAATCGAAATATCCGGCCCTCTTGTGATTATGGAGCTGCTTCCAGCAGTAGCCGAACGGATTATTGTGTCTCACTGTACATGATCAACGAATTTGTGTGTACACATTGCCTACAAATAGCGCCGTAGGGCTCTGAAGTTCATTCAAACAATTTGATATTTGCAAATTCCGTATTAACATTAGAACTCATCCTCATTGTGTTCAAGTTAACCAACACAGGGTACACAACACACCCTTACACTGTAGCGATGAGCACACACACGGTAGATACCTCACGCTATATGTGACGATGAACACAGTCACGAGTATATTGCTAACACACAAACGCGTAAATTACTAAATTATCTGCGGCAATGAACACACAAACGGGTAAATTACTAAATTATCTGTGGCAATGAACACACAAACGGGTAAATTACTAAATTACCTGCAGCAAAGAAAACACACATGTGTAAATTACTAACATATCTGAAGTGAAGAAACACACATATGTGAAAAATACTAAATTTTCTGAAGCGATGAACACACAACTGTGTAAATTAGTAAATTACCTGTAGCGATGAACAGACAAACGGGTAAATTAGTAAATTATCTGTGGAGATGAACACACAAATGTGTAAATTACTAAATTACCTGTAGCAATGAAAACACAAATGTGTAAATTACCTGAAGCGATAAACACACAACTGTGTAAATTACTAAATTATCTGTAACGATGAACACAGGCACTTACAAAGGGAACATTAGTAAAACTATAGCTAGCGATGAACACACCCGCCTACATGGGGTAAATTACTAAAGCTACATGTAGCGATGGACTTACCAATACACAGTGCAAGTTACACACAATAGATGTATTGATGACTTACACAAGACAAATTATGAAAAATAAACGCAGCGATGAGAACACATACATGCACAGAGCGTACACTACACATTTATCTTAAGACGAATCTCAACCCGACCTTGATAGGAAAGAAGCACGCACCCACGCACGAACGCACACGCACGCACGCACACATGTGAGAAAGTCATCTACATATTTGTCGAGTGTTTTTGAAAGAATTATTGTCAGAATGAAAAATATTTTACGTACGCAATTTTCTCGTGTCTGTGGAAAGTAACAGTTGATGGATCGGCCAGTTGATGTACCACATTTTAAATTGAGTTATTATCGAAGTTAATTTTTTTCTGTTTGTCATTTTCTATTTATGACTGTCGTAAATGTGTGTGTGTGTGTGTGTGTGTGTGTGTGTGTGTGTGTGTGTGTGTGTGTGTGTGTGTGAGAGAGAGAGTGAACGTGTGGGGAGTCAGTATATTTCTGGTTCATAGGGGGGATTTTATGTTTGGTTCTATAAATTCACCACCTGGTTGAACAATATCAACAATCCGAGTTCATAAACATAACCTAAATAAATGCAGCATATCTTCAAACTTTACAATCCCGCAACAAGCACAGACAGTATCAAAAAGGTTGTCGTAATGCAGGCATACCATATATATATATATATATATATATATATATATATATATATATATATATATATATATATATATATATATATATATATATATATATATTGGCAATAAAACCTGTTAATAATTTTCAAAAACTCAGAATATGCAAATGTCCAGACACATCTGCTGACGTAGCTGTTCTGCCTGAACGAATATTTAGATACCCATCTCGGATAAGGTGATCTAATTGCTTTATCACATAACTTGTCGATACTTTTTTTCAGCGTGAACTCGTTACTCTGTCAATACCACCTAGAATTTAAGATCGCAAGGCCATATCATTTATGATATACATAATTCCAAGTTTTAGGCACACTCCTTGTATCTGAGCCCAGTGCACAAAGACACTCAGACAAAAAGTAACGTGCAAAATGATGACCTTGAAGAGCACGTGAGCCTCAAACCCCTACCATGCCCGTGGTTCCGTGAAGATTCAGGGTTAGAAATGTTCTTCAGCAACCCATGCTTGTCGTGAGAGGCGACTAAGGATATCGGGTGGTCAGACACGCTGACTTGGTTGATGGATGTCATCGTATTCAAATTCCGTAGATCGATGATCATAATGTCAATTACTGAATTTTCTGGTCCAGACTCTAGTATTTACAGACCGTCGTCATATAGCTGGAATATTGCTGAGTGCGGCGTTAAACAACAAACCAACTCACCAATCTTACAATCACCATCCGATGTGAACAAAACAAATGACGTCAAGTCATCATTAAATAATAGTTTGGGCTTTTATTGTCGCAATTGAAAAAAAGAAGAAATGAAAAAAACCAAACTATTTCTTATTGCTAAATAATCTCACGATGACTGTATGAAAAGGAGGGAGGGTCCACTTCACAATGGTTTCAAGTTTATTGAAAACCCTCGTTTGTGTATATTCAAGACGGGTTGTCCCGCCCTCCTTCATCAATAACCTTCGCCACGCTCGTTAAACACGAGGAGCGTACGACACACTACGCCAGGAGCGTGACCTTTAACCCCTCCCCTTTCTGTTACTGTGTGTGTGAGTGTGTGTCTGTGTGTGTCTCTCTCTCTCTTTATTTCATTTCTGATAGGTTAAATTATCTCACTGGCAAGGGTAATAAATGCTCATATAGCCATGGATGTAATATGATACCTTGTAGGCAGTTAAATATTGTTATCATACTTACCCATTCTCTTTGTATATTCGTCATACATCAGCCCCTTTGGTCGGTCACTGAAATTGTCCCCATACTTCACAAACGCCTCTTTGAGCGTTTCGTGGCCATTAAAGACAATGACGAGCTTGTTGCCAAAATAAAGGCTAAACACATCGCCATACTGTTTCCTTAACTTCTGGAAGATGTGTCTGACATCACCCCCCGACAAGGAGAGGAGATTGCCGATCAGCGGCAGTGTCGGGGGACCTGGGGGTATGTGCTGCGGTTTCCGCGTTCCGAGCCACAGGCCGAGTATACTTACAGCAGCAACCAGAAGCCAGGTCGGGCTCACACAAACACAGTCACATATTGACATTGCGGTGTCGGGATATGCACTAATGCACTATAGATGTAACGTAAAACTGCAATCCGCTACATACGCTGCAGTACCATGGCCTATTTTTCTGATCAGCATCCTGTTTTTTTCCAACTAATTAAATGTAAAACTTCCGGAAAGGGTTTTGTCAAAACATGCAACGAAGAACTAATGGAAACGAATAATGATTCCCTTAAATAAACTCGTCTTTTTAACACTTCTTTTCAATTGAAAATAGGAAATAAGTACATGTCACATTCACATCGTAGGTTTAGTTTAAGCTGTATTTGTTAATTTATATGTTGATGCCCTACCATAGTAAGACAATATGATGAAAAGCGAATATAGAAACCAATATCCACACTGACGCTTGACTGTATTAAGGTATAGTATAACAGATGAATATGAAAGTGTCGAACATGCCGATCGTGGTGTCGAGCCTAACAACTTTAATCTTGATCGTCCCCAAAATGATACTGATATAGAATATAATATGGCAGGAATCGGCCTTTCCATGTTTTACAAAGATTAAGTGATATTACAAAACCCGCGGTATCAAATAATGTTACTGAAGATATTTGTTCTTCCAATTCAAACACTCCATACAATATTTAGGTCGAAACAACTTGAGCTCGCTTAGTATGCTCCCTCTGTGTGTGTGTGTGTGTGTGTGTGTGTGTGTGTGTGTGTGTGTGTGTGTGTGTGTGTGTGTGTGTGTGTATATATATATATATATATATATACACACACACATATATATATACAGAGTTTCATTTACATGAAGACACGAGACTACATACAAAATATCACACATTCTTCAGCAACTCCATTCTTGCAGTAAAAGGCGACTGTGCTTGTCGTTAGAAACGACAAGCGGGATCGGGTGATCAAGCTCGCTGACTTAGTTGATGCATGTCATCATATCCCAATTGCGTGGATCGATGCTCATGATGTCAATCACTTGATTGTGTGGTCAAGACTGGATTATATATATACAAACCGCCGTCATATAGCTTAAATATTCTGATTGCGGCGTTAAACAACATTCACACAAACTACAAAATATCAGCGAGTTATCGTCGAGCCCTTTGGATAATTCACTGTGCAGAATTTCCAACAGTCAAATTGTTAACTGTGACGTAATCAGCCAGCGCTATAATGTCATCAGGCAGTATCTTTGCATAATATTATTCACTTCAACTGCCTGTGCTTTCTTATCCGATTGGAAACCTTGTATACACAAAGAAAAACGTTAAGCACACCCATATTTCTGAACCATGACAAATGGCAAAAATCATGGCATGGGATGGATGACTGACCACAGGAGCTGGGCGGTACCAATGTCATCGGATAGAACAAATATTAAACAACAAATAAAGAAGCTATTGGTTGTGATTGAAATTTACTGACAAAAACATCATGGTAACACAGTTACTGTTTTTTACCTTAGACAATGCCTAAAAAAGTATGGAGCTGCAGGATTTTGTAAACGAGTTACGTTTGATGTTTCATGTGAAATGTTCCTTAAGTCTCCACTTGACATGGCTAGTGAAACAGATCAGTAGCGGGTGTAATCGCCACAGGCCCGGGTGAGGCATTCCACCCTACGTCTCATGCCTTCAGTCAGACGTTGGATCTGTTGATGGGTCAACAACAACCACCCCTGATGCAATGCTGCTTCCACCTGTAAATCTTGTAAATCTTGTACAAGAGGATCTCTCGCCTGTATGCGCCGCACCAGAATATCCCAAACATGTTCAAGGGGGTTCAAATCTGGGCTCATTGCTGGCCAGGGTAGAGTCGTTATTGCAGTGGCCCTCATGTAATCCACGACTGCATACGAACGATGAGGCCTGGCATTGTCATCCATGTACTGAGGTCGAGTAGCAAGAGGGTGGTTGTCAAAATGAGGAACGACGACTGACCTCAAAACGTCCCGGATGTACTGAGCCCCTGTTGAGTTGGCCTTAACATACAATCTTTATAGATACACCTCCAAACCATTACTGAGCCCCACCGTATGCAACAGTCAGTTTAATGTTCCTGGGGGTGCAGGCCGTGTTCCGGTGCCTCCAAACTCTCGTTCTATCTTCAGTGACGTGGAGCAGAAAGCAACTTTCGTCTGACCAATGGATCCGTTTCCAAGTTCTCAGATTCAAGCTCTGTCGCGCAACGAGCAGCTTTGTTGTGATCTCGCAACAAGGGACGCTTAATGACTCGTCTCGCCCTCATTCCTGCTGCTTTTAGCCGGTTCCTGATGGTTCTGGTGCTGAAACGACAATTGGGCAACCATAGCTATTTCAGACGAGTACTTGTTAAAAAGGGTTCTCGGCGTATGAGACGAAGGTCCCTGTCTTCGCTATCTGTCGTCACAGGAGGTCTTCCGGATCTGGGACGGTCCTGTACATCACCGGTCTGAGCATTTTCTCGACTAAATGGCTTACGACCCTGTGATGATACCCCAAATTCCGACCAATGGTATTACAAGACATTCCTGCGTTATGCATGCCGATTATTTGCCAATTTGTGGCGTTTGATAATCGCCTTCGTGCCATGGTCACACAATGTCATGGAATAACTTTAAAATCAAGCTTAAGAAAACAATTGTAACGTTTGGATATACTGCTTTTAGAGCATACCATCCATGGCATGTGAGCTTTCATCACGCATGGCTGATTACATCATCTCCAGAAAACATAATACTTCCTGTAAATATATCTTTTTTGACTGTTACAAATATTGGGACCAAACAATAATGAAATATATTAGGGTGTGCTTAACTTTTTTCTTTGTGTATATATATATATATATTCGCGGGCAACAAATTTCGTTTGTGTGTAATGCAAAATGACATATTACAAATGGGGTCTGTTGAATTTTCAAAGGACACTTTGTCAAACTTGGATGTTTTATCACAGATCTTGGCTTTATTAGGTGAGATGTGTAATGAGTATAATTATTAGACAGGTTATAAATCGTTATCACTTCCAGTGTCAGTAGACAAACACAAATACAACTGATTATTACTCTTGCATGGCATGTATTACGCAGAGATGGTTAGGTGCTGTTTCTTGGAGTGGCGATTATTTTGAAAGGCCGTGGCATCCGGGTTATACCCAGAATTCCTTCAAGATCTGGTGGAGGTTCCCCTTCCGGAAGCCGGAAATTGAACGTCTTCAGCAGTGACGACAGAAACAGAAACAGTTCCATCCGGGCTAGTGACTCACCAAGGCATATTCTTCTTCCTAAAGAAAAAGACACGAAGCCAGTGATGTTTATATGATTTCAATATCATGATTTGTGGTCATTACCAAGATAGTCTTGCCAGTATTATCCATTAGTTTTATGTGAAAGATTCCGAAACATAATTTCTACAAAAGTGAACGATCAAGTGGATTATTCTCATGACATTCGCGAGCAAATGGATGTTCCTAATATTGACTTGCCGACATTGTTGACTCGAATTAAATGATATCACGCAAACATATACCCTAAGACATAATATACGGATAAATACCAGACCTTGTTTATCCCCTGTATGCCGAGCGCCAGGCATTGAGGGGTAAAAAAGGGACAAACTTTAATATCTGATGGTAGGACCACACGACCCAGTGACCTTTCGCAGACGCTCTATCCACTACGCCCCGAAGGCGGTCTTTGTGACTTCAGTTACAACTTGGGGCATGTGTGAGGGGCACGTGGGCATCTTTAAGGCATGCCAGAGACCTATATGGGCAATATTGGCCCATCAACTAACGATGACGTCATGATTGTTTGCGACATCCATCGACCAAACTTACTATATCACATATCATTACCCACTTTTAATTTTACATTATTGGCAGAGACCCTGCACACGTCCTTATACCATGGCGTATAGATAAGATGATACATGAAACAGAGTCAACCAACGACCAGCGACATATGTGTGTATGTGTGAATTGGTCCTTATACCATGGCGTAGAGATAAGATGATACATGAAACAGAGTCAACCAACGACCAGCGACATATGTGTGTATGTGTGAATTGGTCCTTATACCATGGCGTAGAGATAAGATGTTACATGAAATAGAGTCAACCGAGACCAGCAGCATATGTGTGTATGTGTGGATGTTTGTTTGTTGTTTAAAGCTGCATTCAGCATTATCCCAGCTACTTACATCTGCTGCTTAGCATTTACATCCTACAGATATTGAGACAGCCCCTGTTCTAGTCACTTACCCATGAAGAAGGGGATGACTGCCTCATCTCGACGGACACTTCCGCTCTCGTCTAGGAACCTCTCCGGTCTGAATTTTTCAGGATCCCCCCACACATCGGGGTCGGACAGGACGGAGCTGATGTTCGGAAGCAGCATGGTGTTCTCGGGAATGGTGAATCCCCTGAATTGTGTGGTCTGGGGAGGCGCGTGGGGCACAGAGAAGGGGACAACATCAGCGAGTCTCTGCACCTCCATGATGAGAGCTTCCATGAAGGGGAGGCAACGCCTGTCACTCATTGAGGGCTGGTGCTCCTTCTCAAAGACCTGGTCCAGCTCTAGCTGCGCCTTCTCCTGGATGTCTAGGTGCAGGATCAGGTACAGGAGAGCCCACCGCAGTGTCGTTGTAGTCGTCTCCGTTCCAGCCACGAAAAACTCGATAATAATATGAGTTAACATCTCATCTGAAATGAATGACCATTAATTAATAAAACCGCATTTGAGCAGATACTAGTACCTGGATACCTGCGGTATATAAATGTATAATATAAATCTATGATGTGTGTGAACGCTTATAACGTTACTCTTTCAAAAGGTATCGTTTAACGGCAAGTTTTGTGCTTAAAGAAGTCATGGATCGTGAGTGAGTGAGTATGGTTTTACGCCGCTTTTAGCAATATTTTAGCAATATCACGGCGGAGGCCACCAGAAATGGCTTCACACATTTTACCCATGTCGGGAATCGAACCCGGGTCTTCGGCGTGACGAGCGAACGCTTTAACCACTAGGCTACCCGACCGCCCCATGGACTGTGATGATAGGAAACAAAACCTTACTATTACATAAGACCGCTTGTACGATCACGCTGATGTCTGCGTTAACGAGTGAAAATGGATTTGAACTCGTGTAGTCATGCTTGCACGAGAATGAACGTAGCAATATCCAATTTGAACTGCTGGGCAAAAGATAAAACACCCCCAAGTTTGATGGTGGCTAAACTGAAGTAAACAAGAAATGGTTATTCGACGGTGGTGCATTTGATACGGGTATCAGAGCTGTGTTTTGGACCTAAAGATTGCAGTGTTTGGTCGACTGTTTTCAGCCAGGTAAGGGGCGGTCGGGTAGCCTAGTGGTTAAAGCGTTCGCTCGTCACGCCGAAGACCCGGGTTCGATTCCCGACATGGGTACAATGTGTGAAGCCCATTTCTGGTGTCCCCCGCCGTGATATTGCTGGAATATTGCCAAAAGCGGCGTAAAACAATACTCACTCACTCAGCCAGGTAAAGTTTTGATAACGTTTGCATATTTGGATCAAAACCAATTGTCAAGTATATACTTTCTTCCTGGCAGTTTCTATCACGGCTGCCTGTAACTGATCAATCTGGATATGGTAAATTGGTGTGAGTAGCCACGAAACCACCAGGGCACGATGACAAGCCAAGTCAGCAAGTCTGACGATCAGATCTACTTTAGTCGACTCTTGCGACAAGGATTTACGTAACTTGGGACGAATACTACCACGAACCTTCGGAATTACCCTAGAGTGCGAAATGATTTCAAGCCATGTATGTGTATAGACACACTCCCACACCGGGAAACACTTATCCAAACGTATCTTGTGGACCTAACTTGCACATTTTCCGAATCGGGATACCAAGTTGAACGGATTAGTTTATCTCATCGAAAACACCACTAAACTAACTTACCGCTAAACGAAGTGCTGTCCGGATTAGTGGTGTGCTGATGTTTAACCTCCCTCAGATAGGCATTAACAAAGTCGACCTGTTGTTGAAGGTTTGGGTCCGCCTTATGCAGCTGTATGTGTTTCTGTACAAAGCCCCTGAGTATGACATCCCGCGGAGCCATAGTCCCGAGTTTGAGTGGATCTCCAGGACAGTATTTCAAAACTGGAAAAAAGTGACCCAGTGATGTCCCGCCGACTATCTTCATATTCTCGTTGATCTCATACATAAAAGATTTGAATTCTTCATTGTCATATCCAAACCTCTTCCCGAAGATTAGGGACGAAATAACGTCACAGATGCTTGCGTTGATGATGTTGTTGATGTCGAAAGACGCGCCGTTCTGCGCCAGGATGGCGTCGAGACACGACGTCACATCAACAAGGATACTTGTTTCCATAACATTCCTGCCAAGGCCAAGGTCACGCAAAACGGAAAGAGAGAATTTTCTTTGCTCTTTCCACATCTGGCCGCTTGAATTCACGATGCCTGGATAAAAAAATGAATAATAGTTTCATTTCAGACACTCCGAACAGTGAAATCCCGGCAATCCAGAATCCTGTGAAACCCGTCAGGATTAACAAATGCCCGGATCATAAAATCGAAATATCCAGCCCTCTTGTGATTATGGAGCTGCTTCCAGCAGTAGCCGAACGGATTATTGTGTTTCACTGTACATGATCAACGAATTTGTGTGTACACATTGCCTACAAAAAGCGCCGTAGGGCTCTGAAGTTCAATCAAACAATTTGATATTTGCAAATTCCGTATTAACATTAGAACTCATCCTCATTGTGTTCAAGTTAACCAACACAGGGTACACAACACACCCTTACACTGTAGCGATGAGCACACACACGGTAGATACCTCACGCTATATGTGACGATGAACACAGTCACGAGTATATTGCTAACACACAAACGCGTAAATTACTAAATTACCTGCAGCAAAGAAAACACACATGTGTAAATTACTAACATATCTGAAGTGAAGAAACACACATATGTGAAAAATACTAAATTTTCTGAAGCGATGAACACACAACTGTGTAAATTAGTAAATTACCTGTAGCGATGAACAGACAATCGGGTAAATTACTAAATTGTCTGTGGAGATGAACACAGAAATGTGTACATTACTAAATTACCTGTAGCAGTGAAAACACAAATGTGTAAATTACTAAATTACCTGAAGCGATAAACACACAACTGTGTAAATTAGTTAATTATCTGTAACGATGAACACAGGCACTTACAAAGGGAACATTAGTAAAACTATAGCTAGCGATGAACACACCCGCCTACATGGGGTAAATTACTAAAGCTACATGTAGCGAAGGACTTACCAATACACAGTGCAAGTTACACACAATAGATGTATTGATGACTTACACAAGACAAATTATGAAAAATAAACGCAGCGATGAGAACACATACATGTACAGAGCGTACACTACACATTTATCTTAAGACGAATCTCAACCCGACCTTGATAGGAAAGAAGCACGCACCCACGCACGCACGCACACATGTGAGAAAGTCATCTACATATTTGTCGAGTGTTTTTGAAAGAATTATTGTCAGAATGAAAAATATTTTACGTACGCAATTTTCTCGTGTCAGTAACAGTAACAGGAAAGTAACAGTTGATGGATCGGCAATAGTGTACCACATTTTAAATTTAGTTATTATCAAAGTTAATTTTTTTTCTATTTGTCATTTTCTATTTATGACTGTCGTAAATGTGTGTGTGTGTGTGTGTGTGTGTGTGTGTGTGTGTGTGTGTGTGTGTGTGAGAGAGAGAGAGTGAACGTGTGGGGAGTCAGTATATTTCTGGTTCATAGGGGGATTTTATGTTTGGTTCTATAAATTCGCCACCTGGTTGAAAAATATCAACAATCCAAGTTCATAAACATAACCTAAATAAATGCAGCATAACTTCAAACTTTACAATCCCGCAACAAGCACAGACAGTATCAAAAAGGTTGTCGTAATGCAGGCATACCATAGATATATGTGTATGTATATATGTATATATATTGGCAATATAACCTGTTAATAATTTTCAAAAACTCAGAATATGCAAATGTTCAGACACATCTGCTTACGTAGCTGTTCTGCCTGAACGAATATTTAGATACCCATCTCGGATAAGGTGACCCAATTATTTTAACACATAACTTGTTAATACTTTTATTCAGCGTGAACTCGTTACTCTTTCAATACCACCTCGAATTTAAGATCGCAAGGCCATATCATTTATGAGATTCATAATTCCAAGTTTTAGGCACACTCCTTGCATCTGAGCCCAGTGCACTAAGACGCTCAGACAAAAAGTAACGTGCAAAATGATGACCTTGAAGAGCACGTGAGCCTCAAACCCCTACCATGCCCGTGGTTCCGTGAAGATTCAGGGTTAGAAATATCCTTCAGCAACCCATGCTTGACGTGAGAGGCGACTAAGGATATCGGGTGGTCAGACACGCTGACTTGGTTGATGGATGTCATCGTATTCAAATTCCGTAGATCGATGATCATGATGTCCATCACTGAATTTTCTGGTCCAGACTCTAGTATTTACAGACCGCCGTCATATATCTGGAATATTGCTGAGTGCGGCGTTAAACAACAAACCAACTCACCAATCTTACAATCACCATCAGATGTGAACAAAACAAATGACGTCAAGTCATCATTAAATAATAGTTTTGGCTTTTATTGTCGCAGTTGAAAAAAAGAAGAAATGAAAAAAAACAAACTATTTCTTATTGCTAAATAATCTCACGATGACTGTATGAAAAGGAGGGAGGGTCCACTTCACAATGGTTTCAAGTTTATTGAAAACCCTCGTTTGTGTATATTCAAGACGGGTTGTCCCGTCCTCCTTCATCAATAACCTTCGCCACGCTCGTTAAACACGAGGAGCGTACGACACACTACGCCAGGAGCGTGACCTTTAACCCCTCCCCTTTCTGTTGCTGTGTGTGTGTGTGTGTGTGTGTGTGTGTGTGTGTGTGTCTCTCTCTCTCTCTTTATTTCATTTCTGATAGGTTAAATTATCTCACTGGCAAGGGTAATAAATGCTCATATAGCCATGGATGTAATATGATACCTTGTAGGCAGTTAAATATTGTTGTCATACTTACCCATTCTCTTTGTAAATTCGTCATACATCAGCCCCTTTGGTCGGTCACTGAAATTGTCCCCATACTTCACAAACGCCTCTTTGAGCGTTTCGTGGCCATTAAAGACAATGACGAGCTTGTTGCCAAAATAAAGGCTAAACACATCGCCATACTGTTTTCTAAACTTCTGGAAGATGTGTCTGACATCACCCCCCGACAAGGAGAGGAGATTGCCGATCAGCGGCAGTGTCGGGGGACCTGGGGGTATGTGCTGCGGTTTCCGCGTTCCGAGCCACAGGCCGAGTATACTTACAGCAGCAACCAGAAGCCAGGTTGGGCTCACACAAACACAGTCGCATATTGACATTGCGGTGTCGGGATATGCACTAATGCACTATAGATATAACGTAAAACTGCAATCCCATACATACGCTGCAGTACCATGGCCTATTTTTCTGATCAGCATCCTGTTTTTTTCCAACTAATTAAATGTAAAACTTCCGGAAAGGGTTTTGTCAAAACATGCAACGAAGAACTAATGGAAACGAATAATGATTCCCTTAAATAAACTCGTGTTTTTAACACTTCTTTTCAATTGAAAATAGGAAATAAGTATATATGTCACGTTCACATCGTAGGTTTAGTTTAAGCTGTATTTGTTAATTTATATGTTGATGCCCTACCATAGTAAGACAATATGATGAAAAGCGAATATAGAAACCAATATCCACACTGACGCTTGACTGTATTAAGGTATAGTATAAAAGATGAATATGAAAGTGTCGAACATGCCGATCGTGGTGTTGAACCTAACAACTTTAATCTTGATCGTCCCCAAAATGATACTGATATAGAATATAATATGGCAGGAATCGGCCTTTCCATGTTTTACAAAGATTAAGTGTGTGTGTGTATGTATGTATGTATGTTTATATATATATGTATCACACATTCTTCAGCAACTCCATTCTTGCAGTAAAAGGCGACTGTGCTTGTCGTTAGAAACGACAAGCGGGATCGGGTGATCAAGCTCGCTGACTTAGTTGATGCATGTCATCATATCCCAATTGCGTGGATCGATGCTCATGATGTCAATCACTTGATTGTGTGGTCCAGACTGGATTATTTACAAACCGCCGTCATATAGCTTAAATATTCTGATTGCGGCGTTAAACAACATTCAAACAAACCACAAAATATTAGCGAGTTATCGTCGAGCCCTTTGGATAATTCACTGTGCAGAATTTCCAACAGTCAAATTGTCAACTGTGACGTAATCAGCCAGCGCTATAATGTCATCAGGCAGTATCTTTGCATAATATTATTCACTTCAACTGCCTGTGCTTTCTTATCCGACTGGAAACCTTGTATACACAAAGAAAAACGTTAAGCACACAGCTATTTCTGAACCATGACAAATGGCAAAAATCATGGCATGGGATGGATGACTGACCACAGGAGCTGGGCGGTACCAATGTCATCGGATAGAACAAATATTAAACAACAAATAAAGAAGCTATTGGTTGTGATTGAAATTTACTGACAAAAACATCATGGTAACACAGTTACTGTTTTTTACCTTAGACAATGCCTAAAAAAGTATGGAGCTGCAGGATTTTGTAATCGAGTTACGTTTGATGTTTCATGTGAAAGGTTCCTTAAGTCTCCACTTGACATGGCTAGTGAAACAGATCAGTAGCGGGTGTAACCGCCACAGGCCCGGGTGAGGCATTCCACCCTACGTCTCATGCCTTCAGTCAGACGTTGGATCTGTTGATGGGTCAACAACAACCACCCCTGATGCAATGCTGCTTCCACCTGTAAATCTTGTAAATCTTGTACAAGAGGATCTCTCGCCTCTATGCGCCGCACCAGAATATCCCAAACAGGTTCAAGGGGGTTCAAATCTGGGCTCATTGCTGGCCAGGGTAGAGTCGTTATTGCAGTGGCCCTCATGTAATCCACGACTGCATACGAACGATGAGGCCTGGCATTGTCATCCATGTACTGAGGTCGAGTAGCAAGAGGGTGGTTGTCAAAATGAGGAACGACGACTGACCACAAAACGTCCCGGATGTACTGAGCCCCTGTTGAGTTGGCCTCAACATACAATCTTTATTGATACACCTCCAAACCATTACTGAGCCCCACCGTATGCAACAGTCAGTTTAATGTCCCTGGGGGTGCAGGCCGTGTTCCGGTGCCTCCAAACTCTCGTTCTTCCTTCAGTGACGTGGAGCAGAAAGCAACTTTCGTCTGACCAATGGATCCGTTTCCAAGTTCTCAGATTCAAGCTCTGTCGCGCAACGAGCAGCTTTGTTGTGATCTCGCAACAAGGGACGCTTAATGACTCGTCTCGCCCTCATTCCTGCTGCTTTTAGCCGGTTCCTGATGGTTCTGGTGCTGAAACGACAATTGGGCAACCACAGCTATTTCAGACGAGTACTTGTTAAAAAGGGTTCTCGGCGTAGGAGACGAAGGTCCCTGTCTTCGCTATGTGTCGTCACAGGAGGTCTTCCGGGTCTGGGACGGTCCTGTACATCACCGGTCTGAGCATGTTTCTCGACTAAACGGCTTACGACCCTGTGATGATACCCCAAATTCCGACCAATGGTATTACAAGACATTCCTGCGTTATGCATGCCGATTATTTGCCATTTTGTGGCGTTTGATAATCGCCTTCGTGCCATGGTCACACAATGTCATGGAATAACTTTAAAATCAAGCTTAAGAAAACAATTGTAACGTTTGGATATACTGCTTTTAGAGATACTCGAGGATAGCATGTTGCACGCGCATACCATCCATGGCATGTGAGCTTTCATCACTCATGGCTGATTACATCATCTCGAGAAAACATAATACTTCCTGTAAATATATCTTTTTTGACTGTTACAAATATTGGGACCAAACAATAATGAAATATATTAGGGTGTGCTTAACTTTTTTCTTTGTGTATATATATATATATATATATTCGCGGGCAACAAATTTCGTTTGTGTGTAATGCAAAATGACATATTACAAATGGGGTCTGTTGAATTTTCAACGGACACTTTGTCAAACTTGGATGCTTTATCACAGATCTTGGCTTTATTAGGTGAGATGTGTAATGAGTATAATTATTAGACAGGTTACAAATCGTTATCACTTCCAGTGTCAGTAGACAAACACAAATACAACTGATTATTACTCTTGCATGGCATGTATTACGCAGAGATGGTTAGGTGCTGTTTCTTGGAGTGGCGATTATTTTGAAAGGCCGTGGCATCCGTGTTATACCCAGAATTCCTTCAAGATCTGGTGGAGGTTCCCCTTCCGGAAGCCGGAATTTGAACGTCTTCAGCAGTGACGACAGAAACAGAAACAGTTCCATCCGGGCTAGTGACTCACCAAGGCATATTCTTCTTCCTAAAGAAAAAGACACGAAGCAAGTGATGTTTATATGATTTCAATATCATGATTTGTGGTCATTACCAAGATTGTCTTGCCAGTATTATCCATTAGTTTTATGTGAAAGATTCCGAAACATAATTTCTACAAAAGTGAACGATCAAGTTGATTATTCTCATGACATTCGCGAGCAAACGGATGTTCCTAAGATTGACTTGCCGACATTGTTGACTCGAATTAAATGATATCACGCAAACATATACCCTAAGACATTATATACGGACTATACCAGACCTTGTTTATCCCCTGTATGCCGAGCGCCAGGCATTGAGGGGTAAAAAAAGGACCAACTTTAATATCTGATGGTAAGGACCACACGACCCAGTGACCTTTCGCAGACGCTCTATCCACTACGCCCCGAAGGCGGTCTTTGTGACTACAGTAACAATTGGGGGCATGTGTGAGGGGCACGTGGGACATCTTTAAGGCATGCCAAAAACCTATATGGGCAATATTGACCATCAAGTAACGATGACGTCATGATTGTTTGCGACATCCATCGACCAAACTTACTTTATCACATATCATTACCCACTTTTAATTTTACATATTGGCAGAGACCCTGCACACGTCTCTTACCCATGAAGAAGGGGATGACTGCCTCATCTCGACGGACACTTCCGCACTCGTCTAGGAACCTCTCCGGTCTGAATGTTTCAGGATTCCCCCACACATCGGGGTCGGACAGGACGGAGCTGATGTTCGGAAGCAGCATGGTGTTCTCGGGAATGGTGAATCCCCGGAATTGTGTGGTCTGAGGAGGTGCGTGGGGCACAGAGAATGGGACAACATCAGCGAGTCTCTGCACCTCCATGATGAGAGCTTCCATGAAGGGGAGGCAACGCCTGTCACTCATTGAGGGCTGCTGCTCCTTCTCAAAGACCTGGTCCAGCTCTAGCTGCGCCTTCTCCTGGATGTCTGGGTGCAGGATCAGGTACAGGAGAGCCCATCGCAGTGTCGTTGCGGTCGTCTCCGTTCCAGCCACGAAAAACTCGACGATGATACATACCAACATCTCATCTGAAACAAGTTAAATATTAGTGGCAAACCTTTTTATAACATGTTTAATGACATTTTTGTAAACTTTACTCACCTAACTAATAAGACTATTTTGTCTAAAAGTAAAATGATGTCAAAATATTTTTCAACCCTTTGACACTCGATAAGCAGTATGTATACGACTGAGCCACATGTGCCCACACGAGCAGGGTGAAACAGCTAAACACACTAAATGCCTTAATATCCACAAAAGTATAACTCTTAACCATCAAACGTTATTAGATCAATTCATTACACAGTTAACTAAAATGTATTATTAAAAGAGCTTGACTTACCGCTAAATGTCGTGTTTTCCGCATTAACAGTTTGCTGTTTGTCGATTTCCTTGAGATAAGCATTAACAAAGTCGTCCTCTTGTTGAAGTATTGGGTCCGTCTTGTGTAGCGCTATCTGTTTCCGTATGAAACCCCGTATTATTTTGTCGCTGGGACCCAATGTCCCCAATTTCAGAGGATCTCCAGGACAATACTTCAAGATGGGAAAGAAGTGACCCAGAGACGTCCCGCCAACTACCTTCATATTCTCATTTATTGTGTCCATGTAACATCGGAATTCGGGGTCGTCATGTTCAAACCTTTTCCCGAAGGTCAGGGACGATATAATGTTGCAAACGCTTGTGTTGATGATGCTGCTGATGTCGAAGGAAGCAGGATGAGACAGGATGAGGTCGAGGCAAGACATCACTTCTTCGTGTATCCGTGTTTCCATGACATTCTTGCCAAGGCCAAGGTCACGCAAAACGGAGAGGGAGAATCTTCTTTGTTCTTTCCACAACTGACCGCTTGAGTTCACGACGCCTGGGTTTAAAAGAACAGACATTATTTACTACCTGTAATAGGACAGTATCCATTGCCTACCTGGGGATGTATGAAATACATATTCTTCTGAAACAAAAGTTGTTCTTCGGTAATTTATGTCAAAGAAATAAGAACTAAATGTTTCATTTTAGAATTTATGTGAAACGTGACAGGAATGTTAAAACTGTTATGGCGGCCACATGAGAAAATCCCCCGCATGAACTTTTTTAACGAGTTTACATTTTCTTTGTATTTTATGAAATAACAACAGTAGATTGCACTGCATTTGAGGGAGTAATCCAGTCTGAATGCTAATGCCATAAGGATGTATCTCACCCACAAAAGCCTTATACAAGGAAACTAACTATAGTTAGATATTGTGACATTTTCACAACGGAGACTAAATGACATTGTTTTATAATTGTTGTTACCTAGGGCAAAGTTGTACCTGTATCAGTTGACAAAAATGAGGATCATAAACCAGGGTAGTAACTCTGTTAAAATAAATCAAATTTATAACGACTGCGATATGTGTATCAGTAACACCTGTTGTGTGTAGAGCGGCATGTGTTTAGAGCGTCAGGGATATTCCCTGAAAAATGTAGGAGTTGACATCACAAAAACAGTACCCTCTCTCACAGTTGGGCAAATCGAGCTTCATAAACCAAGGGTAGCAACTCTCTCAACATGAAAAGAAATGAAACGAGACTGTGATATGGATATATTAAACATGTGCCCATTCAAACTGTAGGAGGAGTTGATTTCACAAGCTTAGTACCCTCTCTCACAATTAGGCAAATGAAGCTCCGTAAAACAGGGGCAGTAACTCTGTCAAACTCTATCGAAATGAAACGGGACTGCCATATGCGTATCATCAACATGTCGATATCTTGTGTGTAGACTGTCAGGGATATTCTCTGGAAACTGGAGGAGGAGTAGATTTCATGAAGCTCCATAAAACAGGGGCAGTAACTCTGTCAAACTTTGTCGAAATGAAACGGGACTGCGATATGCGTATCATCAACATGTCGATATCTTGTGTTTAGAGTGTCAGGGATATTCTCTGGAAACTGTAGGAGGAGTTGATTTCACAAGCTTAGTACCCTCTCTCACAATTAGGCAAATGAAGCTCCGTAAAACAACAGGAGCAGTAACTCTGTCAAAATTAGTCGAAATGAAACGGGGCTGCGATATGCGTATCATCAACATTTCGACATCTTGTGTGTAGAGTTTCAGGGATATTCTCTCGAAACTGTAGGAGGAATTGATTTCATAAAGCTTAGTACCCTCTGCCGGACGGACAGACGGACAGACAGACAGACGGACGGACTGCGCCACGACATAATCCCCCTTCGGCCATTCTGGTCCGGCGGGGATAAAAAGCCACACACTGCTTGGAGAACTTGGGAAGCAACAGATAGTATTTGAAAAAAACCCATTACAGGTCACTTGGTATTTACCACTTGCCTCAGGCAGGCAGAGATGCAGCGTGTACGATTTGTTTCATTCATATGTGTGATCATCAGGCTGGGCGTTACTAACAAACAGAATTTACTTGTTCAACATTCCTGTCATGCTTGTTGGCGGATTCATAAGCCATCTGCCAATCACATGAAATGTATTATTTATTCGATGGAATATGCTTCATATGTTCTAAATGGCATACACTGTCGGAAACTATGACATTGATTTGATTTTGATTTGTTTGTTGCTTAATCCTGCACTTAACAATATTCCTTGACGTCAGTCTGTAGATAATCGAATCTGGACCAGACACATCTGTGATAGATATTACGAACACCGATGGGCGACACGCAATCACCCAACTGAAATCACCGAAGTTGTTGCTGTGGACCAATTCTAACCCCGAATATCCACCTGAGATCCTGGGTTTGACAACTGTGTTATACGTCTACGTTATACTATCGTATCGACTGTATACATCGTTCATGGCGCAGGACATTCACACACCACCCCCCCCCAATACAACACTGTACAGCAAGTTGACTGTGTCACCCATGCCCACACTCTATGTAGATATCTGGCTAGAATATTATCCCGTCGTTGGAGGAACGCAGTGTCTACAAGACTGTGTTGACGATTGTAGACTTGGTAAGTGTTTGGAGAGTGTAGGTGGATGACAGAGTTGCTTCCCTTTACATATCGATTTACCGTGGATGGATTCTTATTACTGACAATTGTCCACAGACTCAACGAGAGAAAACGAACACCATTGTCAAATTTTGGTTCATCGTGGGATACATAAATCCAGTAACTAATATGGTCAGCCTCAGGTAACTGATGTGTAACAAATATACGTGTGTTGCTCATAATGATCACGACGTTAAAGCTCAAGATGAGAAGTTTTGTTTTGTTTGTTTGTTGTTAAACGCCGCGCGCACTCAGCAATATTCCAGCTATTTGATGGCGGTCTGTAAATAATCGAGTCTGGACCAGACAATCCAGTGAATGACATCATAAGCATCGATCCACGCAATTGGGATCGATGACATGCATCAACCAAGTCAGCGAGCCTGGCCACCCGATCCCGTAAGTCGCCTCTTACGACAAGCATAGTCGCCTTTAACGACAGGCATGGGTTGCTGAAGACCTATTATACCCCGGATCTTCACGGGTCACATGAGAAGTAGTCATAAGGATATTGATTACAGCATTTACACGTGAATAAGGAAAGGTTAAGAGTAATGCCAACCTTGGGACCGAACGGTCAATGTTAAATGAAACGAAAGGATCACGTCGGACCCGTCTATTGTTACACGCTGGTCGTATCATAATGTTTCTGGTACAAGTCGAACAATTGAAATCGTGTACATTTTTTATCGTCATTATTTCTATAATGGCTGTAGTTGTTGACAATATTACTAAAATACTGCCGGTGTGACTTTAAATTATAACTCAAATATTACCAAGTTCTACAACAAAGGGCGCGATCCTCCTTGTGTGATAATACGTTTGTGTCACACAGCTGCCTATTTCACATATGGAATTGATTTATAGCACACAAAACTTAGTAATATGAATGGACAAACCTTGTAATTTCTGAGGGGATATATAAATAATTTAGAAAATACTTGATATAAAAATCAGATAAAAAGAAAGTTTTTATTTATAGTCTTGATTTTAACGACACATAGAATAATGTTTCAGGTTCCTTCTCGCAATTAACCCATTCGAATATAACAATTTGTTTTTAAGGACGGTATTCCATAATCTGATTTTTTTCTTTAACATCCTTGGTATTAATTACTTACCCATTCTTTTTGTATATTCGTCATACATCAGCCCCTTTGGCCGGTCGCTGAAATTGTCCCCATACTTCACAAACGCCTCTTTCAGTGTTTCATGGCCATTGAAGACAATGACGAGCTTGTTGCCAAAATAAAGGCTGAATACATCGCCATACTGTTTCCTTAACTTCTGGAAGATGTGTCTGACATCACCCCCCGACAAGGAGAGGAGATTGCCGATCAACGGCAGCGTCGGGGGACCTGGGGGTATGTGCTGCGGTTTCCGCGTTCCGAGCCACAGGCCGAGTATGCTTACAGCAGCAACCAGAAGCCAGGTCGGGCTCACACAAACAACACAGTCGCTTATTGACATTGCAATGTGTAGAGTTCCGCTAATTATGCACTACATGGGGTTGTGCACAGCTACAACTGCAAGTACATGTACATACTGCGGTAGCTGGGCTTGTATTTGTTAGTAACATGTCACACTTCCGGGCTGGGGTTTGTCAAAACATGTGTCAGAAAACCATAGGAAACGAAAACTGATTAACGGTAAAGCGGTCGTAAAAGCGCTAATCCAAATTGCGTGAACGCTTGACTGGATATGGTTATGGTTTGTTAGACAGCAAATTGTTAGACAGCCGATTAGAAGGTTAATTAGGGCAATACCCACAGCTTTAATGAAACAGTCCTACTTATCTTTCTCCCTAGTATTAATACGGTTACAGATTTGTGTTTGTTCAGTATTTGTAACAGTATTGTAATCTTATATGAAATTTGTTTGATGTTCCAGAGTTTTTGCACACTGAACACCTGCCTTTGTCATATTTCTTGTTTCACTTGATATCTTCTCTATTTAATCCTATATGAGTGAGTGAGTGAGTGAGTGAGTTGGGTTTTAAATGTATTCCAGTTATATCGTGGGGTGTTAGCTTAATGTTGGAGGAAAGCCCGAAGTGATGCAGGTCTCAGACGTTTACCACTTCGGTGAAACCAACGATCACGGGCATGGTGCTGACAATCCTAGAAATATAATCGGGGCGAACCGGGATTTGATCCCACAATCATAAATTTCTGGCGTGCCCAAGGGACGCAACTCTGCACAGCGAATCGCGACGCCTTAGACGACTGGGCCACCCATGTCCCCTTATCCTATATGAAGTTTGTGGATAATGAAGACCTCTCTTTATCATGTTTTTTCACTAGATTGCTGCTCCAGATGCACTTTTCTTATTCTAATAACATCTTTAATTACAAAACAATCAATCCTTTTTGTAAAAAAATGCAAATTAGACCAATTTGTCAGAATCACCTTTTCTGGTATAAATTAAATGTTCTGGTATGACCATGGTAGCATTATCAGAATGGCTAGGTTAAGGAAAGTTGAATATGTCGCAGAGAGGCACACCAAAGGTTCATCCACATCTACAAGCCCTGCAGTCCGCCGACAGGGTGTACATGGACGGCACCTTCACCTCCTACCCTGAGCTGTGGAGCCAAGTTTACATTCTTCATGCCAGAGCTAGTTTCAAGACCTCCCTGCCTCATCGCCGTCCCAACATCTCCCGTTTCATCGAAGTTATCAGACGCATTGAACATGCAGAAAGAAGTTGATTCCTCCAGCTCGACTTTGGATCCGCACGTGTGTCTACCGCGAGATTGACAAACGAATTGCCAGGTTGAAAGACCAGCTTCACCACGGTTAGAAAACCCCAACTCAGTTACTGGATGCTCTTAGTAATCTCCTGAGACTTGGCTAGAGATTATATAGAATATTTAATATTTATATTCTGTACATTTTGTAGTGCTATGGATAACATTACCATTGTCTGATGAGTGAGTGAGTGAGTGAGTGAGTGAGTGAGTGAGTGAGTGAGTGAGTGAGTGAGTCTGTTGGGTTTAACGCCGCTTTTAGCATTATTCCATTTTTATCACGGCGTGTCAGCTTAATGTGGGAGGAAAGCCCGAATTGATGCAGGTCTCAGACGTTTAGCACTTCGGTAAAATCCACGAGCACGGGTATCATGTCTAATGAGATGAGATCTATCAAATATGAAGAATATTTATCACTTAACACTTCTTTGGTATGTATAGGCCTATTGGTCATTCCATTATTCATGTGAGGAAACAGTATGATGCCTGGCTGTGCACTCAACCAGAAAAGTTTTGAGGTGTCTAACAACTGGCTGTCAAGCAAATGGGAGGTAAACCTTTTGTGATGTAACACTACTGCGTGAGAATGTGTTCATGGACCATGTGTTCATGAGAGTCATGTTTTTGCGCCTTCAGTTTTAGGGGCTGAGATTTTTTGCTTCTAACAAAAGAGCTCAAATATTTTTTACGGCATATTTCAAATTCAACCTATCGATAGAATGTTAAATTTTCTCACTGTTCACTAAAATTTAATAACTGTACACCCCTAGAAATCAATTGGCCCGCCCTTATTATTCTTTCTGGCATTTCTTGAGACGCTTGTTTTGTAACACTATTTTTATTGAAAATAGGAAAAACGTAAATTTGACGTTCATATCGCGGATTTAAGCTGTCAGTGTTAATTTATCTGTTGATCCCCTACCGTAGATAGACGATATAATGTAAAGGGCATCTAAAAACCAATATCCAGACCGGCGCTTGACTGTATCATGACAGCAATAGATGGATATGAAAGTATCGAACCTGTCGCATCGATAACTAACCACTTCAATCTTGATCATCCCCAAAATGATACTGATATAGAATACAATATTGCAGGAATCGGCCTTGCCATGTTTGAAACGAGTTAGTGATATTACAAATCAAGGTGTATCAGATAATGTTACTGAAGGTATTTGTATTCAGGTCACTGTTCTTCCAATTTAGACGCCCCATTAAATATTTACGTCGTAACAACACCATGTCACATACCATGGCTGACAAAGATACACTTTGTATATATATAGTTGTTATTATAGTGTCTTACGCCTCCTCAACAGTTGTAAATGTATAGAGAATACTAAGCGAGCTCCCGGAGCGAAAGCAGTAATTTATTTATTACTTGCCGTTTATAACTTAAAACAAACCCAATTCATCGCAGTGCACACCTTTAGAATTCTGGAGTCCGTTCCATAAAGCTATCGTTGCGCTAAGGTTATCGCTAGTCCCACACTTTAACCGGGGAGACTATATATAGGGAGTTGGCAATCTTGTGATGTCCGGGGGAATAGCACAAGAAGGCTTCTTCCGAGGTTGACAAATTTACGCCTTAAGATAAAAAATCCTATTTACAGTCAGACAACATGGCAGGCTATATTCCTTTCCAATATCCTCTTTACTTATCCTCCATAAGCAGGTGTAACACTTTAGGTTAATGTGATGTATGATGTTTTTTCAAGCAAATTAAAATCTTTAATTGATAAACTTGGATATGAATTAAAATATGGGGCACAGGAACTAGATAGTTCCTGATTTAGAGAATATACTTTGAGCAGGCCATGCTGAACAGTGACGAAAATTAGTAGTTAATGAACACCAACCACTGACTGAAATGAGAAATGAGTGACGTTGTTTCTGTTTTAGATGTAGAACCGAGACATCAGAAGATGGATGTAAACAGCGTCAAAGGGACGCGACACTATAGGTTACATTTCGGCTGTTTACGCTGGTTCCAAGCACTATGCCGATTCGGTTTTCGTGTACAATGTATTTCCGGGTGACCTCAGTAAGCAGCTAACGGCGACATTTCCATTTCTTACCGTCGAGCACAGAATCGGCCACGAGCGCACTGGACAGCGACTACCGGCCAGGGAGGCACACACTAATTCGCGGCCCCACTTTATATTGTACATAAATAGCTTATTAGTGCCAACTACCTCTTTGTCTCCCTGCTTTATACTCACAGCAGTCATTGCGATACGATTGCCTGGTGGAGCGATCAACAAAGTTTAAAATCACGTCACAATACCCCATGACGTCATTTGTATATTGTTTGCAAGACATAGTGGCGAAACAATTAAGAACTTGTGTAAGTTCATTGGAGTATGAAACTTCATAGGTTGAGGGCCAAACATTGTATGAACGTTGTCGCAAGCTCTGATGGCAAACTGTATGAACGTCGGAGCTTGAAGAGGGTGAGTTAGAATGGGGATTCGTTGGCTTTGTTTTACGCCACAGTCGTCACTATTCCAGCTATATCACGGTGGTCTGTCAATATTCCAGCTAAATCACTCCGCCCTATCAAAAATCAAATCTGGACTAGGCAAACAAGCTTGATCAAAGTCAGCCAAGACACAGCCTGACCATCTGCAAGCATGCTGGACCTTTTCTGATCAGGAATCCCCTCAGGATGCGGAAACGAAGCAGTTATACTGTAACAACACAGTGTTACTATGTGAATCATTACCTCTGTGTGTACTGTAATAATGTTGCTTCTTGCATCATATCCATTACCCCCACCCGCATTGTGCAAACATCGTTGCTATTTGTATCATTACTGTGTGTACTATAACAATGTTGTTATCAATTGGGGCGCGGGTGGGACAATGTTCCAAGGCTCTGCAAGTTATAGACACATGAGGGGGCACGGGTGGCCCAGTCGTCTAAGGCGCCGCGATTCGCTGCGCAGAGTTGCGTCCCTTGGGCACGCCAGAAACCTTTGATTGTGGGTTCGAATCCCCGTTCGCCCCAATTTTGTTTCTAGGTTTGTCAGCACCATACCCGTGCTCGTGGGTTTCACCGAAGTAGTAACGGTCTTAGACCTGCATCACTTCGGGCTTTCCTCCCACATTAAGCTGACACGCCGTGATATAACTGGAATAATGTTTAAAGCGGCGTTAAACCCAACTCACTCACTATAGTTACATGAAGACACGAGACTGTGCATACAAAATATCAGCGAACTTTCGCGCACGAGGGGTGGAGCAGCCGAGTCGTGCGATGGCTTGCTGATACTTTGTATTAATTGTCGAGTGCCAATCATGTAACTGTTTTATCCAAAAGTTGACGAACATGCCCCTCAACTGTAACGGGCACACCCGCACAAACAATTTCTGACGCGGAATCTAATTCATCATTTCATAATCGCCTGACATGGAAGGGCCAAAACGTTTTCATCGGTTCACGAATGTCGGTACCTCTTTGAGTCAGCATTGTTCTACTTTGTATAACTACAACGGACGCAATTAAAATGTCTTTGTTTGATGTTGTTACCCCGTCTTCCTTTTGTGAATAACCAATCAGCAATGCCCCAAAAGTGTAGTGATATTTAAGACAACATATGTGAAATCTCAGATATCAGGGCCTGTTTCTGTGTATGGCATTTATTGCTATGTTATCATCAAGGAACATTTTGTCGGATTCTCAACTGTGACATAATCAGCCAGTGCTAAAATGTCATCAGGCAGTATCTTTGCCTTTAAATTGTGTTATTCACTTCAACTGCGTGTCCTTTCATATCCGGTTGGAAACCTCGTTTTTATTCGCGGGCACCAAATTTCGTTTTTCAGTAATACAAAATGACATATTACAAATGAGGTCTGTTGAATTTTCAAGGAGGACGATTTGCCAAACTTTGACGCTTTATCACAGATTTTGGCTTTATTTGGGGAGATGTGGCCCTTATTACACAGAGATGGTCAGGTGTTGTGTCTAGGAGTGGCGATTATTCTAAAAGGCCGTGGCATCCGGGTTATACCCAGAATTCCTTCAAGATCTGGTGGAGCTTCCACTTCCGGCAGCCGGAATGTGAACGTTTTCAGCAGTGACGCCAGAAACAGAAACAGTTCCATCCGGGCTAGTGACTCACCAAGGCATATTCTTCTTCCTGAAAAACATGAAGCCTTTGTGGTTATTACCAAGCGTGTCTTGCCAGTATTATCCACTAGTTTTATTTGAAAAAAATGTGAAACTTTAAATTCTACAAAATTGAACGATCCAGTGGATTATCCTTATAACACTAGCGAGCAAATGGCTTGCCGACATTATTGACTTGAATAAAATGATATCACGCACTCATACTCTAAAGCTTAGACAGTGATTACATTCTATTAATAAGTGCCATTATACCTGTGTGTACAGCGACATGCTGTGTGTGTGTGTGTGTGTGTGTGTGTGTGTGTGTGTGTGTGTGCTTGTATTACTCCGGACTTTTAAGTGCTTGCTCACTGAGATAGCATGCTGCAGTTTATCAAATATACCACCTCAGACACTCAGTCCGAGCCAACCAGTCCTTTCTTTATCCCCTTAAGCCCATGCACCAGGCAGGGTAACAACAAGTACCGTACAAACCAGTGACGTTTCGCTGCCCGGGCAAACGCTCTATCCACAGGCGGTCTTTGTGACTTCAGCAACAACTGGGGGCAGGCGTGAGGTCCCACCGGTGACATCCCTTAGGTGTGCCAGAGACCTATATGGGCACTACTTGCCAATCAACTAACGATGACGTCATGCTTGCATTCAACATCCATGGATCATACTCACTATATCACATATCATTACTCACTTGTAATCTTGTCCAGACTCAATTATTTACAGACCGCCGTCACATGGCTGGAATACTGCCGAGTGCGGCGTTAAACAACAAACAAAACTTGTAATTTCACATATTGGCACAGACCCTGCGTCCGTCTCTTACCCATGAAGAAGGGGATGACTGCCTCATCTCGACGGACACTTCCGCTCTCGTCTAGGAACCTCTCCGGTCTGAATGTTTCAGGATACCCCCACACATCGGGGTCGGACAGGACGGAGCTGATGTTCGGAAGCAGCATGGTGTTCTCGGGAATGGTGAATCCCCTGAATTGTGTGGTCTGGGGAGGCGCGTGGGGCACCGAGAAGGGGACAACATCAGCAAGCCTCTGCACCTCCATGATGAGAGCTTCCATGAAGGGGAGGCAACGCCTGTCACTCATTGAGGGCTGCTGCTCCTTCTCAAAGACCTGGTCCAGCTCTAGCTGTGCCTTCTCCTGGATGTCTGGGTGCAGGATCAGGTACAGGAGAGCCCACCGCAGTGTCGTTGCGGTCGTCTCCGTTCCAGCCACGAAAAACTCGACGATGATACATACCAACATCTCATCTGAAACAAATTTAATATTTGTGGCAAACATATTTCTAACATATAAAAGAGATCCACTTATTGCCATTCCATGCCACTTTACTAAAATGTCTTATTTTGTCTAAAAGTAAAATGTGTTCAAAATATTATTCAACCCTCGATGAGCAGTATGTATACGTAGGGTTATTTTGTATCTGGGTTAAGCATGGAACGTTAAAGCTACAAGACGATTTTCATACATAGGAGATGTATGAATGTGAAAGTATTTCTAAAAATATTTTTTTTTTGAAGGGTTAATCGAGGAATGAGGAGCAGGGTGAGTGAGTGAGTGGGGTTTAACGCTTCTTTGAACAGTATTCCAGTTATATCGAAGTGATGCAAGTCTCTGACATTAACCGCACTTTGGTGAAACCCCTGAGCACGGTAATGGTGCTGACAAACCAAGAAAATAAACGGGGCGAAATGGTTCTGGCGTGGCGAAGGGATGCAACTCTGCACAGCGAATTATGGCGCCTTAGATGACTTGGCAAACCGTGTCCCAAGGGGCAGGGTAAAACAGTTGACTCTTTATAAATCAATATCTTCAAAAATATAACTCTTTGCCATAAAATATGACCACTAAACAAATTCAAAACACAGCTGAAATCAAATCAAGTATTTTGACAAGAGCTAACTTACCACTAAATGTAGTGTTTTCTGCATTTACTGTTAGCTGTTTGTCGATTTCCCTGAGATAAGCATTAGCAAAGTCGTCCTCTTGTTGAAGTATTGGGTCCCTCTTGTGTAACGCTATCTGTTTCCGTATGAAGTCCCGCATTATTTTGTCGCTGGCTCCAAAAGTTCCCACTTTCAGAGGATCTCCAGGACAATACTTCAAGATGGGAAAGAAGTGACCCAGAGACGTCCCGCCCACTACCTTCATCTTCTCGTTTAATGTGTTCATGTAACATCGGAATTCAGGGTCGTCATGTTCAAAACTCTTCCCGAAGGCCAGGGACGATATTATGTTGCAAACGCTTTTGTTGATGATGCTGCTAATGTCGAAGGCAGCGCCGTTCTGAGACAGGATGGCGTCGAGGCAAGACATCACTTCTTCGTGTATCCGTGTTTCCATGACACTCTTGCCAAGGCCAAGGTCACGCAAAACGGAGAGAGAGAATTTTCTTTGTTCTTTCCACAATTGACCGCTTGAGCTCACGACGCCTGGATTTAAAAGAACCAACTTAATTTACTACCTGTAGAAGGACAGTATACATTGCCTTTCCGGGGATGTGTGAAATACATATTCTTCTGATTCAAAAGTTGTTCTTCGGAGTTTTATGTCAAAGAAATGAGAACTAAATGTTTCATTTTAGAATTTATGTGAAGCGTGACAGGAATGTTAAAATTGTTATCGCGGTCACATGAGAAAAAGGCCACACACTGCTTGGAGAACTTGGGAAGCAACAGATAGTATTTAAAAAAACAAACATTACAGGTCACTGGGTATTTACAAATTGTCTCAGGCTGGCAGGGATGCAGTTTGAACGATTTGTTTCATCCATATGTGTGATTATCAGGCTGGGCGTTACTAATAAGTAGAATTTACTTTTTTAACATACCTGACATATTTGTTGGCTGATTCATTAGCCATCTACCAATCATATGAAATGTATTATTTATTCGGTGGAATATGCTTCATATGTTCTTAATGGCATACACTGTCGGAAACTATGACATTGATTTGATTAGGATTTGTTTGTTGTTTAACAACCGCACTCAACTATATATATATACGTTCCAAGCATAGCTATTGTCAGGAGAGGAAATGTTTCGATAGACTATTACGCAAGTATAAAAGGGCACATCAGCTCAGTGAGCAACAACGTCGATTAGATAAGTACTGTGACAGTGACTCGCGCAGCTTTTGGAAAGCAATAGGCAAGATTGGTATCAGTAACGACCGAGTGTATGATGTCCCCTGGGAGGTGAAACATGATAGTGGTATATCTACAGATAGAGGTGTAGTCTTGAATACATGGAAAGATGAATACAGTTCTCTATTCATTGAGAGTACATCTCCTAGTTTTGATGATGGTCACTTCCATAAGATTTGTGATGAGTTGGCAAATAATCAGGTGAGAGTGGACTGTCAGTTTGATACCCGTGACCTAGATTCACCGATTACAGTGTCGGAAGTTGTTCGTGCAGTTGCACGAGCAAAGCGCGGGAAAGCATTTGGTTTTGACCTACTCCCGGCTGAGGCCCTAAAGAACGATACTTGCATCGATATCTTATTTAGAATGTTTTCCTATTGCTTTGATAACAAGGTATGCCCCGACTCGTGGCGAACAAGTTTGATTAACCCAATTAAAAAAAGTGATACTGATCCCCGCGACCCGTTGGGCTACCGGGGTATTGCTCTCCTGTCCGTGCCTTGTAAGATTTATTCTGATATATTAAATTGTCGTTTTAGTAATTGGCTAGAGGTAAATAACATACTGGTAGATGAACAAAACGGATTCCGATCAAAGAGAAATACACAAGAGCACATTTACAGCTTATTCACAGTGATAAATAATAGGAAACTATCAAAACAATCGACGTTTGTGTGTTATATTGATGCTATGAAAGCTTTTGATAAAATTAATCGTAAATGTCTATGGTATAAACTTATGAAAATTGGTGTTAACGGTAATTTTCTTCAAGCAGTCCAGGCAATGTATGACGATACTTGGTCATGTGTTAGAGTAAATGATCACCACACAGACCGCTTTCCAGTAGACTCAGGTGTACACCAAGGGTGTGTTTTATCACCAACTTTGTTCTCTGTATTTATAAATGATTTAGCTGCTGAAATTAATAGCTTACACTGTGGTATCCACCTGGACACTGACATGCTGAGTATCCTAATGTATGCTGACGATGTTGCTCTCGTAGCACCTGACGAGCACTCTTTACAGCGGATGTTAGACTGTGTAGCAAACTGGTGCGCACGTTGGCGCTTACTTGTCAACATCAAGAAAACTAAAGTTGTGCACTATCGTCCCAGTTACATTAAAATGTCCGATTTTGTTTTTACAATTGGGTCTGACCAGGTTGAAAGTACTCACGCTTATAAATACCTAGGTGTTTGGCTACAGGAACATCTTGATTTGAATTTTACAGTTAAAGAAATAGCTAAATCTGCAAATAGGGCACTTGGTGTTATAATTTGTAAATTCAAAGCAGTTGGTGGTTTAGCTTATAACATTTTTACAACTTTGTACAATAACTTGGTCCAGCCTATCTTATCTTATGGATCGGCAATTTGGGGAACTAAGGAATTTAGCTGTATAAATGCTGTCCAAAACCGAGCGTGTAGATTTTTCTTAGCAGTCGGTAGAAAGACTCCAAATTTGGCTGTCCGTGGTGAAATGGGCTGGACATCCTCATTTACAAAACAAAAGATTGAAATTCTTCGGTTCTGGCGCAGTTTGCATGCTGCAGATCAATCCCGAATGCTGAGTATTATTTGCAGATGGTCAGTAAAATTCCGTAGATCCTGGAATAATACAGTTTTCAACTACTTTGTCAGTTTACATTTACCAATTTATGATCTAAATAATATTTCTACTGAAGAGTTTAACTTGTCTAAAGTATGTCTGTTATCCTTAGACCATTCTGATTGGTTACATGGACTCTGGAACGATACGGGCCAGGTAAATGGTAATAAGTTACGTACATACAGATTATTTAAAGATTCTTTATCAGTAGAACCCTATGTCAGTTTATTGATGAACAGATGTCAGCGCAGTATATTAAGTAAGTTTCGCTGCGGCTCACTGCCATTTGAAATAGAATTGGGAAGATTCACCCGCCCGAAAACACCGCTTATTGAACGTATGTGTAAATTCTGTAATTGCAATGCTGTTGAGGATGAAATACACTTTTTTGCTGAATGTTCTCTCTATACAGATTTACGCTATGATTTATGGAATTTAGCTTCTCAATCAAATCCAAACTTTATACAGATGTCCGCTGCCGATCAGACCGTGTTCTTTATGCGGAACAATAAGGTGGTCAGACCCCTAGCCGCGCTTCTTCACCACATGTATGAGCGAAGACAACTGTGTCTTTCGTCTCTACCAGCCTAGTTCCATGTATCTTAGTATCAGAATGTTCTGATAACTGGTGATAACCGGTGATAACTGGTGATAACTCATTTTTATGTATATGTATGTACTGTGATATTTCTCATTTTTACTCATATGTATGTGACGTCCTGCGTGTCTCGTAGGCCATAATGGCCGGACACTGTACACACTATTTGTGTATTTTTATTGTCACTGCTGTACAGTGTGTGACACGAAAATAAAATAATTTTCTTCTCTTCTTCTTCTTCTATATTCCATAACGTCGCCCTTTAGATAATCGAGTCATGACAAGACAAATCTGTGATAGATATTACGACCATCGAAGGCCGACTGAAATCACCGAGTCTAGCCGATAAGAAGATGTTGTTGATGACCAATTCTAACCTCGAATATTCACCTGGGATCGTGTGTTTGACAACTGTGTTATACGTCTACGTGCCTTCAGTATTATCAAACTGACGTTACGTGGTGTGACTTGACAATGATTTCAATCTCATTAAAATCAGATCTTAGTTCTCGCTGCCGCTGAACAAAGATCTGAGGACATACCATTACGGGTCACGTCAGACCGCCACACGATCACACATGTTTCTGGCACGCCTGTAAGGGATACAACACTGTACAGCAAGTTGAGTGTGCCATCCTACCCGCAATCTATGTAGATATCTGGCTATAATATTATCCCGTCGTTGGAGGGACGCAGTGTCTACAAGACTGTGTTGACGATTGTAGACTTGGTAAGTGTTTGGAGAGTGTAGGTGGATGACAGAGTTGCTTCCCTTTACATATCGATTTACCGTGGATGGATTCTTATTACTGACAATTGTCCACAGACTCAACGAGAGAAAACGAATCACCATTGTCAAATTTTGGTTTTGTTTGTTTGTTATTTTGTTGTTTAACGCCGCACTCAGCCATATTCCAGCCATATGACGGCGGTCTGTAAATAATCGAGTCTGGACCAGACAATCCAGTGATTGACATCATGAGCATTGATCCAAGCAATTCGGACAGATGACATGCATCAACCAAGTCAGCGAGCCTGACCACCCGATCCCGTACGTCGCCTGAAACAAATATACGTGCGATGCTCATAACTATCACGAGGTTGAAGCTCAAGATGAGAAGTTGTAGTCATAAGGATATTGATTACAGCATTTACACGTGAATAAGGAGAGGTTAAGAGTAATGTCAACATGTCAACAGTCAATGTTAAATGAAACGAAAGGATCACGTCGGACCCGTCTATTGTTACACGCTGGTCGTATCATAATGTTTCTGGTATAAGTCGAACAAATGAAACCGTGTACATTTTTTATATTCATTATTTCTATAATGGCTGTAGTTGTTGACAATATTCCTAAAATACTGCCGGTGTGACTTTAAATTATAACTCAAATATTCTAAAGTTTTACTACAAAGGGCGCGATCCTCATTGTGTGATAATACGTTTGTGTCACACAGCTACCTACATGTATTTCACATATGGAACTTTTTTAAAACACACAAAATTTAGTAATTTTCATGGATAAACCTTGTAATTCCTGTGGGGATATATAATATTTTAGAAAGTATTGGATATAAAAATCAGAAAAAAGAAAGCGTTTATTTAGTCTTGATTTTAATAACACCTAGAATAATATGTTTCGGGTTCCTTCTCGCAATTAACCCATTCGAATATAACGAATTGTTTTTAAGGACGGTATTCCATAATCTGATTTTTTCTTTAACATCCTTGGTATCAATTACTTACCCATTCTCTTTGTATATTCGTCATACATCAGCCCCTTTGGCCGGTCGCTGAAATTGTCTCCATACTTCACAAACGCCTCTTTCAGTGTTTCATAGCCATTGAAGACAATGACGAGCTTGTTGCCAAAATATAGGCTGAATACATCGCCATACTGTTTCCTTAACTTCTGGAAGATGTGTCTGACATCACCCCCCGACAAGGAGAGGAGATTGCCGATCAGCGGCAGTGTCGGCGGTCCTGGGGGTATGTGCTGCGGTTTCCGCGTTCCGAGCCACAGGCCGAGTATACTTACAGCAGCAACCAGAAGCCAGGTCGGGCTGACACAAACAACACAGTCGCTTATTGACATTGCAATGTGTAGAGTTCCGCTAATTATGCACTACATGGGGTTGTGCACAGCTACAACTGCAAGTACATGGAAATACTGTGGTACCTGGGCTTGTGTTTGTTAGTAACATGTCACACTTCCGGACCGGGGTTTATCAAAACATGTACCAGAAAACTATAGGAAACGAAAAACGGATTAACTTCCAATTTGTAATTTTGTTTATGATTTCTCGTTTCCTGTGTAAGTTTTGTTTTCGGTATTTAATGTTATATACGGCGGATTTGTGAAGCCACTGTCAGAAAACATTGGTATCCCGTTGCTGTAAGATGTACAAAGTATGTAAAGCGGTCGTAAAAGCGCTAATCCACGCTGCCTGTACACTGAATAGTGGTGTTCCATTTCTGTGAACCTTTTGTGAGTGAGTGAGTATGGTTTTACGCCGATTTTAGCAATATTCCAGCAATCTCACGGCGGGGGACACCAGAAAAGGGCTTCACACATTGTACCCATGTCGGGAATCGAACCCGGGCCTTCGGCGTGACGAGCGAACGCTTTAACCACAAGGCTACTCGACCGCCTCTTGAACCTTTTGTGACGTAACACTAGTGTGTGAGTAGGTTCCTTAACATGTTGTTAAACTGCGAATATATTCATTGACCAGGAAACAGCGGACATTCTGTTAGAATGTCCCGGGCATTCGGAAGTAAATGTCAAAGCTTTAATTGAAATGTATTAACAAGGTATTTTTTAAAAGTGTCCTTTTGATATGAATCTAATGTTGAAATATGACATCACCCTGAGACCAATTCAAACACATTCTTATACATGCAGATCAAGAATGTCTTTTTATGTGTTTATAGTCTAAACACGTTTTGACAGTTCATACACATTATACGATCGCGAAGAACGTTGTTCTTGTATTTTCCTAGTACGGTTTGTCCTTGATGCGTGGGCCTCTCTTGTGAGAAAACAGCAGCATGTGTTAGCATAAGATCATTTTTAGCAACTCGACGGGCGTCTTGTTACCACAGCACTGGGGCTCTTGCCGCGGTATGACGAACACGCTCTAGAACACCTGGTGTCATCGGTATTATGTGAAGGTGACCCCTGGCCTTGCCCACTGAGAATGATAGAGGTAAGGTCTTTATTAATTTCTCTAAAACTGTCAGTTCTTAAAAAAAACATCTTCAAAACAAAAACTGTAATAACCCTAGCATCTTTCCACTAAAAACATATTCCAACTTGGGGGCCAATATTGAAAACTGTATACATTTAGCTAACCCTTATTTGAGAGATGTTTTGCTGCTTGGGGAACACTGTGAAGAGGCAGAAAACTCCACAAACATTGGAGAAGTACTATCAGAACCTCTTTGGGGTAATCATCAGTTTAAAATAAACTGATTTCGTTATAAGAAATTGTTTCTTATGGGAATTTGCACAATTAAAGATCTCTGTAATGAGGATGATATAATGGTCTTCAATGAACTTAAAAGAAAATACCATATTACTGTAACATTGCTGTATCAAGATGTACTTTATCATTACTGTATCGGGATATGCTATAACATTAATACCTCGGGATATACTATAACATTACTGTGTCGGGATATACTATGACATTATTGTATTGCGATATACTATAACATCACATTATTGTATTGGGACATAAGATATACGTTACTGTATCGGGATATGCTGTAACATTACTGTAATCGGATATACCATACCACACATGTATCGAGATATACTATAACATTACTGTATCGGGATATAATAGAACATGAATGTACCGAGATATACTATAACATTATTGTATTGGGATATAATATAACATAACTGTATTGGGATATACTATAACATTACTTCATCAGGATATGCTATGACATTACTGAATAGGAATATACTATTACATTACTGTTTTGGTATATACTATAACATAACAGTATTGGGATGTACTATAACATTACTGTAAAGGGATATGCTCAAACATTACTTTTTTGGATATGCTATAACATTACTGTTTCGGGATATGCAAGAACATTACTGTATCGGGATATACTATAACATGATTATATCAGGATATACTTTAACATGACTGTGTCGGGATAAACTATAAAAATTACTATATTGGGATATACTATAACATTATTGTATTGGGATATACTATAAGATTACATTATTGTATTGGGACAATATAACATTACTCTGTCGGGATATGCTATAACATTACTGTATTCGGGTATACCATACCACACATGTACCGGGATATATTATAACAATACTGTACTGGGATATGCTATAACATTACTGTATCGAGAAATACTATAACATTATTGTATTGGGATATACTATAACATTACTGTATTGGGATATACTATAACATGACTGTATCGGGATATGCTATAACATTATTTTATCGGGATATACTTTAAGATTACTCTCTAAGGGTACACTATAACATTTTTGTTATTGAATCTACTATAACATTACTGTATTGGGACATACAAAAACATTACTGTATTGGGATATACTATAACATTACTGTATTGTAGTATATTATAAAATTACTGTATCGGGGTATATACTGTAACATTACTGCATCGTGATACACAATAATATTGCTGTATCAGGGTACACTGTAACGAAACTGAATTGGGATAGTACTTTAAAAATATTGTATTGTGATATACTGTAAATTACTGGTATCGGGATATACTGTGACTCCTTGATGTTGGGATATACTGTGACACACTAGTGTTCGGATATACTGGAACTCATTGGGGTTTTGAAATGCTGTGTCTTATTGTTGTTGTGAAATACTGTTACTCACTGGTGTTGGGAGATACTGTGACTCACTGATGTTGGAATATACAGTGACTCATTTGTGTTGGTATATACTGTGACCTATTGGTGTTAGAATATACTGTGACTTATTTGTGTTGGGATATACTGTGACTCACTGATGTTGGAATATACAGTGACTCATTTGTGTTGGGATATACTGTGACTTATTGGTGTTAGAGTATACTGTGACTTATTGGTGTTGGGATATACTGTGACTAATTGTTGTTAGAATATACTGTGACTTATTGGTGTTGGGATATACTGTGACTTATTGGTGTTGGGATATACTGTGACTCACTGATGTTGGAATATACAGTGACTCATTTGTGTTTGGGTATACAGTGACTTATTGTTGTTAGAATATACTGTGACTTATTGTTGTTGGGATATACTGTGACTTATTGTTGTTGGGATGTTCTGTGACTTATTGTTGTAGGAATATACTGTGACTTATTGTTGTTTGGATATACACTGACTCACTGGTGTTTGGATATTCTGTGACTCACTGGTGTTTGTGAGATACAGTGACTCATTTGCGTTAGGATGTACTGTGACTCACTGGTGTTGGGGGAATCTGTGACTCACTGGTGTTGGGAGATACTGTGACTCACTGGTGTTGGGAGATACTATGACTCACTGGTGTTGGGAGATACTATGACTCACGTATGTTAGGATGTACTGTGACTCACTGGTGTTGGGAGAATCTGTGACTCACTGGTGTTGGGAGATACTGTGACTCACTGGTGTTGGGAGATACTATGACTCACTGGTGTTGGGATATAGTGACTCACTGGTGTTGAGATATAGTGACTCACTGGTGTTGGGAGATACTGTGACTCACTAATGTTGGAATATACAGTGACTCATGTGTGTTAGGATGCACTGGGACTAATTGATGTTGGGATATAATATGACGCACTGGTGTTGGGATATACTGTGACTCAATGGTGTCGGGATATACTGTGACTCACTGGTGTTGGGAGATACTGTGACTCACTAATGTTGGAATATACAGTGACTCATTTGCGTTAGGATATACTGTGACTTATTGTTGTTGGGATATACTGTGACTTATTGGTGTTGGGATATACTGTGACTCACTGGTGTTGGGAGATACTGTGACTCACTGATGTTGGAATATACAGTGACTCATTTGCGTTAGGATATACTGTGACTTATTGTTGTTGGGATATACTGTGACTTATTGTTGTTTGGATATACTCTGACTCACTGGTGTTTGGAAATACTGTGACTAACTGATGTTGGAATATACAGTGACTTATTTGCGTTAGGATATACTGTGACTTATTGTTGTTGGGATATACTGTGACTTATTGTTGTTTGGATATACTCTGACTCACTGGTGTTTGGAAATACTGTGACTAACTGATGTTGGAATATACAGTGACTCATTTGCGTTAGGATATACTGTGACTTATTGTTGTTGGGATATACTGTGACTTATGGTTGTTGGGATATACTCTGACTCATCGGTGTTTGGAAATACTGTGACTCACTGTTGTTGGGATATACAGTGACTCATTTGTGTTTGGATATTCTGTGACTCACTGGTGTTTGTGAGATACTATGACTCACGTATGTTAGGATGTACTGTGACTCACTGGTGTTAGGATATAGTGACTCACTGGTGTTGGGATATAGTGACTCACTGGTGTTGGGAGATACTGTGACTCACTAATGTTGGAATATACAGTGACGCATGTGTGTTAGGATGCACTGTGACTAATTGTTGTTGGGATATAATGTGACGCACTGGTGTTGGGATATACTGTGACTCAGTGGTGTCGGGATATACTGTGACTCACTGGTGTTGGGAGATACTGTGACTCACTAATGTTGGAATATACAGTGACTCATTTGTGTTAGGATATAATGTGACTTATTGTTGTTGGGATATACTGTGATTCACTGGTGTTAGGATATAATGTGACTTATTGTTGTTGGGATATACTGTGATTCACTGGTGTTTGGAGATACTGTGACTCAATGGTGTCGGGATATACTGTGACTCACTGGTGTTGGGAGATACTGTGACTCACTAATGTTGGAATATACAGTGACTCATTTGTGTTAGGATATAATGTGACTTATTGTTGTTGGGATATACTGTGATTCACTGGTGTTTGGAGATACTGTGACTTACTGGTGTTGGGATATTCTGTGACTCAATAATGTTGGAATATACAGTGACTCATATGTGTTAGGATGTACTGTGACTTATTGTTGTTGGGGTATACTGTGACGAACTGGTGTTGGGATATACTTTGACGCACTGGTGATGGGATATACTGTGACACACTGGTGTTGGGATATACAGTGACTCATAGGTGTTAAGAACTGTGACTTATTGTTGTTGGAATATACCGTGACGCAATGGCGTTGGGATATACTGTGACTCTTTGATGTTGGGATATACTGTGACTCACTTGTGTTGGGATATGCTGTGACTCACTGGGTTCGGGATATACTGTGACGCACTGGTGTTGGGATATACTGTGACGCACTGGTGTTGTGATATTCTGTGACTAACAAGTATTGGGATCTTCTGTCACATAATGGTGTTGGAATAAATTGTTATTTAACTTGTGTTTGGGTATATTTTCACCTAACCGGTGTTAGTACATACTGGTGTTTGAGGATATATCATGATTCAATTGATGCTTGGGTTTAACGCTGCTTTCAGCAGTATTTCAGGTATATAGCGCCATGCTAGCTTGTCGTGTGAGCATGCCAACACGACATCTTCCACCTTGCTCAAACCTTCGAGTACGGCATGGTGCCAAGGAACATATTAGATTCAAACTTGAGACATGGGACTCATCTCAGATTGGGACTGATCTTCTTATCCTCATGGCATCTTGACAGGGTTAACAATATAACAAAGAAAGTATTTCATATAAAAATATGTTTTTATTCAAAGCTGGATACAAAATAGCAATTTAAAGACATAACGATACGGAACATCCCACATTTCGGCCAAACCAAATTAATCTTTTGAAACTCCTCATCCTTCTAAATGCTTGGATATTCTACATTCCTATCTACATTGTCCAACCACAGATGACAACATTTAGCTGAGCCAAAATAGGAAACAAAAAGTAAATCAAAGTAAATGTAAGCACTATTATGTATCAGCTGTATCAAACAGTAACATCAAAGTGAATGTTAGCACTATTCTGTATCAGCTGTATCAAACAGTAAAATCAAAGTAAATGTTAGCACTATTCTGTATCAGCTGTATCAAACAGTAAAATCAAAGTAAATGTTAGCACTATTCTGTATCAGCTGTATCAAACAGTAAAACCAAAATGAATGTTAGCACTATTCACTATTCTGTATCAGCTGTTTCAAACAGTAAAATCAAAGTAAATGTTCGCACTATTCTGTATCAGCTGTATCAAACAGTAAAACCAAAGTGAATTTTAGCACTATTCTGTATCAGCTGTATCAAACAGTAAAATCAAAGTAAATGTTAGCACTATTCAGTATCAGCTGTATCAACAGTAAAATCAAAATAAATGTCAGCACTAGTCTGTATCAGCTGTATCAAACAGTAAAATAAAAGTAAATGTTAGCGCTATTCTGTATCAGCTGTGTCAAACAGTAAAATCAAAGTAAATGTTAGCACTAGTCTGTATCAGCTGTGGAGACGTAACACCCCCGGGGGATCTTAATGAACACTCTGTTCTGCACAAGTTTACTTTCCTCAAAGAAGAAACAAAAGTGCGTTGTGGCTCCAAGCTGTAATAACATTACATTTCTGATAATACGTTTTCTAAGACACAGACAATGGCAATTAAAGCTATATATTTTATATACGCGTGTACATAGTATTACCTACGTGTAAGGCGGAAGTGTTACATTTTTCACAGAGACATGAGAAACCAGAAAATAGATGGTGGATGTTTTGTCGTACTCACATGTTTGGATTTGGCTAAAAAGACGTTATTGATGAGAATAATGTGCACTATTGATCGACAAGTTGGGCGTTTTTGCATGGGAGTTACGATGACATTTCCGAGGAATTAACAAACAGTGGAAGAGAAATTCTTAAACATCAAATCTAGTTTTTCAAATGTAATCTATAAATACATAATTTATTCTAATTCCAAACCTTATCGTAATAAAAAAAACCTTAGCGTAATACAAAAATAAGATATTGAGAAACAATTGTAAAGAAATAAAAGCGACAAAACACTTTCCACATTCAAAAGAAAAACAGTAAAAACAGAGCGGAGTGTACAATTGTAAAACACATGTGTAAAATGACAAAAATGAAAACAATTAAGAAAAGAGATGTGACAGGCTCCTCCCCTTTTCACCCAATATCGAATTCAAAGGAACAATTTTGAAAGAGCAACTGAAACAGAATGTTATAAAAGGGAACATTAGACATTAATAATATATTGACCAGTCGGATTCATATAATTAAGATCTTGATCAATAAATAACTATTTTATTTTTTGGTATGGCTTGGAGGACATATCAATGATTTACCTTAGTTATTTCGCTCATAACAAGATGAACATGATGAAACAAGTCATAAACAATATTTTAAAAGCACGCTAAAATTTCATAGTCGAAACACTTCAACAAATAACAAAGAGGCATTTTAGTATTGACTAAAACGGTATAGACCTCTATCAGTGGGCACGAAAAAACAACAACAACGCATTTATAGTGAGCATTATGGTATTATGTACAACATGGTAAACTCCTTTCTACTGACATAACGAACAAGGGAGACTATTTATAAAGTTGCGGAAAACTTTGTAATATTGGTATCAGACATGTTCAAATGACTGACAACTAGCCTTTCCTTTTTCTTACACTTTCCAATTTTAGGCTGACATGATCAAATAGATAGGTGTGGCTAACCCGAACGACTAATACCGATTTGTTTACTATCAGAAGAAATATAAAGATGAAGTGTCATCAAAGTTGAATTTTTTTAAATGTTGGTCTTGTTTTTCTCTACATCCCTCAAAGACTTGCATAAGTTAAAGGACAATATATAACAATATGAAAAACTCTAAAGTAAGCCTTGTCAATATATTATGCCTTTCCTATGCACGCAAGTTTGATCAAAGTCTACATCAGACATTTGTCGAAATGATCAAAATCTAATTCCCATTCACATGAACTTATCTGAAAACCTTTCCAATGATTTGTAAAGGTTTTCCTTCATTTTTAAATTATGCATATCCATTGGGCGAAACTAGTCCCTTATCACGCCTTTACCTTATTGTTTACACTGGATTATTCCCAATTAACGAAATAGCTAGTCTGAATGCTAAATGCAAATGCCGACACATTGAAGCTATATGTCCTTGGGCAGTTTATATATAATGTTCATAGCATTGATCATTAGTTGTCGTATAATGTTTATGTTGATTTTGGTTGGAATATCCATGTCCTTTATGTTATTAAATACAAGAGTTATCACATTTTCAACACAAAGAGACCAGCCTAGTAAAAAAATCTCATAGACTGCGTGAACATTTTATTATATATTCAGTGTTATAAAAAAGGGTGAAAGAAACTAAGACAGAATGAATTCTAATAACCGGGTCGTGACTGTCATTAAGCTATTGTAGTACTGCGCTACTGGCAGCAACCCTTGATTGATCTGTTAATGCTGTAACTTTCCTCTACCAACATGAGTGTGGACTTCACCTCTCTCCGCGTGTGCGGCTTGTGCGGTCTCCTACAGCACGGTGGTTGGTTAAACGTTCATGTACATCTCTTCCGGGTCAGGTTCTGTAACAGTCATGCAAACAATCCCTCATTCAGTATTAAGTTGTGTAACTATTCATAATATCATTGACGTCTTAATTGACATTGTTTAATACTTTTTCATTATAGCGTTAAAGGGGTTTGTATATATCGACACACTCTTACTTTAAATAGTATTGTTAATAATGAGCAACGTATGATAGTATATTTTCCCCAAACATTTCCAATCTTGTAAACCATACTTTCACTTGTGTGCTGAGAGAGTGGTATCACTTCATGTACACTCACCATATCCTTCGTTGGTATAGATATTCTCCTCTGGATAGTTGTCGTTGTTCTGGTAGATGTTTTCTCTCTCCACTATCTCCTTCCTCTTCCTGATGATCATTTCCTTGATGGTGTCGTAGATGAATATGTACTGTTTCTGAAATTACAATGACGAAATTGCCAGTGGATCATGATACAAGTATCTGTTCACTAGACCAGTATAACTTTTTTGCTTCAAATTGACCATGTACTTCTAGTTCTACTGACTGCCGTTCCTACAACGGTGATGTATATATATCTATTGCAACACCAACTGTTGAAAGAATAAAATAATTTTACGAAAAATTCCGTATTAAAAAGTAAATGCGTTGTTTACATATGCTTTGCTATCTAATTCTATATGAAGCCATTTTCCCGTACATGGTCTCTGTGTATTAAAGGCAATGTCTCATTACCTCTGTCTGGACCATGTAGGATCTGTTTTCTCTCATCCTCATCACAAAGTCAAACACGTCCAGCTCTTTGTCAAAGTTCTCCTCGTCTATGGCCTGCTTGAAGACGTCCAGAGAGACATACGTTCCAGTCCTCCCTACACCAGCGCTGCTCAGGACATGTTTATACGTGTATCTTAACAAATGTTATAAGTAACATTTGTTGAGAAGGAAATGAAGTGAAACTGTGAAATTAGTGAAATTGGCACTTTGCATACGGTTCAGGGTATAGAAGTCGTAATAGAGTAACCACATTATTGAATACATTTCAATGTGACATGAAGGACGTTTCTCAATAACTATGGGAAATACAAATGAACATCCGATTTGATTTCCCAAATATGGTTTATCAGACTTTTTTTGGTTTCTTGAGTCAAGAAAGAACAGCTAACCAATTTCAGGGACAGAGAGATAAGTGATGCCATATGAGTGTGACGTGATGCTAAGTAACCCAATGACGTCACAATGGTCTGCAAGCATGATATTGCGACATCGCTTGATCTTACCCAAGCGATATCTCCTGTGGAAGCCAGTTTTGGATGACAAAGGTCTTAATCAGACCATACACATGTTCATAGACACTGATAGAATATGTCTATGAACATGATAAGAGAACGTTACCTGCAGTGAACACAGATTGGACCTTTTTCCGTGGGCTTTATTGTCATCCGAACATCTCTGACAAAGCTGATGACGTCATCGGAGGTAAGATTAGCACCGAAGTCCTGCCAGCCTGGGAGGAAGTAATGGCGGACCTTCCGACTTTCATCCCTCTGGATAACAGTAAATGACATGACGAGTGATTCAATGGGTAACAACCTAAATGGAACGACCCGTATTTCAGATCTACTTGAGTACTGCCATTCAAAGGATACACGATTGGTTTTACAAGTAATTTTTTATTACGTAATAAAATTCAATACATCCATTTCTATTACTGACATATCATTGTGGTGACATTGCTTGGACATTGAATATATATGTTACCGACCATAAAAATATAAACATACCTTCGTTATCTTGAAGATTTTGATGACGTATTTGCTGAGTGGTGAGTAGTTTATCATCTCGACAATGATCTCTCCATGTTGCACTGGTTCGTTGATGTTTTCTGGCCAATACCTGTCGACCTTGGGCTGCAAGATAAACAATTTTTCACAAAGATTCGAGTACTAGAATACTGCCAAAGATCGTATGAGTGTGAACCATTTCTTACGATAAGGAACTACGTGTATGTGTTTAAAAATATGCCCAAAGCTTTTGTATGAAGATTAATATTGCACCTAAGCTCAAAATATAAGGTAGTTCCATGTAATTAATACAAAATTAAAGTTCCACGCGAATACAATTAACACTGTAACATGAAGACACTTCATAAAACATAGTTTTGAGCAAATAACAAACAGTTTGTAAACTTTAGTTGAATTCAGGTTCTCCAACTAAGTGCGCTCGTGCTATTACTGACTGTGTGTAAATAAGCAAGGACAAAACTTAAACCACTCTCTTGTATTGATGAGAATCATAATAACTGAACTGATATCAAGGTATCAATCTTTGCTGTAGGTTTTAAAACGAAGAAAACTATATATTACAAAAATAAAAGCCACAACTACAAGAAATCTGCTAAGAAGCTGAGTCGAATGTACAATTCCAACTGTATCATAAGCATGTGGTTATGAGTCACTATCAAATACTGATGATACCAGGTGTTCGCGAAATCATCAACAATATATGCAAAAAGCAAATTTAATTGTACGCTTCCGACTTTATCACATTGAATTCAAGTAACATGAACATAAAGCTATCAGAATATGTTGCAGGGCCTTGTAAACTAAGACATTTCAAGATTAGAAGGCTATCAACTAAATGTGATGACATGGTAAAAATCGTGTGAAACCAGACCTTGCCCTTCTCCATCAGGTCTGACAGCATGATGATGATGTGGACGTCCTGCTCCCATATCATCCTCCAGAAGTCCGCCACAGTCCCGGTCATAGGGCCCTGGGTAGCGATGTACTCGCGTGGAGAGTTGTAGCCCTGTTAACAATGAAAGAAAAGTGGTGAGCTGAGGTGAAATTGAGTTTAACGTCGCGTCCAAGATTATTGCACTTATATAGCGACGTGCATGCACGTGTGTGTGTGTACTAGTCCGGACTGATGCCGATTTATAGTGCTAGCCCACTGAGATACCATGCCGCAATTTTACATGAATACCCCACTCAGACACAGTATACTGACTCCGAGCCGACCAGTCCTTGTTTTAGCCCCTTAATGCCGAGCACCAGATGGGCTAACAACAAGTACCATCTTTTAACGTCTTTTGGTATGACGCGGCCGGGGATCGAACCCCGGACCTTCCGCTCTCCGGGCGGACGCTCTACCACTAGACCACGGAGGCGGTCGAAAGATAAGTAAAGCGCTATGATTCATGTCATGCCGGCACTGGCGACATATTGTCAAGCAGTAAGTGTTTTGTTTGTGTGTTTATTTGTTGCTTAACGCCACACTCAGCAATATTCCAGCTATATGACGGCGGTCTGTAAATAATCGAGTCCGGACCAGAGAATCCAGTGATTAATATCATGAGCATCGATCCACGCAATTGGGATCGATGACATCCATCAACAAAGTCAACGAGCCTGGCCACCCGATCCCGTTAGTCGCCTCTTAGGATGAGCATAGTCGCCTTTTACGGTAAGCATGGGATGCTGAAGAGCTATTCTACCCCGGATCTTCACGGGTCCAAGCAGTAAATGAGAGCATATTCGTGTCATTGTGCGAGTCACATTATTACATTGCTTCTTGTTGTTTCATGTCACAGTCAGCAACATTCCAGCTACATATCGGTTGCCTGTAAATCTGCTAGGACAAGAAAATCAGTGGGTGAGGATTGATCAACGTCCAACTCCGTCGTAATACGATGACATACACTCAACAAAATCTGTCCATCCGATACACATATATATAAGTCGAATTTTATAACATGAGGTACCTCGGCATTTGCCTTATAATATGATCGAACGAGGCGTTGAATTACCGGAATATAATTAGCGTTGATATAATCCGAATCGTCCTCATCGTCATCTGCTAAGGACCGCAGCTTCACCCGAGTGTGATCAACTGGGTGGGCGATAAATTGGTATATAATGTATGATCAGAGCAAATATGACATATAAATTAAATCACTTGAGACGAAGATTACTAGACTATTATGATAATCGTGTATCATAGCTGTAGGTGAACACGTGTATAGAATAGTGTATAGTGTATTGAGTAGATAATAAATATTTTCATGCTTCATGGCATTTGGTTTCTGATGTACTGAATACTTGCACATTTACAATATACGAAGACGTACATGGAAGAATGTTGACATATCTGTTCCTGAGTTTGTTGCCACCGGTTTCTGAAGCTGCGCAAGCATGTTTTGGACTTATAGTACCTATATCCTAAATAAGAACAAAACCGTTTTGTAACATATAATACACAAGTTTCATAATCACCAATATTACACTAACGAAGATTGGCACATATTCCCTTAACATGAAACTGAGGGATATACGTCAAACTATGAATTAATCTAATCAGTGTTATTATTTACGTACGTACTTTTAAATGTTATGATGTATATCGGAATATACATTAAAGCGACAAAACCCTTTCCGTAGCCACAAGAAATCTCTGCTACAAGCAGAGTCGATTGTACGATTCCGGTTGTATCCTAGCACTTGCCTCAAATTCATCCGAGAACTGCATGTTTGAGTCTTTGTGCATGTCATCTACACGCTCAACAAACTCTGAAATCCTGATAGGCCTGAATAAAACAAACAAACACAACATATGAACTGTTATATGGCAGTGTAATTTATTGTTAAACAATGTTGTAATTGTATTAAATTAGTTCTCTTTGAGATTTAGTAGAAGTTTATAGCTTTGTGTTTTGACGATGGTTAGTTGTTTAGAATTTCGTACTATCTAATGTTAGCACATTGGTGCTTTGTTTCTTCTAGAAAAGCTATATACTAATCCTGCATGGTCTGGACTCTTATAGAAGAGATGCAGACTAGTCCAGAATGGTACATGTATGGACGTTTCTAGATGACTATAAATAAGTGGGAAAATGCATGCCTCTCGCATCTCACACTACATCTCACATTGCACCAAGACCAGCGGTCGTGTGAATATCACTGTGCACCGCGTGTATCCAGCCCTAGTTCCATTTTGGAAGCTTGACTACTGTTGCTGCCAGGTGAAAACTATTATCACTGACCGTTTTACTATTGCCACTGATATTGTATTTTATCCTGCCACCGTAATTGTACTGCTATTAAATGTTACGCTGCCACTCTATTATGTACTACTATTATAATTGCTTGGCAGTAATGCGTATTGATTTGTAAACCTGATTAATTTTACAATAGAATTGTTGATTGTATACCATTTCTTTGTTTGTTGTTTTCACACTGAACTCTTTCAAGCTCAGATTTCTGGGTTTACTTATTGTTTCAAATTGGAAGTGGATACGGAACAAAACAATATAAGAGTGTTTTTTTTTTACAAAAGAATGATTTTTATCGCGATCACCCCAACATTTATGTTTTCTTGAACAATACTTACATCATCGGATCAGTTTACTGCAAAGGCATCTTAGTTTTACCTTTTATTAGCAATAACATTCCCAATTTGAATCCCCTGTGTAGACAGGCGTCTTGCACTTTGGCCTACGTTTCTGAAAACCAAATAAGAAAAAAGCAACAACTCGTCATCAAAGAATGGTTTGCGAGCAGCCTCATCGTTCATTCTATCCTCACTAGAGGCGAGATCAAGGCGCCGCCCATCATATATTAAATAACATATACTGCCGTATGATGAGTTGTCCCAACAATACATATGTCCGGGCCATATTTTATTTTTTATCTTAACTATCACAAGCCGTAACTTGAAAAATTCAATGTGGCGATTTCTAAAAACACCAGAGATATACAAATAAAAGACGTGGAAATCGATGCAAATCCCTACTGATTATTTATTGAACATTCACATTTAATGAACTCTTATCATACGTTGTACCTAGATAGACGAAAACAACGTCAAACACACGACACATCCTATCATGATTAAATGAATATGAACCAATATGATAAAATTTTACCTTCGACGTCCGAAAAAAAATTTAACCAGAACGACGATGATGACAAACACGACGACTGCGGAAGCTGCACCAACAATCATTACAGTGTATTGACGACTGGTGGCACCTTGGGCTAAGGAAATTGATTAATTCAAACACATAAAGTAATTGAACTTATACAAGCTGGGTATGTGATCAGAAAATCCAAATAGCCTTTACCTTGCAGGTGTATATCAGATTACAGTGGCTTTTGTTTGCAAGGGTAACACCATTGTGCGATATTCATTCACAGGCACTATTTATGCATGATCAAACATGAATCACTTAATGTTACTACTCAATATATTCATCTTTCAGATTTTGAGAGTCTGTACTTTCGTCGATATATCATATCATATCATTCTCACTAATATCATCTTCAAGTGTTTGGCTCAACTCTTCAAGTAGTCCGGGAAAGAAATAAAAAATAACGGACCACACTGCCGGGCGGTTTACGTGTAATGTTATAAGTTCACATGGTATTTCGGGTCTGTTAACTTAAAATCTTTTTAGTTAGATAATAGCATCATATTCTCTATGTCCATATCAGTCAGTCACACAGTCACACAGACAGACACATTCGTTGCTCCACTACATTATTTCTTAGCTATTGTCTTTCTGTTACTCCGATTTAACATGCAATGTTCTCAATAAAAGTAAGACAAAGACGTCTTTAGTAAGATGTAAAATATCGAGAAAGTTTGTATTTTGCACTCAACACATGTTGACAGCCATCATGAATACCCAGTCCATGTTCTCAAGCGAAATAATGTTGTTCTTAATGTCTTTCGTTTTGTTATACCCGTGGATTGACAATATGAATATATTTTGGATATCATGTCATGCCTAACGTGACTTTTGAAATATTCAGAACTCCACATAAGCTCTTAAATCCTCCCATATTATTAACATTAAGTTTGTCTTCTAATAAAAGTAGCAGCTTATGGAAGCAAACCTACGGAAATACAATCCTTGTTTACAAGCCAACACAGCTTACTGTCGTAATTTAAAATATACTCACATCCCGCTTCTATATATTCATATATAGTAGACTGTGCACCAGGAACAGTGTTTTGAAGGAAAACCTAAAGCACAAAAAACTCTTTAGCCTGTATTCAAACATACTCGTTGTGAAAGACAAGGCAATCATACAAACCACATTAGTAGGTATTTTAGGCATGTTTTATGTTTAGTAACCATTGCTAGGATAAAAGGCAAGTATGTTACAAAGTGATCTGTTTCTGTTGATGAGTGAATGTACTTTTACGCCGCGGTTAGCATGTCTGGGGTAGATACATGAATTGTAGAGCGCAGTATCAGCGATCCACGACATCCGGGTACGGTGACACGTGCAGTCAGTCATTCACTGCAATCACCAATACAGCATTAGTCGGCTCGTGCAAGAAGGATGAAGTACTGAAGACCAATATTTTATCCAAGTATCCTACATGAAGCAAATTATGTGGCAATGGTAAAATGTTCTGAGCCTTACGGCCCACCTGACCTCAAGCGACATAAATATTGAATACCAAACGAGCTCCCATGTAATACCAATTTTATGAAACGAGTTAATAGTTCTGGTTTCTGACGAGCAAACGCGAGTCAGATACCACAACTATTCACGAGCTTCATAAAATTGGTTTTTAACGGGTGAGAGTTTAGTATTTTATTTATTACTTGCCATTGATAACTTTTTTTAGAATTATACTGTCGTGTGTGAATAGGCTGACACCTACACGATTCACGGCATAATAAAATTGTGTTTAACTAAATGATACTTCAAACACGTCAAAAGTTGAAACGTATTAATTTAGTATCATATATATGTCCACCTTTAGAATGCAGGAGTCCGTTCCACAAAGTTATCGTAGCGCTAAGGTTATCGCAACTCACATACATGTACTTTAACATAGACTTACGACTGCCGTTGCACTATAGTACGATCGCCTTGTCAAACGGGGCCCTGCACCACAAAGTTTATAACCACGTCACAATATGTTTATTAAACGTGTGATCTCTTCACTGGCAAGTAATAAATATTCTTATCACCTTTTTTAACATAGCTCTTTGTCGGCCACGCAACTTAAACCCACCTAAGTAAATGAAGAATGATACAGAGTGAGTGAGTTTCACTTTAACGCCTCTTTGAACAATATTTCAGTTATATCACGGCGTGTAAGCTTGATGTGGAAGAAGAAACCCGAAACCTACTAGCACGGGTATGACGCTCACAAACCAATAAACATACTCATGGGATTAGTACTAGGATCACAAGGGACGCAAATCTGCACAACCAATTTTGGCGTCTTAGACGACAATGCTACTCATGACCCCTTATGATAATATACTTTTGCGCAAAGTAGTGACTGGATTGTGTCACCACATATGTAGCATACTTACCGTAAAACTATAAGAGAACCCCGCCGTGACTTCAACATCCTGGTTCCATCTGCAGTCGTTGATATTATCATATGTCCTTCTCTCTTTCTTTGTATCTTTTGCAGATGTTTTCTAATCACAGAAACATTACTATGAACTCAAACAATAGATGTGCACGATTTTGAATTTTCCCTGTTAAAGGGTGAGGGAGTTATATCTACCGTTAAAATAGTTATCATAGTGCATTGTGCAAACGTAATGTGGGACCTCAGCCAAATAGGATGTAGAGAGTAGACATGTAGTACTTTGGTGAATCCGATGAGCATAGGGCTACAAGGATCATAACGACGGTGGATATTGGATTCAAACCCGCAAATTGTGGATCCTTGTACGAGTCTTGACGCAAATGTACACATCAAATTGCATCCGTTTTATCACTTGAGCACTTGTATCCACCACTTCTAATGAGGATACGTATTTCATAAGATACCAAATAAAGTGATGCCAGATTTTGAAGAAGTTGCTGGAGTTGATTTTGTGTGACTTATTTAGTAAAACCAGCAACCACTAATCTTGTCAATAATGATATATAATTACGTTTGGATACTTCGAGTCGTTTCGTATATAACGATCAAAGGAATGCTGTCAATGATCTTCTGAAATATATTTTCGCGAACACATTCAGCAAATAGATTACTGATTATTAACACAGGAAGCATATAGTTGGATTTAACATCACCTTGAACAGAATTTCAGTCATGTCACAGCGTTAAATCTCCAGAAATTAGTTCCGAAATGCCATGAGAAACGAATACTAGTAGTCAAGAATATGTAAATAAAAGTGGTGTTGTAGAGGAGGAGTTATTGGTCAAATAGCTATTTCGCTTATGAGGGGTTCATGACTCGCTTGTCAGCTAATTATATACAAGAATGATCACCTACACATATGTAGCGGGAGTACCAGTGTTTAAACACATTCAGCGATGATATAGTGGGCATAGAGTACCATTCAACTGATTAAAAAGAACTAATTTCTGGCAAAGTCCTTGGCAGTCCTTTCTTCACTGTAACGACGGATGTTATGAACGTATATGAGTGTATGGAGGAGACAAACTACAAACAATTACAATCTATTACAGTGTTTGATACCTATGTTCTATGTTTTAATATGTACTCTATTTTCGTATAAGAATGATTAATACTGAAGTACAGAGAGTCACGTATGTTTATAGAAATGAGTAACAACAAAAAAGAATTTGTGGTTGTTTGTCAATTATTAAACATCTGACAGGACATTATTACAAAGCTATTCTTGTCGATCAAACAAATATTCACAGACATTAATAAGACAATTTACACGCTTTAGTCCTTGTAAATTGCCAGTCCGACATATCACCCAGTTTCGTTTTGAAAAGTTGAGATAAGTTTGCATAAGTTGCAGTCACTCAAAACGTCTCACGGCAACATGAAATGTTAATTAATTGTTGATCTTTTCTGGATGATTTCAACCTGTAATTCTTCAGTTTTTGCTACGAATTGTCTTTGTAAATCCTGAATAAATGTTGAAGTAATATCAATCAGAAATACGTACTGAATAACACCAATGGTAGTCTCAACTGCATTCCATTCAAATACACAATGAACACGCCTCAGACATTTGGACACGAACCTCCTAGCCAATTATTGAAGACACAAAATATAGAACGCTACATGAAATATAAACAAGTATGTTTTACGTTTGAGTGGTAGATCAAAGTTGAACTCTTTATAATTCCATTCCTTCCATCCTTCTTTTTAGGACACTCCCAGGATAGTTTTATGCTGTTGTAAACATTTGGGATTCTTGCGACAAAGTATTGGACGACTTTCGTTGGCGCTGAAAGAGAAAACAAATGAATAATATCAATATATATGTCTTCGTATTATCTTCTAGGTCTGACTTTGGAGAAACAATCAAAAATCGTTTTTCTGGATTGTCGCAAGCACCGATATTCAGACGGTTAGTTCAATGATCATGACTCAATGAACTACCAAAATGTAAAGCCAATAACAATACTGTTACGTATCACAAATCACTTTCATGACCTATACCGTATATGATTCAGTAGGCCTCAACAATGTGTTCCTTAATTATCTATCAACAAACTGTATAGCGGAAGAATAACAGCTTTTTCAAAACGAGCGCAAATACATGCTCATAAAATGCTACAGCAATATATAAAGTTGACGAATTGTTGTCACTGCACTTGTGGTGATAAGTGGTTTGTTATTAAGCGCAAAATCATATACTGGCTCTTCGCCCGTTCCACCGTTTTGGTTTCCAGATTAGAACTTCAGCTGATATCAGGACCAAATGTAATGTATAGATGGTCTATAATAACGTACGAATCAAAGATAAAATGAGTTTCAAATTTCTCACTCTCCACCTAAACGGTTAAAGATGTCTTATCAGGAATAACAATTGTGTAATGCGAGTCTCTGGCTTATCGCATCGTTAACGCTATCCATAGTATGATGATCATTATTATCGTCATCTAAATTTAGCTAAACGTTTGGACATACCACATGTCTGTATGCCACAACTCACCCGACTCTTCAGTCATCACATCAGATGAGACCTTTTCAGATCCCCCTTTCATTGTGAAGGCCTGAATGTAGAACTTGTATTCCCAGGCACTTGATAAATTTGTCACCGTACACATGTTATGGTTATAACCTAAAGAAAATGAATGTCGCTATATATAATCAGGCGCAAAAACAGCATTATAATGTTTGTCGAAGTGGCACCACTAAATACATATACAGATTGTAAATGATGGTGGATGTAAATAACCAACGAAAGTAGATACTAATGATCGTCAGGATATAACTAGGTCTTAAGTTTGCAAGTTTGCATTCACGATAACATTCATTTAATAATCGTTTGGTGCAACGTAACGTAAAATTCAAACGTCTTTGTTATAGACAAGTGATAAAATGTTTCACACATATACAGTCAGAAGACATACCGATTATTCCTTTGGTATCGATATAGTCGTAGACAGATGTGTTTTCATTCTTCTCGTAGATACTGATATTGTAGTGAGTAGCTCCAGGTCTTGGTACAGGTGGTGCCCATGTTAACGTTATTCTGTCGGAGGTTTTTTGGCTCGCTATAAAGGTAGTAGGTTCACTTGCAGCTACGATGTTGAATAAAAAAATCAGCTTTAGGTAATTTCAGGGAAATAAATACGATACTTTTTGATGTAGGCTATGGTGATCATTTATGAATGTTTCATTAAAGAAAAAAACGAGGTTTGACATCTGACACAAAATCGGTGTCAATAATGATATAAGATGAGATCAGAGAGTTGAGAACATTCTGAGGAATGAGCAGGGCATGACAAATGTTACAGCACTCTGGGTACGGGCTTCAGACTCATGATCAGGGCCATCGTCTCTCGTGAGAACTTCGTCGTTTTGATGCTGACCCAGCTGATTTTTTTTAGCGATTTGTACCCATGGATGAGTCTTGGGTCAGTCAAAGCTAGGAAATGTCTGATGTTTTTCTCCTCCCAAGAAGTCAAAGCCTGTTCCATCAGCAGGAAAAGTGGTGTCTTCGGTTTTCTGGAATTTCAAAGTCCTTTCCGAAAGGACAGACATTAGTTGCCTTGATTATGCTTATCGGCTTGGGGAACTGCGTCAGGATATCAAGGGTAAAGTCCTGGAAAACTCACGGATGTTGTCGCTAGGCACTCGAGCATCGTTGGCTTAAATGTGTGGACCTCGGTGGTCCAACCAACACCATAAGCGCAGGTCATCATAGTTAGCCCGAGAACTCTTCAGCCATCATTCTTATGAATCAACACCCAGGTGATCAATCCAAGTTGTTAGAAACGAAGCTCTACGACGTAGAGATGCAAATTGACACGCGTACATTAGGGTCTATTCAGAGTTTAACATATACCGTCAGTAGATTAGAATGTTATTGGGAAGAAATATACTTTACCTTCTTCGTCGGTTGTTAATGGTAGGTAACTGTCCATTCCTCTTCCTTCCTGGTTATAAGCTGCGACCTTAACAAAATACTGAGTGTCTGGAAGGAGTCCTGTGATCGTGGAATTCACAATGTACATAGGATTCTTGATGTTAGATTCAGATATAGGGACGACGGTAGTGACTTCACAGTTTTCACTCCCCTCCACTGAAGCCTTAAGAAATGTAAAATGTAAACATTCAAGGTAAACATTATCAAGCTTTATGTCAGGATACATCGCTAATGGTTATAATTATCTCAATGGTCATTGATCAGCAGGCAGTAGGATTTGCGAATCTAAAACTTGACTGAATCGACAGTTTTCATGTCGATCCTTTGTCTTTGTGACCTTAGCACGGTTAAACTGAACTTTCGTTAACAACGTACATTTCTTTTGCATTCCGTACAGTTTAAAACAATTCGCTGTTTACAGGTTCCGTTCAACACCTCCAGGCGGTATTCGTAGAGGTCTCCATTTGTGCTGACTGGCCGCATCCAAGACATTGTTATATTGCGTGATGTAAACGACGTGCTCTGGAAATTCTCCACAGTACCGGCCTCTGAAAACACACATTCTCATATTCATGTATATGTTGAAAGAGGAAATTAATATTTCCTCGGAATAATTGAAAAGATATGTATAAACAATATGATTCTTTAAACCATTCTTAAACCAAGCCCATTTATGGAACTAAACACAAAACACATCTTTGTTACACATTTTTTCACCTGCAAAGCAAAAGGTCCATTTCAGAATAATTTTGCGAAGTGACGAAGTATTGTTTCATGCTGCTTTTAGATATATTCCTCTCATATCGGGATTTAGGCAACATCAATTATAATAGCAAACACATATTGTGGGGAATCGTAACGGGGTCATCGTAATGCTGACAGTAACCCCTTGACATGTGCATAAGAATTTGTATCATTTGTATAAAGCGTTAGTACAAAAAACTTGACACATTCCCATGCTGTAAACACAACGAAACTGCAATTTGAGTATTTATTTGTGTACGACATGGTAATCGATGAACCCGATTACTGAATCTTGCAATGTGATTAAAACTATGTGACTGACAATCGATTAATGTTTGGGCTTTATCATTTTAACAGATTAAGTTTGAGCTGTAAGTATTTTGCTTTCAGTTATTGGTTTGTCTGGTCCAGAGTAAAACAACATCGCCTTAATGATCTTGATGCTTCAGTTGCAGACATGTATAAGTGAGTAAGTGAGTTAAAAGAAAAGAATTCTGCGTTTCCAAAGATATTTGTAGACTTAACCACGATTAATTGAATTTGAAACTGAAAATGCGGCGTGAAGTTTCAAATGTTATATTTTGCACGGTTCTATTTGCAGTTAATCATAACCCAGTAAGTTTGGTCTGTGGGTTGCTATATATCTTGTTGGTACTTAACACAACTCCTTAGCGTTATATGCAAGTGCTACCTTAAAGAACGGAAATTTCAAGAATATAAGTTGAAATTTCAACTTTTGTATCTTGAATTTTGAACATAGCATCTTGAAATTTCAACTTAGTAATACTATCTTAAAGATGCTATGTTGCAATTTCAAGTAATAATCTTAAATAACCGCACAACATGTGTATGCACAATAATTCGCCGTTTTGAGGTTCAAACAGCGTACTTATCTTCATGTACACTGGTCCATGTTTTAATGGGCCGATGCGTATTTATCTCGTACAAGTGTGTGCCAACTATAGTTTTCTTTATTTGATAACATTGAACCCTGCTTCAATTGGTGAGGTGAGGTGAGGTGAGGTGAGGTGAAATGAGCTTTTACGTCGCGTTTCAGATTATTGCAGTTATATGGCGACGAGTGATAGTGTATGTATGTGTGTTTGTGTGCGTTTGCGCCTGTTTGTATGTCTGTTTGTGTGCATGTGTGTTTGAATTTGCCCGAGCAAATGCTGGATTCATAGTACTAGCGCACTGTAATGCCATGCCGCAGTTTTAACATGAATGTCTTACTCAGACCAGTCCTTGTTTTATCATCTTAATGCTAATGGCAGGCAGGATAACAACAAGGTTCACGTTTTAGCATGACCTTCTGTTAGTTGTGGGTAAGTGCAATTCGTATGCACACTGACATTTTATTACGTTTCATATCAGAACGGATTCCTGAAAATAAACTTAAACTTAAACAAACAATGGAATATACAATCCTCTATCCTCTATAAACGTGACAGGTTATACAAAAAGGCGAATTCATGATCAGTGGATTCGGGATGAAACCTATTCAATACATGAAAGAATATATTTTCTTATTTTATTATTGACCCCGCTCAGGGCGCCCCTGGTCAACGACAAGTTACAGGATTTAATGATTCGAAACGAGGCTCAACAAAATTGAGCTCAAACGACGAATCAAAGTTTCATCATTGCTACTGGTGCACAAGTTACGGGTCAGACGATTAGAAATCGCCTTCATGTATCTCATCTCCATGCGCGATGGCCACATGCTGTATCGCCCCTTACAAATTGTCACAATGCCAACAGTGTACAGAACATCGAACCTGGGGTAATCGTCGCTGGCCACGTGTCATATTTGAAGATGAGTCCCTATTCGCGTTGCACTTACTTGATAGGCGTGGTCGTGTCTGGCGACGTCGAAATGATCGTCAAGCCAATGTTAACGTGAGACAGATTTGTCGGTGGATTGGTTATGGTGAAGGATGGCATCAATATGACTGCGCGAACATAACTCCATTTTGTGAAAGGCAGGGTCACTGGACAGTACTATCGGGAAAAATGTACTTTGCTGATTAGCTATAGGACTTATGTTTACACCGAAACGCGTAGGGGGTTCAAACCTTTTTCCATCTTCCCGAGGCAAGGGCGTTAACTGACTATAAAAAGTCCAGTTTCCACCCTGGCTTAAATAGGCTAGAATTTCCAGGTTCGATCGTTGCGCCAGCAGTGGCTATTACGTAATACGAGGTATGTCCCTTCCATGTCCCTCCTATTGACTAATCAGACTCAATGAGTGAGTGAGTGAGTGAATATTGCTTAACGCCGCATCAGCAATTTTGCAGCTATTCGCGGCGAGAAATGTCTTTTTCATAATCAGATATCAACCAATAGAATAAAAGTGATGTTGAAAATCACTAAAATCTCAGTCATATATCACATTCAGAGGTAAAAAACTGACTGTTCAGGTAAAAATCTATATTTTATCATAGAGCTTGATTTCCTTTAAATACGCTAAAATCAAGTGATTAGAAACTGTGGTAAAAAGTTCAGATATAATCAGACTCAATCTCTCATATCAGTTGCTTTTGCTTCAAACAAAATGGCGGTACCAAGTCAAGACGATCTGCTCAATAATCAAGATCTATATTGTAATAAAACAGGTCTTACCCCGCGAAGTGCATCACATCACGTGAGCACCTTGACTAAAAGCATGAAAGGATTTGCAAAATATCTGTCGACGCCAAGTTGGCGGTACACATGCTTTGCAAATCCTGCAGTCGACCGAAATCTGCACTTGAAATCCATTTTGATTAGGAACCGGAAGTATTGTTCGTTGAACGATTTTAATTGGACTATGCATAGACTCGTAAGTTCAGCCAAAAATGTAACTCCATAATTGCAGCCTATTTCGGCAAGGGTGGAAACCGGACTTTTATAGTCAGTTAACTCCCTCGGGAAGATGATATTTTTCATGATTTAGCTGCATTCTCACGATGCACTCTGCATTAAGGAGTGATTTGTTATGATGATGAAATGGTTTTGTTGCTTATATGTATTTAATAGCTTGATGGTATATTTTTAAAAATGCACGCGCTCACTCGAAATGAGAATTTGTGAATATTCTGTAACATTACTTTATTGGAAGCCAAATATGGTCATTATGTCTATTTCCGAAGTTAACTTATGACATTAATTTAATATCTTGCATTCTGCAAATTGTTTCCCTCACCAAATAAACAAGAGCAAAATAAAATAATTAGGTGAACCATTACAAATGTCAACACTCCAACGCCATGTCCTGAGAAGTTGTTTCCTTTGTGCAAACATTATGTCTGGTAGCTGAGAATGTGGCCTAAATAACTGTCTTATATATAATTACTGCCTTATTTGACTTTCAGTGCCTTCCCATAGTATCACGCCTGTAATTCAATATATGTTTTATGCAGTATGTCGTGAGGTAGATAATGCCCTGCTTCTGTCCAACTTCCAGTCTCGTTGCCATGGTTTCATATGTCTTAACCGTAGTTGTATTGACCAATTCACCTGTTCCAGACACCTAATTAAATCTTTCTTATCATAACATTACATATGTTAATGTGTAAACATTTCCAGAATGAAATTTTCGAGAATGAAAATCACATAGAAATCCTAAACGTTTCAACTTTCTGCTTGTTAAGCCACTGCCATTGCCGCTGACCACCTCCGTGGTGTAGTGGACAGAGCGTCTGCCCGGAGAGCGGAAGGTAGTAGGTTCGGCCGCGTCATACGAAAAAAAGGTAAAAAGATAGTACTTGTTGTTAACTCGGCGCTCGGCATTATGGGGCTAAAACAAGGGTTGGTCTGCTTGGAGTCAGTCTGTCAGTATACTGTGTCTGAATAGGGTATTCATGTTGATCTGCGGCATGGTGTCTCAGTAGGCAATCACTATAAACTCGGCATTAGTCCGGAATAGTACAAGCAGCCACACACCCTCCCGACCCCACGCTGTATAAGCGCAATAACATTGAACGTGACTTTAAACCCCATGTCACCTCCCCTCACCCCTTTTACAGCTCTGCTACCAGTCAAAGAAGAAGGCATTGTGAACAATTGATGTTTTGAGGACATGCAGGTGTTAATGTGTTATGTCCGTTTCAGTAACATTTGTCAGCTTTGATACGTATAATAGGAAAGGAAAGCATGTTTACTCGCCTGGATGGGGATTAGGTCAGTTATACCCAAATCGGTAAGTGTTAGCCTGAGCTGTAGGTACATTGACCGAGACACATCGACAATGATGGATTGAGTCCCTACGTGTCTGTAACAATTCGTGCTGTATAATAAACCTTGTGCCAAAATGTCTGTACTCTGTCGTAAAGCGGCTTAATTCTAGTACTGGGCACTAGACCAGTCTCTATTTATTTCACACTGAGCACTTTGCGGGTAAATCATTAAAGGTGTGTCCGATCCTAAGGTTATAATCAAGCTACTTACGTGATGCCCTGACTCAAATAGTGTTGGCGTAATGGGTACTTTGTTGATGATTACTGTTTGTTGATATCGTGTACTGGTCGTTAGGAACAACTCTATTGAAAGTCGTATTCGTCGCAGGTGCTGGGACGAATCACAATGTGCTCTTTTCAGAACAATTAACAGCGACCACATGAACTGGAAGTAGTAGGGCTATATAATACTTACGTGAAGCCATGACTCGAATAGTCTGAATGTAAGGGGTACTTTTTTGTTGATTACTGTGCGTTGTTATCGTCAGATTGTACTGGTAGTTAGACACAACTCCACTGAAAGCCGTATTCATCTCAGGTACATAGACGTAATTTGATTTATTGTAGCTTCCATTAGTTATCCCCTGCAGTTGGACCAGGTAGTACTGGACATCACCGTCAGCCTTCGGGAAGTCTATGATGATGTCCGGGGCTGTGAGGTTGGTCTTGTCGCTGAGCCTATCCACTGTATCAGGTGCTGATCAGAACCAACAAAAACTCATATGTTACAAAAATATAGCAGGAACTGCACGTATGCAGATAATGGATCCAGGATGTGCAGGATTATGAGCGAATATCTTAGTCGACCTGCAACTTTTAAACTTTCCTGCCTGTTCTACGCACTTGTTACTTTAGGTTGCGCAGAAACAGCGGTTGTCTTCTCATCGCGTCCCTGCAGGTAGGTGATCTTTGTCTCCACAGACACAATGTACTGCCTCCCCGGAGTCAGGCCTGTGATGGGCGTGGTCTTAATGTCTTCCCGTGTAAGGATCTGAATGATGTTACCAGGAGTGACGGTCACCTCGTAGCCGGTAACAATGGCGTTAGAGGGCGATTCCCAGGTTGCTGTCATTGTGGTTGTGCTGTCCACGGTGACGCTGACAGATGTGGGACTGAGACCGTCGACTGAAATAATGACAAAAGAAATTAACAAATGTTAATCATTTATGCACTGCTCACGTAAAGCAAATTTTTCTATAAAGTGTTATTCGCAAGACATAGAAATAGGGAATTATTCATGGATTTTCACATAGATGGTTATTAGTTAATTAGTTAATGAATAAACTTATTACATTTACATAATTTATTTCAATGGGCGTTTCAAGAACAGATAAAAATAATCATTTTTGAATTATGGCTGGATACTATTTTAAATCACAGAAAGCGACATTGATATTTGGCCATCAGTGATCCTAGTTTTGTTTATATCGTACAAATATAAATGAATAATCTGAGTGTTTGAACAAAAAATAAGAGGAGGCACATATTTGACTCCATTTTTATTAACACGAATTCTTTTCCGGGTGTAATTGATGGTATGAGGATGATATTTTGATCCAAACAGGCTGACAGGCTGAGTAACAAAAATAAAGTGTGTTTGTGTGATCCCGTTTATGATAACTTTTTACACAATTAAATGGGATGTAGCTCTATTTCAGAAATGGATGACTTTGGCGTACTCAGTAAAATTATTACGCCTTTAGGAACAAGAGTCATCTTAACATGAAATACCTTCGGGTACCATTGTATCGAAAAGCTAAATTCATGAACTAAGAACTAAGCCGCACAACTATTTTGAAGAATATAATGGACCGTATTCAATACTTCCTCTAAAGACATGAAAGCAAGAGTCATTAGATGCATTTTGAGGGATAACATAAATACTCATTGCAAAGACCATTTATATATATATAAAATGGGTAGGTTTCTCGGCAGGTTAAAGCCAACGGATAAAAACAATTGTTGTTTTGCATATATGTTGCTAAGCCACTGTATAAGAAACAGATTTCAGTTGTAACTATATTGGCTACTGTCACTGTCCGACTGACACATCACTTACCCTGTGACGTAATAAATATTAATGCGCGCATTCAAGGAAAACTTGCAATGTTTCGGTAATGTTTGTGAAAGAGGGGAAGCGATTTTCAAGCACAGAATTATAGATTTACATTATATGATAAATAGGTTATCACGCTTGTGTGTTCGGGGATGGTAAATATCCTGTATTAGGAATAAACACTATGTATTTAGCTCGCCAAGGCTCGCTAAATACAATGTTTATTCCTAATGCAGGATATTTACCATCCCCAAACACACTCGCGTGATAACCTCTATATATCCGATATGAAGAAACAGTTATAAAATTATAAGTGATACATTAAAACGTCACTGGCCGTCGTTTACATTTACACGCATATTTATCTGGTTTAAATTTTGTGTTGATGTAAACATAACAAGATATGAAAATATTTCAGTAAACAATTTGCAACAAATCAACCAGCACCCTCAGTACTTTTGAAACCACATTTAAGGTGCAATATTGCAATCTCTTTTCTTTAGCGTCAACAAATCCATCCTCAACATGTTTCGTTGAAATGTCAAAAATGATATCCCTTAATGTCAAAAGCAGCATGAATAGTAAAACTTAGTTATATAATCATTTTAACCACTTACTAGAGACACATCCGGTATCCCAGTAGAATCTTCCATTACAGCGACATTCATCGCCCTGACAGCTTGTGTGGGTATCAATACACGTGTCTGACGCTGAGTCGCATTCTCTGTTGTAGCCAACCTCTGAAATAGAAGATTCAGCCATTTTTAGATACTATGATTCTTGAACTTATGCCATATTCTTCCTATTTACGATTTCTACGATTATGGAATATTCAAAGGCCCGATTCTCTTGTTTTCGCTTATTCAAACTTCGTAAATAGTGAACAATGCAGTGTTATTTATTATTTGAACACAAAAATTGTCTGTTAGGTGTATGATATTGTATATATGATGTGCATAAAGTATGTTATGCATTTTGATTTGAAACTATTCATTCTTGGTGGCCTTATGATTCAGAGAACAACATATTGAAATATACATATATCAAGTAAAAAGTAAAAAAATAAATTAGTACCACGGCACTGTAGCCCAACAAAGTTTGCTGTCAGCATTGATATTAAAAACAACATTCGGCATTAACTTTGCATGAGTTATTTAGAAAAGCCATTCAAATTCTGATTATTTGAACAACGTGGGATATCAACATATATGCAAAGTTCAGATCCCTCATGTGTTTGTTGTTTAACTACGCCCACGGCAATATTACAGCTGTATGTCGACGGTCTGTATATAGTCGAGTCTTGAACAGACAATCCAGTGATTGACATGAACGTCATTCTATGCATATGGGATACGATGACATGCATCAACCAATTGCAAGCCGCCGAGCCTGACCACCCGATCAAGTTAGTCGCCTCTTACGACAAACATTAATTGCTGAAGATCAATTCTAACCTAGATCTTCTCGGGCATTCCTCAGTCTGGCAATTTAAATGGTTGGTTTAATTTGGTTTGTTCTTTTACGCCGCGCTCAGCAATATTCCAGCTATATGATCAAGGCGGTCTGTAAATAGTCGAGTCTGGACCAGACAATCCAGTGACTGATATCATGAGTATCGATCCACGCAATTGGGACTGATGACATGCATCAACCAAGTCAGCGAGCCTGACCACCCGATCCCGGTAGTCGTCTTTTACGACAAGCATAGTCGCCTTTTACTGTAAGCATGGGATCTTTAAGACCTATTCTACCACAGATCTTCATAGGTCGCAATTTAAATGTTACCTTTACATAAATGTAATTTTAAGATATGTAAGGGCATAGTAAAAAAGTAAAAATTTGAATTATTGACCAAAATGGAACATAGGCATGTGTGTTGTGCGCCGCTTACTGGTCAAAAACGGCTAAGTGATTGTCGTAGATAGGTGTTTAAAAATGGCTGATTGGTGGCCATATTGATTATCGGATTCCAAATTGTGGTAAGGAAATTGTGGAAGCAAGCACGTTATGTTTTAGCTCCACTGGTCCAGGGAAGTATGATATGGGTTCCAATCAACACGGCTTTGAGTTTGAACAAATTTGGTGATCCGTTTCAGGTTTCTGACCCTTTACGTTTGGGAGGAAGATGATTTTGACTGAATACATCAGAAAAAGCCATTTCGGAAAAGAAGCCGAAAATGTAAAAGGCGTATGGACGACGTTTACCGACAACATAAGTATATAACGCCAGATGTTGTATACTTTAGGAGAGCATATCGAATGAACCAACCATGTATTAGTTTTGGCTACAACTTTAATGAATTTGCATCATTGAAATAACACGGGCAAAAGAAGCTATCCCAAACTTTAAATAATTATTTGTTGTAATTAAAATAAAAAAATGACAAAAAATTGCTGTGAATTAAACGCCTAACGCAACCAACACAAGCGTTTCTGCCATAATAAGCCATATTCTGGTCACGGGAAAATTACTTCAACCGTGAAAGTTTAATGCAAGCATAACATGATGATATTTATAGTTGGTCAGTTAGGTTATAAAGTAGTGTAGCTGTTTTCTGTCAGATCAGCCTAAAAAGAACAATCATTCCAGGGCTATCGAAAGAAGAGGGAAAATAGAAAACAGGTAAGATACAAATGGGAGGGTCACACGACCACATGCCAGGCATTTTCGGTTGTATCAGAACTACAAACACCAGGCTGATGACACGTTACATGCACACTATCCATACCCTTGGTACACTTGCCAAGTGACAGGCCCAGGCATGGTAGACCATTTTTCAGGAACCTACGCGTCATACATCTGAGGAACAGATACGTCACAGTGACGTCATCGTCAGCAACTGTCAGTCGAAGATATGTATCGAGGAGACAACGGCAACATGACATTCGATACTTCAGAACGTGCCGCGGAATAGCCTTGACGCCTCAACATCGACGTCAAAGATTAAGGTCAGCATATGGACCGTCAACCAATGGCAGAACAGAAACTGACGAAACTAGATTCTACCTCTCCAGTCCTGATGGCAGAGATCGTATTTACCTTCGAGGGAGAGAGCAAAAAGCACGTTGTTACATTCAGGAGGTCATGCCTTTTGGTGATGGTAGCGCATGATATGGGGCGGAACATGTGAAAGAGGAAGACGGATTTCGCAGTTTTCACCTCTAGGATGAGGTAATTCGACAATGGTTTCCCTTACCTGCAACATTACCCTTGGACCATATTCTAGCAAGACAACGCCAGACGACACACAACGCGAATCACCATGAACGGTCTCAATGCCAGTACAGAAACCAAATGAACCCTTTTTGGTCCTCATGATTATGCGACGAATGGGAACAAAACCTAAACGGAAATGGCGTTTGTGTTGCGGTCAAAGTGCCCTTAGCGTATACGTTGTGTTAAGGAAAGGTATGAGATCCCATGAACCAAACACGGTGACGGTTTTTTTCTTGATTGAAACATACAATTTTTAAGTAGACAAATCGCTTTAAAAAAAATGTGAACTTTTTTAATTGGTATAAAGACAAGAATGACTACACAAATCCCGGAATCAGAAAGCGTGGCCATAATGTCTTGTTTTCACATTCCTTTCGTGTATGATGTGAATCATTTGCTTGTTTACGCATGTCAAAACGCGAAAATTAGTCATAAGGACGTAGCTTTCTGTTCATTCTAAAACACTCAAGAGTTTGCCAAAATATCGCGTTTTTTCATTTTGCACAGATCATGAACGTCTAGAGACGTACATAGCTAACGGTTCAAGGTTGGATTTTAATTATAAGATTTAAAGCCACCCAATCCATTTCCATAATCCAAAGAATTATGTGCTATGCGCAGTGTCCATTGTAAGATTCCGACTATATCATAAACATGTGTTTTTGAATCAAATAGTGTTCACGAAGAGGTTAGCGTATTTTGCTTCAGGGGTGGCACAAGTCACAAGCACATGCAAAGGGAAGTCAATGGTTCACTTGAAAGCATGCTTTAAACAGGGATGGTCTAATTAAAAGAGTATTTTCTTGTCATCAAAGCTGGGACAAGGTTTAACAATGCATTGAACTGTGTATTAAATCGACTGTGTACCCTTACCGCTTCAGCTGACCAATACAGAAGTGATTAGTAAATTTGCGGGGGTGCACCGTGGGCATTTTGGTTTGTGTTCAATACGTAATACAAAGTAACGTTAGTAATACTTATATATAAGTAGAAATGTAAAAGTCTTCAGTTGTCATATTAAAGGTATCTATGTTACATTCAGATCTTGTGCCAAAAATGAATTATACTTTGTTGCTGGTAACATGTGAACCCACAGTGTGATGTAAAGCATTTAACCCCATTCCATGAATGTTTTCTCAAAACTTTATATGGATATCCCTTCGTTGATTTATATCTAAAATCTTCAATACTTATTTACGTTATGTTACATAATACAGAGAAGGATGGCGGGGCAGCCTTGTGCTTAAAGCGTTCGCTCGTCACGTTGAAGGCCCGGGTTCGCCTAAAATTTATACAGTGTGTGAAGCCCATGTCTGGTGATCCCATCCGTGATATTGCTGAATTATTAGTAAACGGGGCGTAAAATCACTTACTCCCATTATCGAGGATACACGAATGAGTGTTGTTGGCTACGTTTAACAATATAGAGTCCGTTTGATGGCCAAAGACCGCAAGAATACCCCAAACATATTACATGCATTGAGGGAATCATACCCGGATCGGTGTCTACACGCGAGGCAGACATTTGGGTTTCAGAATACATCTCAGGCCGACTTGCGGTATTTCTTTGATGTGAATGGTGTTGTTACAATAAAGTAAGTGATTTTACAGTTGTGGCCGAGCTCACGATGGCAGGTGGGAGATACACGTAAGGTAATCATTACTTGATTGGATTAATCAGATGATGGTTAATTGAGTCATGCCAGATTAAATTCATACATCACACTTATATATAGCAAAATGGGGACATGAAATCATTGCAAAATGGCAGACGCACAGCTAAAAGTCACTTTCATCTCTTCTCATCTTGGCGGCCGTATCTTGTGCTTACAAAACTATAATGTTTAAAAGCAACAAGAAAAGAGAGTCCTGGTATAAACCGTGAGGCAGACTTACCAAATCTACCCTTTTAACAAATGTCTGCCTTGCGTGTATAAACCGCACACCACGTGCACCCGGGTCACCTACGTGACCATTCAACCTTGTAAGCACACGCTAGATTACGTTGTTCCTATCGAGACTTATAACACATACTTATACTCAAATAATATGAATGCCTAGACGAATTTCCAGTAATCTTTTTATATACTTCAACCCAACGCATCGCATTTACATGTTAGTATTAAACAGGATTTACGATTTACAGGCAAATGCTTGGACAATCTGAGAGAATCACTCAAACAGGACTACAGAGAACGTGCGCCATGACTTATTGTGGTTACATATGCGGCGGACAATGACGATGACGTATAGAGCTCGTTGAAGAATTTTAAGTGGTATGATGACATCCATGTAAATAAACCTTATCGCAGTAACGTTAAGTATTTCTTCACAAAGCTTCACTACTCTATGTTGAATGACATACTTGTTCTGGTCGTTGTTGTGACGGCAGGTAGACTCTGATTTCTCCCATATCTAGAAATGGTTCGCACGAGAGAGACGAGGTAGTTTGTTCTTTGTTGCAGATTTGTAAAGTTGTAGAAATTCCCGGTGGTAGCACCTACTTTGCCATCGGGTGAAATGGTTAGCTGATACTCATCATCGTAATTTGTGGCAGTTTGATCACTCCATTGGACATAGACGTAACTAGTTCCTGTGGTCGTGGTGCCAAAACGTGGTGACAAAGTTGAATCTGAAGGATGATATTTGGAGACGATTAGAGAGCAAAGGTACTGATATATACAAGTATATTATGACTTATATTGTAAATATAACATGTGAACGTCAGAGCATACACAGACTAATGTTTCAGCTGAAACAGATTCAATTGGGCGTAAAAGGCAACATAGCGGTGACAATTATATGAATGGATCACTGAAATTCTGCAATTCAGAGATGACACCAGGTGTACCGATTGCTCTTGCCATCGGCACATTCTCCGGTCATTCAGGTTATTCTTTTGCACTTTATACCTTTATTCTTTTACATTCCTCATACTTCAAGTAGTTTACAGTCTCTACATACATTTACAAAAACAGTGACATTCCATAGTTACATGCAGTGTGGATGTTCAAGTAAGTGTGAGTTGTTTTTCACACCGCTTTTAGCAATATTCCAGCAATATCACGGCAGGGGCACCAGAGATCGACTTATCACATTGTACCCATATGAAGAATCGAACCCGTGTCATCTGCGCGACGAGCGAACGAATCAACTTCTAGGCTACCCCACCGCCCCTTGAATAAACACGGCTAGGCTGTAGTTAAATCATTGTATTGAGGAGCCATAACATGTCATTTAAGACATAAATATTGATATTTCATTGTGATATTGGATTTACGCAAACGATTGAGTATTTTACATACATCCTTGAGTCTGTTTATCCCGATGTAGAAGTTCAAATCACTCAAAAATGCCATAAGAGACCAACAGTGTATTGATATCCTATGTCTAGCCATCAAACTCTTGGCGGCCATCTTAGAATTTTGGGCCACCAGGGGGCTCTGGTGACTTAGTTTCTATCTAAAAGTGTTAACGATACTTCAGTGAGTTACAAATGTAGTTAGCCGAGTTATATGCATATAAGTCCTAGCACACTGTGTGAGCGTTAAATGATTCAACAGTGTAAACACACATTTAGGAAACTTGTCGGCCATCTTGAAATTGGCTACCATCTTGATTTTTTGCAGATTTGACAACAGTCGAAAACTGTCAGTAGTTGTGAATATCTTTTTAGAAACATAATATGGCTATTTCGCAATACAACACATGCTTTCTTCATCAAAACAATGAACCTCATCTGAAATATGGAACATATATTGATAATTGGTGGCCATATTGGATTATGCATGTTAGACATATTTCCCAAACTGGGGTTGGGTCTTTTAGTATGTTGTTTTCGGGACCTTGTAGAAATACATTGTGGTGAAATAGATTCTGTTGCAATTTGTTGCAAGTTGAGTGAAAAATGGCCTTGATTGCCTGGACTATGACAACGTTACAGACAGACCGGGCAGACATCAGACAGGCAAACAACGGGTAACTACGCCCAATGAAGACCGGTACTTGCGTACTTTGCATCTCCGGAATCGAGTCCTGATGAATGCCTTAGGGCATATGGTTAATTAACAGACAGTGGCCAGACGATTCAGGGCTCAAGGAATTAGAGCTTACAGACCTCTGAGAGGACTGTTATTGACAGGGCAACATAGACGTCAGAGACTGAGATGGGCCAGGACTGCCAGAGAGTCGTCATCCTTAATGAATCCGTTTCTGTCTGTTCAGAGCTGATTGAAGACAGCATGTTTAACGTCGAAGGGGAGAACGAACGGCGGCATGTAGCGCTCAGGAAGTCGTGTCATGTGGTAGAGGGGCGTTACAGTGTTTGGAGGAATTTGTGGGCAGGAGAGAACACCACTCTTCATCGTTTACGGAAATATGACAGCTCAGCCTTAGATGGATGGTATTCTTCGTCTGATTGGCCTTCCATTTTACAACAGCTGCCCCGATGTGTCATTTATCAGCATGACAACGCCAGAATCCAAACAGGCCGAATCGGACATAATTTCCTTGCAGCCAAGAACGTTAACGTGAGCCTGCACGCTCCCTAGACATGTACCTATAGAACACCTATGTGATGTCATGGATCCTCGTGTTTAACAGCGACCACATCCTCCAGCCAACCGACAAGAACTGATTAGAAGGGGGTGGTCATACACGCTATTAATGTGACATTAATTCTGAGATAGTGCTTTTAATTTTTTCCCATTTATGATTTCCACTTTCAACATATTTACAACTTATATAACATTTTAAAGCATATCTGTAAATCTATTTTCAATCAATATTTCACAGTTCGTTCCATATAAGCAATATACAGTGGCAACGTATTCGCCCAAAACATATTTTATTTACAAAAAGTGAATGGAATGTACGAAACATGAACAGAACAGTAGGACAGAAGGAATAGGAAAGATAAGTGAACAGTGAGAACAATATAGTTTTCATAAATCTCTTTGCATTACGTATATAACTCATAGTATGTGACTAAAATTTAACTTTGTATCTACTTCTGGTAAATCCCTATTTCCATTCAAATATCAAATTGAAACCATTTGGTGTATTTTCCACTATACTGCTTATGTTTCTAAATTAAATGGCTCTTTCTTAATTTAATATGCACATCCAAAGAAAAAATGATATGTATTTTCACATTTACTGCCATATTAACATTCTGCTGTATATTTGATTCCTCGTCTTCGTACTTCATAAATTAACTGACTGACCTTACGTCTTAGCTTAGTATGTATAATATTATGTTTTCTATGACCAAAGGAGAAGTACAAGGGGACCTTGGGATGGTTTTGATTTTTAAGTGTCTTATAATGTTGAGTTGAACTGCAAGTTCTTTCATTTAATGGTATCTCATTCCACATCATTGACAGTAAACGGGAAAAAAGAATCATGTGAAGGTTTTAAATTAAATGTATAATTTTTGAAAGATACCGAATTGGGTAAAATATCTTTTAAGTAAGATGGGGTGAAATTGTGATATATTTTATATAAAAGACAGAGTTTTCGTGTCTATCTACGTTCTTGGAAAGGTTCCCAATCAGTTTCGTAATATAATGATGATCGCTGTGTGTGCTTTGGTAGCCCAGTAATGATTCTGGCTGCTTTCAACTGCAATCTCTCTTGTCTGTCACTCTGAACCTATTTTACATCCATCTCAAAACTCACATGCGTATACAAATGGGGCCTCGTGAATATCTAAAAAAAAATATTGAGAGTGTCTCGGTTTAACATTAACTTAATTTCTCACTGAGTATGTCATTTTTTCGTTTTTTTAAAACCATATTGCTTATATGACAAGACCACTTGCAATTGCCGGTTGATTCGAACGTAACGCATAAAAATGTGTGGCTATTAACTGTATTAATTGCCTGACCATCAAACTGTAATGTAATTTACATATATCTAACTTAAATGTAACTATAAAAGTTCCGTTTTATCTGGGTTGTATGAAATCAGCATTTGGCCCATTCATGTAATAAAGCCAAGTTTCTGTTCAGATTAATAGAAATCATTGCCCTACATCTCGAGGAACCCCAAGTGATGTGTCATCAGCATATAGTCTTGTGATACAACTTAAATTATCTGTTATGTCATTAATATAAACAATAAAAAGAAAAGGTCCTAAGACTGACCCTAGGATGACCCCAGCCTTTAAAAATCGTGGCTGTGATTGGGCTCCATTCGCAAACACACACTGATTACAATTAGTTAAAAGCCATGTTAACAATTGTTCTTTCAACCATACCTTTTCAGCTTGTAAATAAGCCCTTTTTATTATTTTTATTATGCCAAACGCGGTCAAAGGCTTTAGATACGACGCATACAAAAGTTTCTCAATTGTCTAATGATGTACATATTTGATGGTTAAGTTCAATCAATTGATTGACAGTGGATTGGCCCACTTGGAAGCCGAATTGATACTTATAAAATGGGTCGGTCGTATAAATGTGATTATACAAGTGTTTAAACACATTCTTTCAAATAGTTTCCGAACACAACAAATATGAGATACCGGCCGATAGTTCGATACAGTAGTGTGGTCACCATTCTTGAACAATTGCTAACATTGGCCTTTTCCAAATCATCAGGAAACACACTTTGCTTTAATGATAAATTGAACAATAAACATGGTAGTAGCCTATAACTGTTTCTGTAAGGTCCCAGGCCTTTATTGATGGGTAAGCATTTAATAATATCAGAAGTTTCATTCGTAGTTATTACTTAGTTGTTTATGTTTATTGCGTACGAAATGGAACATATATCAATATCTTATCAAAACAACAATACTATGAATTGTATCAGATAGATTGGCGTACTGCTAACAAGCAAGCAATTGTATTTTTAAAATTAAACAATCAAACTTCTTAAACCCAAAGAGTTTACAACCACAGGATAAAATTTGGAATATTTTTGTGTCAAATAATATGAAGAATACATTCTAGGTTTTACTATCTACATTAAAAAAAATACTATAGTTTAAAACATTGTTTTTAGCTTTTAATGATTGTTGAAGCACTTTCCAATTTAAGTTACTGGTAAATATCCGTCCAAGATACTTATGTTGTTTTATAATTTCACTTTTTGTGTTTTGGTACTAAACTTGCTTTCCTGTCATCTATTTTTAAACACCATAACTTTTGTCTTTTCTTTTTTAATACCATAACGTTCAGCCAAGTTAACATATAAACCTGATTCGTGACAAGACATCCAGGCAAGGTTGTGACCTTCTTGTCTGCAAACAATAATGAGCATAGCTGTCAGGGAAAATCTGCATACCATGAATATCTAATTCTGCCACACATTTTTCTGACTCTGGTAGAAAGACAACATTATCGAGGTCGCCTTCATGTTAACCACCACATTTGCATGTCTGTCGAGCGGCAAGCAATATTAATCAAAGCCGTTCTTGCATACACAAAATATTACTTCGAATGTAAACACACAATCTGCTTGTCTTACCAGGAGACACCCGTACTTCAGCAACATGTCTTGATTAACAGATTGTAACTTTCGAGGAAAGATATCAGTTCCAAGCGTTTCGGTAGTGGCAGTCATTTTGTTTACCCATTTAAAAGGACCACCGTTCCGTCGTAAGTTGTATGGGATGTGAAGTATGATCTCTTCTCATTTATTATTGTCATTAAATGACTATTCATTTATATGCCGAAATAATGAAAATGGAAACATTTCCAAACTCAGGAAAAATCTCATCACACAAGTACTTCAAGGCACGAACTTAGACACACATGTAGATCTTCTACAGATGTTATATTGACGATATTTTGTCCTGCCACGTAATGAGACTCTTGAGCTTATGACTCGATTCAAGCCTACTGGTGTCAAGAGGATGGAATGCTGGAATGTTAAGTACCAGCCTAGTTCCTGAAAGCTTCACGCCTGATCTTAAAATCTCACATCAAGACACCTTCCATTGAGTCCTGTCAGCTGAGGTGACAGGAATGGGTGAGTAGGCTAAGGAGCTGCAACTCTATTATCATTCAATTCCCAGATTCGGCCCCATTATGGTGATTGGTTTTGTCATAAAACTCATGAAATCCCGGATGATTAGTAATATAACACGGTGAAATTGAGTTAAGATAACACAATAGCCATGACAATTGGGTCGAAATCAAGATGTTTAGAGTGCTAGTCATCATATCTCCACAGAACTACAACGTGTATACTATTGTTAAGGCTGAAAGTCTGCAACACCAATGAGAGCTCTGGTGTTGTCACAGTTGGATTTCTGCTAGACTGGTGTTGCCAAGCTAGATTATTGCAACACAATCTGTAAGTGGCATATAAGAAGTTACATATCGTCATTTCTTTATCACTAGCTAAATCCAATGACTTGTACATAACGTATTTATAGATCTGTGGCAAATATCCACAAATGAAAAGACATTCCAGTTTTGTGGAGAAAAGAGACAGCAATAGACTATCCTTAACTCTTTACTCTTATAGAAAGACTCAACTAGGAAGGATGTGGTCGCCAGTACGACGAAACTTTCAAAATAAAACAAAGTTGTTTCACATTCAAATCTTCTCCATGTCAATGTTCTATGGAATCTCAACTCCTTATGCAGACATGTGTTACGTGACATGAGATCCACACTGATAAATCGCGACAGCTTTATTCACAACCCAACATACGAATAGCATGCAACACATACACAACGCTCCAGATCAACAGATATACAAATTTCAATTATGAGTCCTATTTACAAGTTGTTACTATAAACGTCTCCAAACGTTAACCACAAACTTTGGACAATGCAAACACTTTAAACTTAGGCATTATGTGATTCGTTTGCATATAGTAGTAGTATGTTGAGGGTTCAACAGCCACTTCTGAATAGTTCAATTTCGTGGACGGGGTTTGCGTATATGTCTATTCATACACATGTTTTGTCATGATGAGTATAATTTCAAGAGTCTCACGGGATAAATATGCCGTTACTTTGTCTGAGTATTTCATTTGTACAATTAGATTTATTTAAGACAGATTGCGATATCCGGCCAAAGAACCAGCAAGTTGTAAAATGTAAATGTAAATGATGTAAATTATTATATTCCGTGTTTGTTATTTGTGATTATTTGATTTTTTTATTTACTGTTCTCATCGTGATTAAGATGCGTTTTGTTCGATACTCTAGCTGTGGTAGTATATGCTTAGAAGATGAAGTTAGCTGAAGGTCTTTTTGCTATTTTACGTCAGCAAACACTTGCACGCATGCGCATGCGCAGTTTACACATGATTATATCGAATCGCAAGGGTCTCATAATAAATGCATACAAATACAACCAGTAATCGGCAGGAAAACGCAAATTAAATGTTGAACTTGCATCTCATGATATATATTACAGTTAACTATCTCTGTACTTACATTGGATACACGCTTGGCCGTTGTGGTATCTTCCATCAACACACAGACACTTTGTGACAAGGGAGTTGCAGAAGATGTTCTTATTAGCGTCATCGCATGGAATACTGGTGCTGCAAGTGCCCCCATATTCTTGCTCTGAAACATATATCGTCTACGGTCATGTCGATCGATGTGGTAGATGTCAGTATATATATGATATGAAATGGATATAAATGTGACGCGACCGCTACCTGAGTGGAATTATTGAAAGTTCGACCTTGTGTAAGACACTAATCATGTCAACAGGTAGTTAGACTAACACTAGCAAACTTGCATTGTTATCCTTAATACTGCATAGATCGATAAATGCAAGATATGTGTCAGCTCATAACAAGAATAGTGAGGTAAAATCAGAAAGCACTTATGTTTATTTCCCATGGGTTTAGAAATAATCGAGTAAATAAATATCGGATGTGCACTAGTGCAAATATCGCTTCACGCGCACCAGTATATTGTTTACGTCATCCGGGTGGTACTGTTGACAACACCCCGGCGCAGTGGGGACTTGCCATTACACCACTACCACGTTCTTATTTGCATATCACGTGACCGGACTTATATCTTGCTTGTAATCAGAACAGATTAGCCTCATGCAAGTATATTGGGGCGCTTTACATATTGTTTTGCATAATTATATAGATATGCTACTAAAGCTGTGACAGTGAGGTGCATGACAATGTATATTTATACATCAAAAGTGATCATAGTCGATGACAGCACGTTGAGCCGTACAACAAATGTAAACAAAGGCTAGCTATGCAAATGGAAATAGTTTTTTTCACATTTTCGGGTGTTTTTTCAATGAAAGTTAACCAAGATAGACACAATTTTATTGATAACAACTTCTTTAATACTGTGAAAAGCGACGTTTCGGTATAGATCCTTATACCGTTGTCATACCGAAACGTCGCTTTTTACAGTATTAAAGTAGTTGTTATCCATAAAATTGTGTCTATCTTGTCATCCGCCAACTTCTAAGTAATGCCTATCAAACAAGTTGAAAGTTAACCATTCTATGACACATGTTTATCAAGATGCAACAGATGAAAACACATGTGCAATATCTTGAATGGATTGTGTTAGTTTCAGACGAATCGCCTGTGGCTGGGGTCCTATACTGGCAGCATGGGACTCGGGGTAGGAGAGTGATTGTTGACGTCATTCGAATCGTATTGTCACGTAAGGTTGAAATGACATCACACTAGAAACGACGCCATAGCTGTCGGCGGTCTTGATCAGTGCATTTTTCTAAAAGGGGGCTCAAAAGGATTAGGAAATAATGGGTAATAATAAGATTATTACACTTTCTTGAGTGTCATACTCTGTGTTTTACGAAACTCGTTTAAGAATTCTTGTACCCTCGATCTCACTCGGGAAATAAAGGAATTTTGACACTCGTTTCTCAAAATCAGCATGACACGCATACTCGTATAATAATCTCAATATATGAACCTTTAGAAAAATCTTATATTTTTTATAGTATGTTCCAATAGTGGCGTTTGAGTATTCATATCTGGTACAATCAATCTCAGAAGACTTAGTTCATAGACCTTAAATACACGACGACGATGCATCAGGATAGGTACAGCAAAAGTCTTGAATTTCCCCTCTATCTACAGTTATCACCCTTGATGATTTTTTTTACATAATGTCAAAAGCATTATTCATTCAACAGAATGTTTTTAATTCAATGATGCGGTGAGTTAAAACACAAAGCCATGCAGGGAACATGCATGTTTGATTCCAAGGAAAACGTTTTAGTCAATGAAAAATATTTATGATTTTTTATATGAAACTGCCGGACCTCATCAGTTCTATTATTATTCTCTGGCGCTGACGAAATTGCCAGAACATTCTCGTATTGAACTTGAGCATTCTCCGCAAGAATTTGGACATTATGACCTCGGATAATTTCAACAGGGAACGGCCAAATGATGACGAACGAAAGAGAGATGCGCACTGTGTGAGCGTGATAAACTCCTTTCAAACAAAGAAAGCCGTGCGACGTGTGTGAGGAAAACGAGTCCATTTGATCCGATTATAAAGTGCTACAGTGCTATATATATCAATGCAACCAATAGTACAAAGTGGTTTATTTTTGTCGCACCATTTGTACATAAATTAGATAAACGTCAGCGGAGCATGATACATTAAAACACATGTACAAACGCCACCCAAACGGGTTATGAGAGACAGTAAAATCAAGAATAATTCTTGATAAAAACATTACAATAACAAACACATAAGGTATAAAATATATGAGTATATATACATAACTTTGCGTTATATACACCATAGAAAAGGAACAAGTAAAATAAATAAAATACATAAAATAAATATATGTATAAAAAATAAAACAAACGAAAATAAAAGAAATATATATACTCTCTCAAATAGAAACGCATATAAGAATTTTAACAACAGATTTCTTTTTATTTTGATACACTGTGGACAAGTTAATAAAAATGGCAATCGAAGACATTTTACACCGGAAATGTCAAGGTATCACTGTTGAATAAGACATCACACATCGACGTTTGATGGCGCTGAAGTCAGTACCTCGTATGACCACCACAGGCGTTCAGAACTGCGCGACATCGTCTCGGCATAGAACGAATAAGTCTCTGAATCTGATGTTGCTGAAATGTAGCCCACTCTGCCTGTAGTGCATGTGCTAGTTGCTGGAGTGTCTGGGGCTGTGGGTTACGCTGTCGCACCCGTCTGTCAAGGGCACCTTTAAGTTTAAGTCTGGTGATCTGGAGGGCCAGGGCAGCACATTGATGTTCTCATTCTAGAGACACGTGCCGTATGAGGTCTGGGGTTATCCTGCTGGAATAGCTCCCTCTGGCGGTTGATAATGGGAAGGAGGTGTGGACGAAGGACTTGATCGCAGTAGCGTTGCGCTGTCAGGTTGCCTTGGATCAACACCAACTCACTTCTTCCAGTGTAGGATATGTCTCCCCACATCATCACGCTGCCCCTGCCGAATCTGTCCACCTGGCGTCGGCAAAACGTTCATGACGTCGTCTGTACACCCGCATTCTTCCATTGCGTCGTTCCAACAGAAATCTCGATTTCACCAAATTCCAGACCTGAACGTTTGTACACTATTGAACGCGATGACGCATAACGGGGCCAAGTTGGGTCTTCTTGCCCTTAAACCTGCCTCTCGTAGTCTGTTCCTGACAGTCTGTGCAGATATCCTTCTCAATCCGGGTATTTGCCTAGCGGTAGTGGTCGCTGTAGCTGTTCGCTGACGCAGGTGATGTACCCGGATGTACCTATCTTGCGCCGCAGTGGTGACTCGAGGACGTCCACTTCTAGGTCCATCTTCCACCGAGTTCTGCTGCCGATATCTCTCCCAGAGACGAGAAATCGTGCTTTGATGAACATTCATTCGACGGGCAACTGTAAGTTGAGATTGTCCTGCTTCCAGGAGACCTATGGCGATGTGACGATTAGCGCGGCTCAGTCTTGGCATTTTGCAGTCTTCTCAAACTTCCAAATACAGTGAATGAAAAAAGACGGAGATCGATCTTTTATACCCATCCACGACACGATGTGATCCCCGAGTTTCCCGCGCATTGCCCGTGCAATACGTGTTCTGTGACATTAAATGCGTCTATCGAAAATCATGCTTTAACATACGGGATGCGTTTGGATATGACGTTTTAAGACAAAAACACCAGAGAAATCATAAACCAAAAAGATATTTTTGAAAAATCCACCCTGTACAAATACATTGCTGCATTAAATTACCATTTTCGTTATGCGTTTCTTTTTTGACAGGGTATATATATGTAAATTATGAATGATAGAATAGTTTTCTACGGGTGAATATTTGAGGGGGCGAGGGTATTAACGTTAAACAATATATTCAAGTTTGTGGCAGAGCAATCACTGAATAAGGTCAGGAGTTCACTACGGCGGATAACATTATAAAAAGAACATTGAAGGAAATGGTTTTCATCTTCAACAGCATCTGAACTAAAGTACAACAAACGTTGGGTTGCTGGGACTGGTTGGTTACTTTATCGGCCCGTTTCAATCTCCAACTTGAGGGAGCCATATCTCAAGGAAGCAAGGACGGATAGTCAACCAATTTCCAACCAATACCAAATCAAAATTCAACGTTGTTTCAACGTTGATGTCTGCAATGCCATTTCAACGCTGAAACAAGATATTGATTCAACGCTGATTCCACATTATATTCAACAATGTCTTTAGAGAATGATATATGATGCTCATGAGAAAACATTCTAATTAATGAATATTTCAATAATATCAAACAAAACCATACAGCAGAAACAGTATTTTTGTATTCAATAAATGATAGTCACTTCCATATTTCAAAAATGCAAACGCATTACAGAAGTTCGTGCTTGGGACATAACTAATCCACAGAATCATGAACTGATATCAAAATGTCAAAAAGTACATGACTTAAAGTCAGAATAAAACTAGGAAAACCCCTCGCACATGCAGTCATATCTCATCTATCCCTTGTAATATTTCTTTTATAAAATACAGATAATTGACGAATACGGAACATGTTTCTGCACGATGACAATTTTGATATTGATTCAAGAGGGACATATCAGATTAAATCCTCTGTCTTTAGAGAATAATATGTGGTGCTCATGAGAAAACATTCTAATTAATGAATATTTCAATAATATCAAACAAAACCATACAGCAGAAACAGTATTTTTGTATTCAATAAATAATAGTCACTTCCATATTTTGAATTACTAGAATATCAAACCAAACCAAAAGTAAGTATAGATAGCACAAATCTATACTTCTGGCTGAAGGTGAATAAGGTACAAAGCCGATATTCCTGTCACAGTGCGTTAGTTGTCGCTTCCTATTGAGCAACAATGTAACATGCGGTTTCATATATGCTCTGTAAAAAATACCAAAAAAATACACTAGATCCTTCGTGGATGTAGAGAGAGTGGACGGTGGTTATAACGCATTTATACGTACATAAATTTCTGACAATAGTGACAAAAAAAAAGAAAAGAAATTTTACAAATACTGAAAATATTGATGATACTAGGCTTTGACCTCTCTGTTGGCTAAGATAAGCGACACTAAATCAACTATAAAATTTCAATTTTAATACTTTGAGGTAATGGATTCTGTTTTTCACAAGTAACCAAATTTAACAAAATTTAAAACTTACACGATCTTGTTTTCCCTCTATGTTTAACGAATAATCGACGAGGAGAAGTTGCTTATAGGGCAATATAATTCTGCAGGAAGAATAAACCACGAGGGGCGCAACGGGATTGTTTGAAGGTGGTTGTTAAAATTTATAACTGAACCACATGGTACAAATGGATAGGAAGACTATTTGAATTGACTTTGCCACTGAGAAATGTTTATGAAATCTACGGTGGATACAAAATAAAAGGGACCAAAATAAACGTTTGGATGACTGCATGTGTCTTAACCAGCCTTCTCTCAGTGAGTGGCATTACCTGCATACTTCATTGATTCATTTCATATTGCACGGCTAAGTTTACACTGTGTGGTTGTTATGAAACCCAATCTTATTTCAAGTTGGGAAACCAACCATACGATCAGATGGCGTATATGTTATGAATGTGCTTGTAATTACTGTCCAAAACACCACCTGGACCATTACGATTCGGCAGCACCAAATATTCACGACACGGGTCTGCATCAGATGACATGAGGACGACACGTCTGACGACTGTCAACTTAGTTCGATGTGCACGCGCACGTGTGTGTGTATATATGTGTGTGTGTTTGTGTGTGTGTGTTTGTGTGTGTATGTGTTTGAAATGCCGCGAGACATGCATTGATACAGTGCATACATCTGTATACCAGAAGGAATTTGTTCGCGAGTGCTGTGATATGTAAAAAGGGAGCATGAGTGTAATGAAACAATATATTTAGTTCTAGTCTTGTTGTGCATCCTTTCATCACTGCGCCATTCTATATCGGATTCAAAATCTATGAAAACGGTAAATGAATGGATTGATGTGATTGACCATAACATCTGATTGTGAATGTCACACACGAATATATAAGATTCAGTAATGAACTTTAATTAACTCCAATTCCGTTACATAGCAGTAAAATGATTTACGCAATCATGCCTGCAATCATGCAATGTTCAAATCTTGAATACAAATGGCAAGTGTTCGTCTCTAAAACACGTAATAAATGAATCTTTTGATTAACATAGAATATATTCTGTGAAAGTAAAGATGGATTATTTTCTATATATCGAGTGATTTAAAATATTGAAAAAGGTTTCAGGTGATGAGTTTGAACCATAAATATATCTATCAATTCTGAAGATCCACAAAGGTACCGCTTCATGCACATGCATATCTAGTATAAGAGGTAACATCAAAGATTAGTTTATTGTCAGTGCAGATGTCTTAAGTGACATTGTGATGCTTGTCAGTGCATGAACACGTCACATTGAAAACTGAATTGCTTTTACAACAAAACACTGTTGAATTGCAACAGATTGTATTAACAGTAACAGCACGGTGGTTTGTGGTGAATAACTCGAAACAAATGTGTAAATGAAACGTTCCTTGTCACTGATATTGCGGTAATGAAAAACATTGACTAAACACTGCTCTGAACTTGCAGTATGATAAAACATCTTATTCGTCAATGTAGAAAATATGTTAACAAAAGATTGTGCCATTCTCGAGTCAGGTTTGATGAACAACTTGTTTCTGTGGTGTATATTTTGCTCAATAAAAGGGTAAATGGGATCTCATCCTTAATCGATGAAACAGCTATGTACGTTGAAAGCATATAACTACATATTCTCTGACATCTGTCATAGTTTGATATTTTTAAAAAGCCTACAACTTCGAAAACGTTAAAAATAGGTTGCTTTTACATATTTTCAATCCAAGGAATTTGTAAACATAGATTGTCAATCCAAGAGAATAGCCAGTCTAGATTATCCGCCGAAACAGATTAAATTTAGCGTAGAGGGCAAAATAGCTGTGAAAACACGTATGAATATAAGATTAATATTCCTTCGAGTTTGAGAAGATTAATTGTAAAGCCTGTTGGGTTATGCGAAATGTGAATATGTTACTGGTACCTACTGTAATTTTGGATCGTTTTGCAATGAATAAATGTACTACATTTCTTGCAACAATTTGTTCCAAGTTTTGACTTCGATACTCACTTGGTTGGGGTGTGGTATTTGTTGTTGTCGGCGTTGTTGGTGCTGTTGGCGTTGATGTTGATGCACTGCATGTCTGAAAAAGGAACGTAACCAATCATGTAATATGTCATATAAGCGATACAATACCAGCTCGTGTGTGCTGAGAAGGTGCATTGTTAATTTTGTCTTCACGTCAATTCGGGAATATCAGGAAAAGGGACATATAAATACGACTGTCTTTGGTAAGTATGTACAATTTTAATGTTGGGTTCTTTGTGTGCCGTAGAACTCACAGGCGCAACTGATAACTTCTTCGCAACAGAAGAAGTAATACTAAAAGGAAAACTACGTGGGTTTAGAGGAAAATTATGACAATGCAACATTTCATCACAATGTCACGTTGTCGTACATTTCTTACTGCATATTTTCACTATTTTATCAAAGGGCGACAATGTGACATTTATCTTATGTTTCTTCCTGTATATTTTTAAAACGTCACCAAAGCATGAACCGTAATACATCAGTGATGCGCCCAGGCCTCAAACTCAATCACAACAATTACAAATGCACATATAAATACGCCCGTAAAGAAGGAACTAAGTCCATGAATTAAAGGGTCGTTGGTTACCTGAAATCAGGACCCATTTTGTTCGAATCGCAGATTCGTCCTGATTATGTTTCTTGTGTTGTCAGCAACAGACCCGTACACATGGGAAAAAGTGCCAAAGGTGTAAGATCTATTCACTTTCGTCCGTCCCCCGACTGCTCGTTTGTAACAGAAATAGTGTTCTATGCGGCGTTAAACCAGGGCCACTTAAGGTTCTTATTTTCTGGAATGATGTATTGGGGCATTCCATTGCTCAAATGAATTCTGCCGAATGTCGCTCGGTCCAGTCATATCCCTGAGCCACAATGATATTAAACGTGAAAGTCGGTGCAATTGGTCTTTACAAACATTTACATTTTACTGAACATATTTTGGGATTCGTACCCGTACACCGCTAAAATTTTGGCCACTGATGATGAGCCTTATGCTGAGACGGAAACGTTTTTGAAATTCATCTTTGGAAATTATGAGAAATTATTAGTAATGCCTGTAGTAATGCCTATAGTTTTTTAAACGATAATAATTTTAAAAGTGCAATAATATGTTGTTTTTTTATTAACATACCAATCGTCCTCTGCACGCACTACAAAGGTGTTCCTTGTCTGATGACAAGTACATGTATATATATACTTCAAATATATTGAGAATTGTCTTTATAATCTAAACATATTCATAAACATGGTTTAAAAAGCAAACAGCCAAGAGAATTATTGCAGTGGGATATCATCACCACCAAATTAATAAATGTCAGTTCAAACTTTCAATATATTGACCGTTCACTCGTTAGGCCATCTACCAGGGGTAGAATAGGTCTTCAGCAATCCAAGCTTGCCGTATAAGTTGACTATGTTCGTCCTAAGAGGCAACTAACGGGATCGAGTGGTAAGGTTCGCTTACTTGGTTGATGCATGTCATCGTATCCCAATTGCGTGGATCGATGCTCATGATGTCAATCACTGGATTGTCTGGTGCGTCCAGACTCGATTATTTACAGACCGCCGTCATATAGCTGGAGTATTGCTGAGTGCGGCGTTAAACAACAAACAACCAAACAAACGTCAGGCTATTGCGTTGCCAAGCTACATCTTAGGGAGGAAAATTTAACGTCGTCTAACAATCGACGGTATCAAGTTGCGAGCGTATGTGCGAGTCTCAAAACATTCTCTCTCTCTCTCTCTCTCTCTCTCTCTCTCTCTCTCTCTCTCTCTCTCTCTCTCTCCTCTCTCTTTCTCTCTCTCTCTCTGTCTCTATCTCTCTGGCATTATATATTTCACACAAAACACTTGAACTGCTCAACTTAACACCTGAACTTCTGCACTTAATGCATGTACTGCCGCACTGCAGTGTTACAACTGTTTTGTCAAAGTCAACTTAAATATCTGTGAAATATACTAAAGTCTTAGTTATCATATAATGGGCAGGATAAAGCCACCGGATAAATACGTTGTCCGTTAGGGTCATATGCGAATTGAGATGCAAATACGCAAGGCTCACTAAATATTATGTTGATTTCTAATACAGGATATTTACCATCCCCAAACACACAAGCGTGATAAGCGCTATTTCTCTACGTTGCCAATCTACATCTGAGGGAGCAAATTGTGTATGTATGTATGTATGTTTGTATGTATGAATGTATGTATGTATGTATGTATGTATGTATGTATGTATGTATGTATGTATGTATGTATGTATGTATGAATGTATGTATGTATGTATGTATGTATGTACACATGTATGTATGTATGTATGTATGAATGAATGTATTTATGTATGTATGTATGTATCTATGTATGTATGTATGTATGTATGTATGTCATTCATACATATATACATAAACATACATATTTATATGCATTTCTGAGAGTCTATATATATATATATATATATATATATATATATATATATATATATATAGTAGGTGAGGTAATGCTTTACGTAACATCGGCAATATTTCAGCCATATAGTGACGAGTATATATATATATATATATATATATATATATATATATATATATCTCTCTCTCTCTCTCTCTCTCTCTCTATATATATATATATATATATACTCTCAAAAATGTCTACTTTACGTGAACATTATTGAGGTAAATAAATAATATAGTCAGGACCAGACAAACGACTGGTTGGTATACGTGCAGCATCCAACACTACAGGGGTACACGTACTTGCATGTATTATTGTATTGAATGGATGAATTGTGAGTTAACATTACAGGAATAACGCGACATACCTGATATCCAAGTACAGCCAGGAGCGTCAGTAGGTAAAATCCATAAACAGTCATTGCTGTTTTGGGTACTTCATCGAGCTAAAAACATTTGAGAATGTGTCAACGTTATGAAGTGTTTGTCAAGCGGATTCCAGGTATTTGTAGTGCTGCAGCTCTGTGAAGTCCAGATGCCTCTGTGTGACTAGTGTACAGTCAGGGTGGCGTCATATATCCGTAATCTACTTCCAGGTCGTATTGAAATCGCTGTTCAGTGTTTGTGCACGATTACGTGTAGCCACGCCCCCCACAGTTCTGCCTGCATGCACACATTCAAACCACCTGGCGCACCTGTGCTCCACTCTTGTGAGATCAATAATACAGATGACGTAAATGATCTGAAGAGGTTATATAAAATTCAATATCAGATGATTGTTTCAAAGGCACAAAATGTACCATTTTTTCAGGAACGCGTTTATAGCCGGAGTTATAAAGTATGTATCCATGATTTTCCTAACAGTTGAAACATATTATTAGGCCTTTTTTTTATCAGTAACTCGGAGTGTTAGAGAAATCACTTAATGAAGTACGTAAGAAATGCATTTCATTTCCGATGCCAAATATGGTTACTATTTGTTTACAGAGTGATGCAAGGAGCGATGGTAACGTCAAGATATGTAACATGAGATATCAGGTGATTGTTTTAAATGCACAATATTTACTACATGTATTTCTTCAGTAACGGGTGTCATTCTAAAGTATGTATCCATTATTTTTCAGATATGTGGGAAATTGATTGGAAGACGACCTTTGTTTTTATCAGTCATTCAAAGAGTTATATAGAAGTTATCATTTAATATATTTAGTAATGAGCTATTTCATTTCAAGTGTCAAATGTGATGCTTATTTACAGAATGGAGCAACGTGCGAAACGATTAAACATCAGACATGCGATATTTAAATTTTTCTTACACAATGTGTACATCATTAGCTTTGAGTCCGATTTATGAGACAGTTGAAAGTACATTCATTCATAAGAGTGTGTTTGGGGATGGTAAATATCCAGTATTAGGATTAAACATTGTATTTAGCGAGCCTTGACTAAGTGCAGAACGCCAGGCAGGGTAACTTCATGTACCATATTTTGACGTCTTTTGGAATGACGCGTCCACGTTTTAGCCCTTAATGCCAAGCGTCAGGCAAGGTAACAACAAGTACAATCTTTTAACGTCTTTTGGTCGAACTCCCGACCTTCCGCTCTCCGGGCAGACGCTCTATCCACTAGACCACGGAGGTGATCTCTCGGGGTGAAAGTGTTCTCTCGTCCTGGCATTCCCCACATGGGTACAACGGGCTTTCACCGCTCTGGAACAAACATTACAAAACTACTCGCACATGCATTCACGACGATAATAGATATCCTCCTGCTTATAATGCTATCAGATGTGAGTGCGGAAGTATTTGTTAAAATGAACAGTAGAAATGGAAATTGTTAGGTTTGGGTCTGACTAAATCTTTTCCTGACTGAAACGAGGAAAGGAGATGCAAATACCATTTTATGCAATCTGCGATTAGTAACAATAGAAATGGAAATTGGAAGGTTCGGGTCTGACTTAATCTTTTCCTGACTGAAACGAGGAAAGGAAATGCAAATACCATTTTATGCAATCTGCGCGTAGTAACAATAGAAATGGAAATTGGTTGGGACGGGGCTGACCGAGTCTTTTCCTGACTGAAACGAGGACATGTATTGTAATTGCAATTTTATGCAATCTGTGCATAGTTACGTGTGATGGAGGTGTTGGCCGGGGAGCGTCTTGGACTGCTATCTCTGGAATAGATGTACCACCTCGTAGATGTTAGTTTGGCTCTTCCTTTCTAGCTGGTTTCTCTTGTGGTGCCACCCTTCAAGATTGTTGTTTGTCCAATATTATTGACTGTTTGGTCTAGAGTTTGAGTTTCTGCGGCTCATCGCTTGTAGTACACTTTGCGAACCTAATAACATGACTGCTTTTGCTTCCGGTAATCTTAGTATGAGTCTGATGCTGAATAAAAGGCCTCACTATAATAGTCTATTTTTGATCTGATTCATGATTTGTAGAGGTCCAGCTGAGTACCCCAAGATGTGCCTGAAATGGTCCGCAATACGTTCAGGTCTTATGTGACATCTATGTTCAACATATTCCATACACTAGTATTTGTTCCAAGTGAGGTGTTAATCTAGTGTCACCTCTATCAATTTTACGGATTTTTCGAATTTGATTGGTTTGCCGTTTATGGTGATACGGGGTGTCATAGCATATTTCCCCCTGCGTTTTAATATAATTCCAACAGGTTTTATTATTATTTTGAGGATAAGACATATATAGCATGCAAATTACTCAGTGTCACATCATATATTTGATGTTCATGCGTTTAAACGTTAAACACATCTGCAACTGTAAATACAGTCAATTCTTTCATCTCTTCAATATCGTTTATAATTTCTTAAGCGCTTTATCTGTAAACACATCAGATTCACTGCGAATTAGCTGTAGGTTATGCATTTCATGTATTTATACTCCTGAATAACTTGTTTATATCATAAAGCGTATTTCTACTATTGTTTTTCTGTATGCCTCGTTTATATCATAAAACGGTATGCATTCACGGTTCACCGCATTCACGGCTAATCCATCCATTTGGCACTCGCGGTTCCAACAGCAGAGTTTGGCTTTCCCGGGTCTGATATTCAAAAGTGGGGCCGCCGTGATTGTGCTGGAATATTGCTAAAAGCGGCGCAAAGCCATACTCACTCACTCACACAAAAGTGAGTTCATGGCCCATAACCGTAATGGGTGATCACAACATCAAGCAATGACACTCATCCGAATGAGATTATATAACATAGAATCATTTTCAGAGCTGTAGAATTGGTACACTACTAATACTGTTGTTGACATTATACATGATCTGTTTCATCGACTATACCAGAAGTTTTTTTTTATGAGTGGTCCAAACACAAACGCAAATGTCAGCATTAACACACTCTCATTCACGAAATGAGGCTACAGATAGTATTTGACAGACAAGAGAGGGTATCAAGCTTGTCATATATTCTAATGTATATATATATTTTTTTAAAACATCTCACATTTCTATCTCTCATTATTACCGTTGATGCATTTTAAGTGTTCTCACTGAGTCGTAAAACCAAGCTCGCCACGTTCTTAATGACCGTAGCGCCTCTCCCACTCATCGCTGTCGCTGATCGGCACATGTCGGCACAGTCCGGAAGAACTCAGTGCCTTTATGTTTTTGGGGTAATGTTAGTGAATTTGTTGCCCGTTGCCGAATCCTATGATCGTGGTTTCGAATCCCGCTTCGCCCTTATTCGTTTTCTTGGTTTGTCAGCACCATACCCGTGCTCGTGGGTTTCACCAAAGTGGTAAACGTCTGGTACCTCCACTATGGGCTTTCCTCCCACATTAAGCTGACATCCCGTGATATACCTGGAATACTGTTTGTGTTTGGTGTTAGATGTGTTGGGAACAAGAAAAGGGGGACTTCCTGTTGGAATGTGTCCAAACCAACCTCACAAACGGCCAAGTCAGGCAGCGGGGCTTGGTTTATTGTGGATCAACGTACCAAGACGACGAGGGACGTTGTTCACCTTTTCGCGAACACCTGGTGTCTTCACATTGCTAATTACTACCAACTGTTCTTCATTGTCCGTCCAGATGTGAGGTGAGGTTAAATGGGGTTTAACGTTTTAACGTCGCGTCCAAGATTATTGCACTTATATAGCGACGTGCATGTACGTGTGTGTGTTTGTGTGGCTGCTTGTATTAGTCCGGACTGATGCCGATTTATGGTGCTAGCTCACTGAGATACCATGCCGCAGTTTAACATGAATACCCCACTCAAACACAGTATACTGACTCCGAGCCGACCAGTCCTTGTTTTAGCCCCTAAATGGCGAGCGCCAGACAGGGTAACAACAAGTACCATCTTTTAACGTCTTTTAGTATAACGCGGTCGGGGATCGAACCCCGGACCTTCCGCTTTCCGGGCGAACGCTCTACCACTAGACCACGGAGGCGGTTGTCCGTCCAGATGTGTCATGTCATAAGCTCGTGATATTTTTTTTATTCGGGCAATTGCCAACTTACCTCAACCATCCCCCGAAAACTGGGGTGGGGTTCGGGGTTAAGAGGCTGCTAATAAAATCTGCATTGGATTGTATCAAGGTGATGGATATTTGTAATGCGTAAACAAACGCATATAACGTGAATAGAAACCAATGGACGAGGAAAACATAGGCAGTTGCTGTGTATATTGATAGAAACTGGTTTGACCTGAGTTGTATTTTTCCTACTCTGTATTTTCCACAATGAGATAAATAAATAAGGAAAGGAAGGCAAAGCCAAAATGTACTTTTGGTATTTTCTTAGGAGGAGGAAACTCAGAATCACAAGCCAACAAGTTCGTTCAGTAATTTTAAACCAAATAATATCATCAGTATCTGAATCTAAGCAGGTTAAGAGAGACTTTATTAAAAACGCACCAACGCCACCGGACCCTCGCTTAGCCTTAGAATCAACCTGGCGACGGTTTTTTCCATACCATGTGAATCCTTCCACATATCTATGCTTTCATGGTATCTTAAAAGTGTTTCACAAATGATCGAAAATATCACAGTCTAGTTGTTTTTGGAGCCACTCTCTAAATTGTTTATTGGTTGACACGCACCTTGATCCCCACATGCGTTCCAAACACCAAGCCGCACTGTGTCCTATTTTTTCATTGCAACCAGACTGTTACCATAAAAATGAAGAAGTCTTTCCTTTGCCGATCTCTGTTATTATCGTCTGCGTATTTGATCGTGCTATAAGTTCATCCTGAGACATTGCGCCGACGTATCCGAGAAGTCCTAATTGTTGCGTAAGTCCTTTTCATGCTGTAGAAGTTATCTTTTCTGTTCACTGGATTCCAAATGTACCATGATCTGTTTGTAGTCACTTCAATTACGCACGTGATGCACGAACATCCGTCCATAATTACGCGGTTCACATGTCGACATCTGCCGGTAGGGTCATCCTTCTCACGTGGGTCAGGCAGGAAATGTCTTACCACAACACTACATACCAGTTCCTTATTCTTGTCTCATTGCTTCACGACGTCGGCAAAAAGTCCTTCCTGTCATCTCAACTGAATGACATTTCCTAGTTGTATCTTTAACTAGAATCTGTACTTGACTAAGAAAGTGTTATCCCAAATAT